ATAAACTTCTCATTAAAACTTTTTTGCTGCTCATTTTCAGTTTTTTTTTTTTTTTTTTTTTGTTTCACACCAATAATTTCACAATTCTGGTTCCGTTTTTCTTTTTTTTGTTTTCTCATCATCGCATAATCTTCAAATATTAATTTCATTTTTTAAATTTGTCAAATAATAAATTTATGTTATCTCATTTTTTATATTTCTTAACTTCAAATTTATAACCGTTTATCTTAATATGATACAGGAAAATAGTCATGTTCTACTGTTAAATAATTCCATCTATACTACTAATATGTTTCATTCATACTGTCTAGGATATGAACTTTGTCATCGATTGATGTCAAATAATAGCAAATTCTATAAATATTCACAAAAATTTACCATTATCATTTCATTTCAATTCACTCATCGGTTTATCAATAAAGCTTTCCTTTTTTTTTTTCATTTTTTATTTCCTATTCGTAGAATCAAATAATGCATCATTCATTTCAGATTCATAAATCATTTCCATTTCAACCTTTGAATATTTTCATTACAAAAATCTTATATGCAATCAAATGCAAAAAATCCTTTTTTACCATTTGTAAAAATGATTAATAAATCTTTTTTTTTCTTTTGCATCTATTTTTTCATTTTGCTTCTTTCTTTTTTCTTTCTTTAACTTTTATTAATTTAAAATAATTATTATTTCGTACATTCTTTCTTGTCAGTAATAAGAAAACAATCAATTTGTATGAGTTGAAATGATATAATTTTCAGATAATATGTATTCCCTTGACAACTAACATGATAACAACATTTCATTGATGGACTGATATTTTTTTGTAATAACGGTTATACTTTATTTTATTCCTTTCTTCTCGCATTTTTTCTTATTTTGGCTGATTTTCTGATGTCCTCATATTCTCAGTATTTTCTTATCACAATGTTTAAGTTCCTCTTTCTAAACAGTCTATCTTACTTGTCAAATCGCTGTCTTTCGTTCATTTATTTTGTGATAACGGTTATACTTTCATTCATTTTCTATTTTTCATGATTAAAAAGATAAAAGAACAAAATAACTTATCAATGAAACAATTGAAAATAAAAAATTTTTTTTCAAAAAAAATTTCTTTGAAAAAAATGTTTTAATTTAGATCAAAATTTTCTTATGAATTTTTGATACTTAAAAAATTTGTGATGAATTAAATATTATAGAAGAAGTATTTGCTATTATTAAAAATAATGATGAAAAAAAAAAAAAAAAAAAACTAAAAGTCGATAGAATTAGATGAATAGCATTCATTATCAGCTTGTATCAATTCTTTTTCAAACAATTTTTGAAAAAAAAATACTTCTAAATAATATTTCATCTACCATTTTAGTTTTAAAAAGAACTAATTACCATAGTGCTTGAGAAATTTAAGGTAACAAAACAAATAAATGTAAGTAGGCATTTTGAATGGAAAATTGGAGAAAAATGTTGAAATAATTACTGATGACTTGTTGATGGTTAATAATAATTGCCATGTATCGGATACATGGCAATTATTTGTTCATACAAATTTTCTTTTTCTCTCTCTCTCTTTTTTAAGATCAGTTTTTAATGAAAAGTAAAATTAAATAAAAAAGGATGATTGTTTAGAAGAAAAAATATAATTGGAAAAAAATACTAATTGGTTGATCGGAAAAAAATTACTGATTAGTTAATGCATAAAATTATTTGCATGTTATTTTTCAAAATTTTACTTTTTTTTGCAATCTTTTCATAACATAATTTTTTTCATCAATACTAACTCATTAGTTTTATTAATAAATTTGTTTTATAATGCTAAAAATTTTATCCAAAATATTTGTATTTTAATATTAGTATAAATCTTACTTCATTCCAATTTTTTTCTTTCCCTCTCTCTTTAATCAAATAATACATTACTCTTTTCCTTTCTCCATTTCTAACGAATTACAAATTTTTTACCATTTTTTTTTTTTAAATAGGACTCAATTAATTAATGAAATTTTAGAGAAAAAGGGGCTTTATTTATTTTCCAGCCAAAAAAAAAAAAATTATTAACCAAATTAAAAAAAGCATATTTCTTCGTTTCCTTTTGTTGATTTTTACTTTTTTTTTCTTCTCACTAAATTTTGTTCTGAAATCAGTTTGTAATATAATTTATCATCGGTTGCGGGAAGAGGAAGTATGCTATCTGGCTTACCTCGGATGTATAATTAATATATCTTGAAAATGCTTTCAAACATTTCTCGTTAGTACGAAAAAAGGTCAAATTTTATTCGTCGTTCTTACGTAAGTGAAAAAATTTTCAAAAAATTTTCTTCCGTGATTCTATTTTTTTTTTTTTTAAAGTGGAAAAAAAATCGCGTGATTAGAAAAAATAAAAAGAAACTGTATCTTTATTTTGTTCACTATTCACTTATGTTCCCATCTATTTGCTTAATAAATGTAGTTAAGTTTTTATCGATTACTGTATTTATTTATTTTATTTCATTATTCAATCAGATGTGATCTAATTTTATGAAAACTCCATTATTTAAGTGTTAAATTTTTTCCTTTGGGATATTGATTATTCATTCGACATTTTTTTTCACTTTCAATTTATTTCATATCAGCGATTTTCAAAAATGTTTTATCAAAAGAAGAAAATTAAGTAGCTGTTTGCACCATAGTTTCGTGCAAACTTTTTACAGTACTACAAAAGAACAAAATAAAAATAAATAAGTAAATGAAAGATTTCTTAAGTTTTTATTTATCTTAAGACTTTATAAACATCAATTTAAAGTATCCATTGGTTTCTGTTAATCAATTTTCCCAACTTTTTCCTATATTTATTTTGTTCCACTTCTTTTATGCCACGAATCAATCAATCAAATAATCAATAGTTTTTTATTTTTTCATTCTTGCAAATTCAATCAAAATCCAATTTTCCAAATTGAAGAACATATTGACTTAAAAAAAAGAAAAAATCAGAAAGAAATAGGATTATACGAAAGAAAAAAAAATTGCTTTTTTCTGTGCTGCAATATTTAATTTAAAATAGAAATATTCAATTCAAATTTTTTATCGTTTAAGAAAATTTGCAAGCGATTTGATTATAACATTTCGAATTTCCAATTCCAATTTGCGAATGTCCTTTTTCCATTTCTATAGAATATTTTTAGAATTGTTGAAGAAACCCCTTTTCTAAAATTGTTTTCTATTGAAATATCGACATTATTTTAATTCAAACATTTCATCTAATTTATTTCCACTCACTTTTGTTAATCAGTCATGAAGTTGCAATATTTTCCATGAAATTTTTGAAATGGTTCTTTTACATTTATTCTTAAAATTGAAAGAATTTCTTGTTATATTAATATTTGGCTAGTTGATCTTTTTTCTTCCTTTTATTTCCGTAATTTTATTTCCAATTTATCTCATTGTCTCGCTTTTCAATATATATATATATATATATATATATAAGCAATAAAATTAATGAATCAATTCCTTCATTTCTGAAAATTTGATCTCTAAAAAAATTTTTTTTGGTGATTAAAGGGAAAGTTTAAAAAGGAAAAGTTTTCCACCCGTCAAAAATTTGCTATTGAACACAATTTTTTTTCTGGTTCGGGAGCAAATTTTAAATTTGAGTTATTTGGATCACAGTTATAGTTATTCTATCGTTTTTCATTATCATTTCTTTGACAATACTTAAGTATAACTTATTTAGCTGATTGCTTTACTTCCTAATTTTTTACTTTTGAAAAATGAAATTTGTAACTTTATAGACAAAATTATGATTAGTTTAATTCATCGTTTTTCATCGAAAAAATGAAACATATAATTTTACGAAAGAAATGATGCTTACTTCATTTTTTGAGAAGTAAAATGCATAATTTTAAGAAACAAGTGGTATTGTTATTGCCAATTAACAACTAATTATCGTGATTATCGCTATCATAATTTTTACTGTTATCATCATTTTGTTTGTGTCGTCAATATTCCGGTGAAAATGAATGAAAAAAAAAAAACTGATTTATATGATTTATTCGACTAAATTGAATTACACTGAAATCACTAAGCTTTAAATTCTAAACAATTGAAATATGTTTATACAGAACATTATAAGGAACAAGAGTTGAAGATGGGAGGAGATGAAACTAAAAAAAAGGAAGCAAAAATATATTTATGCATCAGAATTCGAATTATATTTCAAGTTTAATTAACATATCACACATGAAAGTTATGTTGAACTGCACTTGTATGTATGATCAACAATTAGATTTTTGATGATCAGATGATCATCGATCAGATAATCATCGATCTAGAAAATTCGCCAATTGCTTCTGATCAAATAACGTTCAGTTTTTTTTTTTTTTTTTTTTTCGCTTTTATGCTCTTTCAACTTATCCTTTCTTCCTTCTCTTTCATCATCCTTTAATATGAACATTGATTGACTGATTGATTGATTAGTAAATTGATTGATCTGACTAATTGAATTATCTGTAAAAATATCTATAGGAATGCGTAGTACGGATTTTTTTACGAATTATTCTCAATATCTGAAATAGATAAGAAATGAAATTCATTTGTTCTATATTTATAAAAATATATGTATATATATGTCAAACAAAAAAACTTCAGCATAACTACAGCGTTCTTTTTAAGATTACTGTATTTTCAAAAATACTACAAAAATTTATGGTAACAAATATTGCTAATTATCATTGCTATGATTTAATTTATCACATCTTTGCTTTCATATAGTTATCATTTCATTGTGATATTCCGTCATTATCGTACTTAATTCATATAATATTTCATCCTGACCGTTCAAACATACTTTTATTTATCCATTGCGAATTGCATTTTCGTTGAATTAATTTTGTTGTTATAAAATTGACTATTTTTACTACTAACATAGGTATTATTAGCATTGCTACCACTTCTTGGCATTCACCTGCTGAATTCATTTCATTCATCGCTGGTGCTGCTGGGAATTTTTTTCTCTTTTCTTGGTATAATTTTACTAATGGGTGTTTGGATTTTGAACATCCCACAGGAAATGGATAATCATATGAGAAGGTAAGCCATTACTTATTCCACTATTGTAACCTTATGAATTCATCAAGAAATAGTATTGGTACTTATTCTTTACAATACATTTGTAACTTCTGATATGCGTTTGTAATGCAAATTATTGCGAGATGTTTATCAATTTTTATCGCTTATCTGAGTGAATTATATCACTCGTAAATTATTGACGTATGCTAAAATAAGAATGTAGTCAAGAAATAATAATTAAATAAATGAATTCTATGAATACTTCAGACTTTAACGCTTTAATGAGACGCAATATAATGGGAATTTCGGACTTTTTCAAAGTTCATTCGATCGAGTACTTTGTGCCTCGAGAAAGAAATATTGAAATTTAACAAAACGTTTACTTTCTTGAATATGTTTTCCATTTAAGCGTAAACAGCTTTCGTTTTTTACTTTCTGTCTTCTGTTTTCAAATTTCTAATAGTAAGAGCTTTAAATGAAAGTAATTTGATGCGTAAACCAATATATATTCTTTGGGATATTACAGAAAAGTAATGTGGTATATGTAGGCAGATATTTGTGAGGTATTATAAGGTAATAGAGAAAGATATAATAATGAAATAGCAGGTAATGTAGTCATGTATTAAACAAAGAAGGAAATGAAAGAAACAAAAGGTACAAAGAAATAATTTAATTCAAAGATGACAATTGATCAATAACAAACATAAAAATAAGATAATCACTTATGGAAACATTAATTAAGATTTGTCATTGTTGATCTATTTGTAGGTAATATGACATTGAATTGAACCGAAAGGATAAAAGTACTTATGGTTAGAATGAAAGATAGCTCTTTCTAAGCATGAAAGTCAAATAAAATAAAAAATCATTAAGCAAATTTAAGACATAATATTGTAGTAATGAATATACCACTTGATTAGAAGATATCCAAATTTATAAAAAATTGGATATCTTTCTTCCTTTTTAGATGATTTACTGTAAATAACAAAAGGTATTGTGCTTGTTTGGATTTATAAAAATTTTATTGACTTTAATTAATATATTAATTTAATGCTGATTAATTATAAAATAAAAAAGAAAGAACAAAAATGCAATAAGTTTCTATTGTTTTTTAGTCAAAATTCTCAATTTTTGCTCTAATTGGAGCAAAGATAAATTTTTTCGAACAATCGAATGGTATTTAAAAAAAGAAAAATCATTTTTTTGTTTTGTTCAATTTTAACATAAGGTAAGTGATATAAATAATGGGTAAGCAATATATTTTATAGCCTTTTAATTTTAGCACCGTTTTCACATATTGCGAATTTTATTTATTATTTTATAGATGCATGCCTCAATTAGATTTCTTTTTGGAACTCTAAAATATTAGGATTGTTTTTTTTTTGTTTTATTTCATTCTATCTTCGCTGATCATATATGAAAACTCATGAACGTCTTTTTCTTTTACCTTTGCTTCTACTTTTAAACGAATAAATTCATCATTAGTAAAAATGATAAGTATTTATTCCTCTACTTATTTGTTCCATAACAGCAGATATGAATTCAAATTTCTTCAAATTAGATAATTTACGACAATTAGAAGAAATGGAAGATAGGCAATCTTTTCCAATAATAATATCAGAGGTGAATAAATTAACTTGAAATAAATGATAATTAATCAGAATAATAAATATTTCAAATAAAAGAAATAATCGGAATAATAAAACGTTAAATCAAAGAAAGTATCTATTGGACGCCATTTTATAACACAAAATGAATAAAAAAAAATTTTTCCTCTAAACTTAGTTACATTTTTCCAAACAAAATTATTGTGAAACAAGATGGTTCCATTATTTTTTGCCCGAAAAACAATTGTTAACAGCTGGTTAATTGCTGAAAAATTTTTAAATTAGAAAAGATTTATAACACTTAGAAAGAAAAGAAAAAACTTCATTTTTAATTGCACGTTAATATATAATTCTTTACTTTTTACTGTTCTTATTAGTCTTATTAAAATTTATTATATATGTGATTTTGTTTGTTAAAATTTCTACTAAAAATTTTCATATTATTTTATCTCTTTATTGAATCATTTATGGTAAACACTAACTTTTAATGACCAAATTAACTATAATATTTATTGGTTTTTTTTTTGTTTTGTTTTGTTATACATTGCAATGAATAAATTTCAAAAATGAAATTTGACACTTTGCTTAACAAAGTTGTTATTTAAGGACAAGTAATATCTACTTAAAATTAATTTAGTGATTTTAAAGCATGATTTTAAGTAAGTGACATGTAAAATTCATATTCGCCTAAAGTTTTTTTTCAGTGAATGGTATAAAAGAATATTAATAATAATATAAAATTAGCTATAATAAGAAACATAACCAAGAAAAAGATTTTGCGAGAATGAAAAGAAAAAAGAGAATATTCGTTTGAATGGTGCAATTAAATTAGATTAAAAATTCTTATGGTAATCATAATGATAAATAAGAATAAACTCTACTTTTATTTTTACTTACCCGTCATTATTGGAATTCATTTTTAAGGATAAAAAGAAGCAAAAACTAATCATTCAGCTTGCCATATTCGTACCACATCCAAAGTTAACCAATAGCTTTACTTTTCCTTTAAAATTTATTCTTCCTTTTCAAACAACTATTATGAATACCATTTTTTTTAAAATGTAAAAATTGGATAATAAACAAACTTAAAACAAAAAATTAAATTGGGGGGTTTTATTGCAAAAAAAAAAAAAAAAATTTCTAATTAATTTTGAAACTTTCAATAACAAAATGAAAGCTTTTCAAATTTATTTTTTTTAAAGTTATAAAGAAAATATGTCACTAATTTAAAAAAAAAAAAAACTTTTTCTTTTGCATAAATTCATAATAAATATCAAATATAATTATTCTCTTTTCAGCGAATCATACAAATTTATACGCATGGCGGATGATTTACACGATTTGGCACGCTACCTCAATGATATGCGAATATGTTTTATAGCACTAACAGTTATGGGATATATTGTATTGATATTATATGGAATTATCTTTTGTGTTAGGAGGAATCAGAGGCAACGTGGGGCTAATAATACTAATTCAAGGACAAGAGGGCGATGGGATTTTCAGGTAAAGGTAACACATTTTTTTATTTCACTAGAATCCAATTGCAAACTGATTTTCTCAAAATAAAGGAATGATACTCATAGTGTCGTTGTGATGATTATACGGCAATGCTATACAGTAATCCGGTGCAATTACTGAATATGAATTGATTACAAATAATTAATTACAGTTAACTACATCCGTTCATTTGTACATATGTTTTATGTTTCTCGGAAATATTAAAAGCAGGAAAAATGAATAAATAGTAGTAAGAGTTATGATAGTTTATCCAACCATCCATTTATTTAAATTCATTCATCACATTCTAAAATCATTATTTCACCGATAACATAGCCAAAAGAAAAAAAAAAAAAAAAAAAAAACATAAAATATCAAATTATTATTGCCACAACATTATTCAGTGATATTTCATATTATGCTATTCTTAAACACATTATTATAATCATATGTTGATATTACGATATGCCAAACATATTATTTTAATGATATATGGATATCACGATACTTTTAAACAGTATTATAATCATATACTAATACTGCGGTGTTGTAAAATATTAGATTGATATGTTACTGATGCGAGATCACATGGAATATTATTTATTATTTAATATCTTTGAATAGTAAACTAAGATTTCAATACAACGGATGCTAGAATTATACCTTTATTGCATTCAGATCAAATATTTGGTACTAATATATATTATATATATGTAAGGAAAAGCTTTTTATAAAATTTGATTATCATCATTTCAAAAATACGGGCTGTAGATAACAAAAAAATTTATTTTTTTACTCTTCTTTTTAAAAAATAAATTGTATTTGAGTATAAAACTATGATGCGAACACTAGATTAGTACTATCTTTTTTTATTGATTAACTTTAATTTAAATTTTAGATAGAAAATAGAGATCAGCAGCACACTCAAAATGATGATTTGGTATCTGTGAGAAGTGATGGATTGCAGGGTGTTACGTCAAGTTTCGGTTTAGGTTCTGTTTTTTTTGTATTTCATTTCCTATTCATGTTAAAACTTATTTTAAATTTGAAATAATGTAATGTACACTATGATTTCAATAATTTTTATTATTATTCATACAATTTAACATAGATTGTGTGAAACAATTAGTTGACTTGTTCTGCTCTACTTACACAAAATTTGATGAAATGACCGCAATTTCAGGTCGCAATTATCACCGAAATCCTGCATCATTTATGCGTCATGGTATTGGTATGAATCATACTCAACAAACAACAAGGTAAGCATATTTGCGGATTTAAATTTTCTTCAATTCATTCAAATTGAAATTTCAACAAATGGTTGCAGTTTTTGATCACTCAAAATGCCATCGTCTTTGAATGATAAATTGATTGATTATTTGATGAGAAAAGATGAAAATGAACAAATAAAAATGAAATCAGAATATAATGGAATAAGATCAAATATAATTTATCTCTCTTGTACCTTTTCTTGAATAAAAATGAAATATTCTTTTGGTAACAATAATAGAATTTCTTTTCAAATTTTACCTTTGTTCTCTTCCTTCTTATTTTTAACTTATCTTTCATTTTCATAAACAGAAAACGACAAATTTAACATATTCTGAAATTTGAAAAATTTTCTTAAGGAAAAGAACTTTCCTCTTTTTAATTCCTTAAAAAATTACAGATTTTTAGATAAAGAGATGCAAAGAAAAAGCAGTGCTATTTGCAGGATTTGAATGAAATTGGGTATCTCAAGATTGTAGTATTTTGAATTCCGAAAAAAAAAATTGAGAGAATGTCATCAACTTCATAGATAAGTCATTAGGAAGCAATTATGTTCAACACAAAATTTAACCAAGCAAATTTAAATCTGTAAAGTAAGAGTTCACAAAAATGGTTATTGATTCGTTCAGTTGGAATTTTTCTGAAACAATGAAATTTATGCAATAAATTTGATTAAAATTAATAAATGATTTCAAAAATATGCAAATTTGGTTAAGTGAAATTTTATGCCCTATGTGCATATCAAGGTTTACAAAGAAGATAAAAGTGAAAATGAAATTTCATAATTAAAAAAATTAAGACTATAAAAATTATCTAAATTTTATTTTATTTTAGGTTAATGGCTGATCAAGATAGCGGTGTTGTGAAACATCAGGTACCAAACATCATAACTGATCCTCCAAGTAGTGAAGAACATACACCACCGGCAAAAGTGCCTGAATTATTGAAAGGAGCTATGGAAATGTGATGTCACATTTGTGCAATATATATGTATGTACATTTTTCTTTTGTTTCACATTCAAATTATTCCTTTTCAAATTATTCCTTCTCTTTTTCTCAACTTCTCCTCATTTCTAGAATTTAATTCAATTTTATGATCTCTCTCACTTTCGCTTTCTACTGTTATTTCTCTATTTAAAAAAAAAAAAAAAAAAAAAAAAAACCTTTTTAAACGAGATAAATTTGCCAAAATTAATGATAACTTTGATCCTTTCTTCTTTTTCTTGTTTTTCTTTCTTTTTGATAAAAACAAAATTCTGGTGGAAAATTAATCAAGATATTATAAACAATTCGTTTTATTAGAAAGGATTTCTCATTATTATTGCTAATAAAGTTTTTTTTTTTTCTTCTAAATTGCCTGCATTTTAAGTTGTTTTTCTTTTAAAAGAAAAACAAAAAATTGCTGTGGCATAATAATATGTTTTAAATTAATTTGAAACTTTTGATGAAAACTGAAGTTTTTTTTTAATTGACTTTTTTGAATACTAATCAATGAAGATTTCTCTATAATGATTTCATATTATTTCACATTATTGAGAAATCCTTTTAACGAATTTGTTAAACTGATAATTGTGAAAATTTGTATTTTCAATTAATACTGTCAAGGATTTTATTCATTAAGGATTAATAAGTCAATACAAAGAAAAATATTTTAATGAAAAAGGGCGAATAAACCAATCTTTTATTTTATGATTATTATTTGCTGAAATAGTCATTATTTGCAATTACTTTATGCTTACTTTACAATTTGCAAATTTTTGTAATTTCAAATGTAAATAGGATATAACGGTGTATATTAAAAATAATTTAACAAAATTGATCATTCAATCATTCATTTTTTCGATCGATTGTTTCACTCTATATTTTAAAAATTCATCATGCTTTAAAGTTTCTTATCATTTAAACACCTCTTTGCATCTCTTTTGTTTCCTTCTTTTTTTTTCTATTAATTAAATAAAAGCATTTAGAAGATAGCAAAATTATCATTTTCATTATCTGCTTGACAACATTAGAGTATGAAGCGTAAGCAGAAAAAAGAAAAAGTAAGTAAATTTTAATGGAAAAATTGATCAATAATATGTCACAGTATGTACTTTTTATTTGATATAGACAATTCTAATTAATGGTTACATTTAAGTTAACAAATGAATAGCCAATTTACTAATATAAATACTAATATTTGATCAGATCAAGCAAATAATTCTGGTATTATGATATTCATCTTAATATATTCATTTCACAAAACTTTTTTATTCTTTTTTTTTTATGAGTGTGCTTTAAATTCCAATTATTTTTCATTTTAGCAAATGTTCTTCTTCATCTTCTTCTTTTCATATTGTAAATTATAAAGCAATTGATTTGTTATTTGCAATATTTATTAAATTTAAATTTGTTTAATTAAAAATTTTGTCCAAAAAAGTGAAAAAATAGGCCGGTGACTTTTATTTGTCATTATATTATGCCCAGTGCCTTAATCAATGTATGTCTTCATAAAGTAATGATAATACTGTAATTCGTTGTGCTTTATGATTATTGCTATGCTTGATAAATGTAAATATTATTTTAATGTTATTAACAATAGCTATAAGAAAAGAATGGAAATCATTTATTAATTGAAATCACAAATGAACTTATTTCAATTCTTGTTGATATCAACAGAAATATCAAAAAAATTTATAACTAATTCATTTATTTATTTATTTTTTTAGGTAATAATAGTTATGACAATAATTAATAAGTAACAAAATTACGAACAAAGCTTATCTAAAATGCTAATTTGAATTTGAAATTCAGAAAAATTTTAAATTTAAAAAATTTTTTAGATTCATTAATTATTGGTTGAATTCAACATGTGGTATAAACTTAAGCATATAAAGGGATCATTTTTTCGCCTTGAATTAGTACTCAAAATAAATTGGATAGTTCATTTAGGTAAAATAACATAAGCTAAAAATAGGTAATAAAATGCTAAAAAAGTAACAATATCAATTTAAAAATTTTGCAAACTTATGTTTAAATTAAAACGATAACACATCTTTATGTATGGTTGAAATGTTATTTACCATATATAAATCAATGAAAACTTGGTTGGAGAATTAGTTTGAAGATACGATTTGCCGATTTCCATTATTGAATTCTAAAAAGTTTCAACATGACCATCTTAGGAAGCAAGATATTAGATATAATTAGCAGTAATTATACTACGGATAACTGGATAATACTTACAATTCTGGCAGTATTAATAACCGAAAGAATAACCGGTTTTGGGTATGTATAATGATATGCAGTAGGGAAAAAATGGAACTAGTTTAAAATCTAAATATTAATTTAATTGACCTATTTCTGTAAAGTATTCTTCTAGCTCAAAATTATTGAATCATTGGTTTTTCAGGTCATTTTAACCTGTTAATAAAAATTAATTTTTTGAACCTAACCAATCATTTAATGAAAGTGTAGTGTAATTTCTATTACATGTGGATAATTTACTTCCTTATTCTATCTGTGGAATGAAAATTCACAACCGACCCTTTTACTTTCTCATTAATCCCAAATATTCGAATAATTAATTGTTTTATTTCCTGAAATTTGAAATAAATAAATGTTTACCATTACTCTTAAATAGCAAATAAGCTTATTTTCAAATAATCTTATACATTTCAAGATGAAGAAAAATACGATAAAATAAATGACGCAACTAATGAGCATACAAGAATTAAAGGAAGTAAAAATAGCATATTAAATATTAATTATCATTTCTATTTCTATCCATAATTTTTAGTTATCACATTTTTCTCCAATTAACAAGAAAAAATTTTTTTAATTTTCATCTTTTCTGACTTCTCTTTCTCTTTCCTGTTAAAACTTCGATGTGAAAAAAATATATAATTCGATAATTGATTTCAGGAAGGAATTTTAAATATAATCGGAATTTGATTATCTAGGAAAAAATTAAAGCAAAACTTATTTTACTACGCTTCATTCATTCATTCAAAAAAAAAGTTATATTTAGTAATCATAACTACTACTCCTAATCGGTCCCGCTTTTTTGTTCCCTGCAATCAGGAAATGCAGAACTACTCTCTTCCATTCTTTCAAATACCATCTAGATAATGACAAATTTACTGTATTATCTCACAGTTTTCATGAAATTTATAACTTTTAATTTTCCACCGCTGTTATTCATTATTACATGTTTTCTCACTTTCTCAATTAATTAGAAAGAAAAATGATCAAAAAATCAATGTACACTTCGTATATACTTCTAAAATATTATAGCTTATTTCTCATTTAAAATTTCAAAATATACACTGTAGTGCTAATAACTTATCCTTCCTCATTCTAACCTTTCGTCCTTATTTCCTCGTTACTGTCCAAATTTTTTCTCGTCTTTTTTATAAGAAAAAAAAATCGGTTCTTTCTTTCTTTTTCTTTTTTTCAAAGCAAACTTTATTGACATTGTTGTCACGACATTTGTTGACATTTTCATCCAAAAGTAAACATTACCAACCATCTGTAATCGTTCAACTCATTTTCTTGTCAAATATTGTTTTTATCCATTTTTTTTTTTTTTTTTTTTTGCTATCATTAATCTTTCTGAGCAATAAATTGGAAAAAAAAAAACAAATTTATTTTATTTTATTATTATACTAAGATTTTTGAGTAACAAATAAATTAAATTTTGATTTTTAAATCTATTTCCTTACACTGCTTAATAGTTTACATATATTCTGATATGAATATCAGATTAAATTCAATAAATATTTGCCACAAATGAAAATCATATTTCATTTCAATTACTTACTTAAGGTGAGGGTAAAATATTACAAGAGTACAAAACTATATGAAGACTTTATACTTCATTAATGGAAATGGAATTGTTTTTTTGCTGGATAAATTAGAAATGAAATTATTAATGAAACAAATATTCGACTTATCAATCCTATTAAAAGAAATAAAGATATCTGAAAGTTTTGTGAAATAATTGGTAAAAAATTTGTTTAGCAATAGAATGAATAGGAACGAGTTGGTAACTGCGTGATAATTGTTTGTTTAGTTGACAATATTTCTTCCCCTATTTGATAAGAGGATTTTTCTTCCCTCATTCTTCTATCGACAAATTTTGCTTCAATCATTTGTCAAAAATTTTTGATACCAAAAGTTTTTTTTCTTTTTTAAGTTGAATTATGTTTAAATATTAGTGAAAATTTTATTATTTATGACTGAATGATTTTGAAATTCTAAGAAAATACATTCAACTGGACATTTTTGCATTTGTACATTTACTGAAATTCAATGTTAGCTTATTTCGTTATTATGTTTCGATTCAATATAGCTTCCGTAATCATTTCCTATCACACCGTATACGTGTATCACTATCTCGGACGTGTATTGCTATTTCAGACGACTTAGAAGGTATTTGTGAGCAAATGGTAAAACTTTTGTGTATTATACCTATCCTCATTACCTTTACCATTTCAAATCTTTTTCACAATTAAAAAATTTGAATATGTGAACCTATCTATCTGTGTCCGTGTATCTACGTAGACAACTAGAGACTGAATCCATTCTGTACTGAAATTAATTACTCGAATGATAGAAACACTTGTATAATACTTGAATTATCCTTTCCATTGCGTCATTTGAACAACTCCAGCTCATTTTTCTTCACTATTCTCATCAATTGTCATTCTCAACAGGCACACTTTTTTTTTTTTCACTCTTTGCTTTCAATCAATCAATAATCGATCAATTAAGCAATGATTGGTTTTGAAATTCTTTCATCAATTCTTTTCAATCTCACTCAACATTTTTTACAAAAATCCGTGTTCTTTCCATGTTTTCAGTTTAATTTAATTCTGATTAATTTTCCAATTCTAATATCATTCACTTCTCCTAATTTTGGTTCAAAAATTAATAATTTTATCTTTTCTCTTTTCCTGCTGCATTATAATCATTGATATTACTTCTCCTACTATCATTATTAACTATTTCTGTAACTTTCCCTCTACTTAAAAAATTTTTTCTCAAATGAAAAGATTCAATCATTACAGTAAACATCAAATAATCAATGATAACTGAATGATAATTATGTATGTATGTGTATACTTGATAAACTACATAATAAATGGCAATTATTAAAAAGAAAGAAAAGAAAAGAATTCTTTTTCAAATTGAATAAAAAGAAAGAGAAAGAGAAGAAAAGTAATCGCAATTAGGTCATTTTTTACTTTTCATGAATTTCCATTTTATTTTTAACTTTTTTTCTTTCATTTTGTCATCCAATCAATATTTATTTATTTTGTTATATCATAAACGTATGATATAATATATAATGTGATTAAATAAATTTATTCCAATATGAAACAAATCAAAGTTTCAACTAATATTTCAATCAAAGTTTCAATTAAATATTTACTGAAAAAAAAAATTACCATTGGTTATTACTATTGTTAAATGTTCTTAGATTATTGCCATTATTGCAGACAATATATAAGTTACATAGATTATATAAACTATAGATTACTGTTATAAAAAGTTTTATAAATTATATAATTATATAGATTAGTTGTTCATACATTATTTGTATTATATTATTTATGTCATTTCAGATTAATGAAATGTTATCAAAGTGGGCATTATGAAATTTTCTATCATTTTTTTTTATTTTTAAATTTATTTTAAGTTTTAATTTTAAGCTAGTGTCATTTTTTTGACCAAGTGATTTATTTTTTTTTTTTACAGACTTCCAGTTGAAGCACAACATTCAGTGATGCTAAAAGTAAAATTCGAAATATCCAAACAGTTAAGTGATCGTAGTGATAAAATGATAACTGAATTATTGTTAATCTTACTGGTATTGTTCTGAAGTGGAAAAAACAACAATGTTTTGGAATATTTTGATCATTCTTTTCATGTTTTTCTCAGGAATCGAGCTTATCAATCGCTCTGTATTATTATCACCTTTATCATCATCGCCATCATCTTTATCATTATCTCCCTCCAAGTTTACATCCCTTTCATTAATACGAACTTATTATACTGCACAACCGCCACATCATTTCACCTATACAACTTCACTTAATTTTGAAAATGATCAAAATGGCCTAACTGTCAATGATATCACCAAGTTGCGACAGGTATTACTACTCTTTTATGTCATTTTTTTTCTTTTTTATTTATTTAATGATTTTTTTTTTTGCTTATTAGTAAATTGAAATAGCTAAAAAATTTTTCGATAATCAATGTGGACGATGGGTTATTATTGTTTATTGTATTAGCAATTTATTTCAGATAGATATGTAAATAAGTTCAAAAATTTTGAGCTTCAGTTTGATTTTTTCTTTTTTGGTAAAAACTAAAAACAAAAAAAAAAAAAAAAAAAACATAGATTTCAGCCAGAGTTAATTGAAAATATTAGTTTTCAAATAGAAATGAATAATTTGAAACTATTAACTATTATAATTTGCAACGTTTTAAGTTTCTTTTGATTTTATTTATTTCCACTAAAATTTAAAATTTTTTGAAGTTTTTCAAAACACTTTTAAATTAACTCAAGCAAAAAATGATAATACATGTAGAAAAAAACAATTTGCAATTATTATTCAGATTATAATTAATAATTAATTAAGCAAAAATTTCTTTTTTGCGAGCTCTTTTTACTATCACTAATTAGTTATTTTTCATATTCTCAATTTAAGTTTATACTGTATTCGTATAAGTTAATGAAACCACAACTTAAAAGTTTATTGAAAAAGATAAATTGTTGTTTATTCATTATTTTTGTCATTTAAATATGGCGAACATATCAAATTATCTCTTTATCATTTTTCAGTGACTATTATCATCATTCCTTTATTAAGAACTTACCAATCGTGAAAATAGTAAATTGTTCTCAACAAAATCTTTTCTTCATTTTTATTTTATTCATTAATTTCACTGCATTTTTATTTTTTCAACTCTCCTTTTCCTCTATCTATTAAATTTAGTTTTTCTATTTCTTGATTTTTCTTTTGTTTGCTTGTTTATTGCCTCCCAAATGTTACTAATAAATTGGTAACAGTAATATCTAAAACATGAAAAACATATCTTCCGTGTAAAGTTTATATGTGAATTTCAATTTCCTGTCTGGAAAAGGATTACTAATATTGGTTGACAGTGTGGATAATTTGATCATTGCAATATTTGCTTTCTTCGATGAAATCATTCAAAAGCAAACGAACTAATATTTAATAAATTATATTTATGATGAGCGTTCCAAATTTTAAAAATATTTCATATATTATTTCACAAAATTTATGAAAGGTTAGATTTGTAAAATTAAAAAACTTGAAATGGATTTTGAAATTTTTTTTGCATTTTGATTACAACAAATTGATAAGTATTACTTCTTAAAAACAATTTCTTTAACCGATTTACATTTCTTATCCCAGTCGTTACATATTTTGCCCTTTACGAAAAATCAAATCTAAATTAAAATAGTAAAACAATTTATTCCTAAACAATTTAATACTTTTAACAATTATAAATCATAATAGTTATCTAATGATAAAGATTTCCTATTAAATAAATTCAAATTCATATCAGTTCTTAATTTTATTTTGATTTTGTTTGATATGCATATTTTTCTTCAGATTGTGAGCAGAATGAATCAAAATTTACAATCAATGACAACGTTTCATCAACAATTATCAAATGACTATTATAACAAGAAACAGGGACAAACTGATAAATCAGATAATAATCTGCAATTAACATCAAATATTGATAATCGATTATGGCCTTCTCATAAAACTATTCCGGAAAATATGAAAGAAGAAGGACAGTGGTATTACGGTAACGCATTTCTATATTTTGATACTGATGTACTTCAGATCTATTTAAGTACTATTAATGTTTTTTATGTTTTTTAGGATATATATATATATATATATATAATCTTTCTACCTGTTTCACAGTATCAAACTAAACAATATTTTGCGATAATAAACACTGTTCTGTATTACTGTATTACCCAAAAATCCTAAAATTGATAGTAAACTTAATTCGCCATAGATAACTTGTAAAAATGATATATGTCATTCTCATTTTTCAATATCATTCAAACGTACACAATACCTTACTTAACTTCTCCGTATTATTTTCGCTGAAATATTTGAATTGATCAAATTAAGATTACACATACCCATCTAACAAATATTTTAACTTTGTTAACGTAACTTAGTAGTTTTCTAGAATAATTTGAATACTTAGACTTGTTTAGCAAATATTTTTAATTTTTAATGCTTAAAGTAAATTCTCAATCGATGATATTTAAGTTCAATAGTTGTAATAAAACTTTGCATAAATTTATTAAATCATTTTTTCATTTTAGAGCATATAAAAATGATTATATTACATTGGAATTTACAGCTTTAACTTTGAACTCGACTTTTGTTGCAGATCGTAATTATTTGGATTATAATCCGGAAGATCCGAGAATCGAGTCCTCTTTTCGACTGGTTCATGAATTACCTAATGATATAAATGATACAGTCACTCATATTTCGCAAATCACCAATGATTCAATTTTGCATTCTGTTGCAGGTATCACACCTAATATTTTATAAAAAATTTAACAGTTATTAAAACATTCTATTTTTAATAGTTCTTGAATACCTTACTAATACATAAAGTTCATTTAAATAATTTTATTGATTTTATTATATCTATGAAAAATTATATGGTCTATTGCATACTTAATTCAATCTACCACAGAAAACTATTATCAGATGTTGTAGTATTAAAAAAACAAGCATATTTCTTATCAGTTTCACTTAATCACATTGCATCTATCATTGTGATTAGATTACTTCACTAATCAAAAAGTGTTGCATCTGCAAAATAACAGTTACTACTCGTACTCGTACTCATTACCTAAAAATATCATCTTTTATTCTTAAATTTTGAATCTTTAATAAGTACAACAAGAGTTAGCTAAAAATGAAGTGTAAAACACGTCATTTTTTCGACGTGTACAGAGAGTTTTATGATTAAAGTAAATTAAACCTAAAATAAATTAACAGGATTTAGAAATAAATTTTTGTTTGGCATGAATGCCAACAAGCATTCAACAATTAATAATGCAAAAATTGATTATTTGCAGTAAAACTAGGATTTGGTATTGGTTTATCATTACTAATACTCCTATTGATCATCCTTATTGCCATTCTGTGTCGAGGATGGTTACGACGAAATTTGCTATCAGAAAATAACATTGATAACAATTCATCTAATCGTGATTTTTGTTTTAATTGTAATTTTGGTGGAAAAACAGCGATACAGAAGATAACGAATTTCAGTATCAGAAAAACACAGAAGCATTATAAAGATGAAAACAACCGATGCATTAAAGGAATTTACGATGTGTAAGTGTTTATTTCAAATTGTGGTAATTGTTTGAACATTAAATATATTAAACTTAACTTGATAATTTAATTTGATATTAAATCTACATAATTACATTTTGCCTAATTCGGTAATGGTATTAAGTGTAACTTTATGATTACATTAGCCTCACATTGATAATTGCATTAACTTCAATTTACTTTCTTAAATTACTCCTACTTTAAAAATTTTTTTTATGTCCTACACAGCAGCATTTTCATTTGATAACTGTTTGTGAAACAGGCAATCCTTTTTCTCGATACTCACAATTGTCAATCTTTTGCTGTGATGACGAAAGATTGAAATGAAAACTTTTCAAGGGATCGTAAAGTTTGTCCTTAATTCTCCAAAAACAAGTCTAAAAGATTTTTTTAAGAGATCTTTCACTTTTCGCCTCCTTTTTTTCTGTGAGAAGTAGAAAATCCCAGCAGATCTAAAAGTTGTTCTAATTGTGGATAAATAGTAATATTTAGAGGAGATGAAAACAAAAGTGAAATAATACTTATTTTCAATAAAATTCTTGCAGAGAAAAAGACACTCTTACCACTTATCACTTACTTAATTGTGTTCCTTTTTTAAGTGAAAATTTATGGTTGCTAGAAAAATCACGATTAGTGGTATTTCATGAAATGAAACTTGGTTCTGGCGCATTTTGCAATGTCTACAAAGGTTGTAACTTTGTTCATGTACACATATATTTGTCAGAAAAAGTGAAAAGAAATAGCAATTTTAAAACAGAGCAATTTATCAAAAAGTACAAATAAGTTACAGTTGACAGTTTGCTTTGAATGACTGAAATTTCCTAGACATTTTAAAATAAATTATAGTTGTTTATGAAAATGTATTTACCATTATATAATAAAAGTATTTAATAATTATCATAGTTTACAATGATTATAGTTCATTAGACTGTTCACTTTTGATGAAATAATAATAATAATAATAATAGTATAATAATAATAATAATAATAATAATAATAATAATAATAATAATAATAATAATATTGGAAATGTTTTTCTTTATATATTGATTAACAAAGAATAATTAAAAATGTTATTTTCTATTATTATAGTTATAACAATATTAATACTAATATAGGTAATGATTTTTTTACACTGATTAACAACGAATAATTAAAAATATCATTTTCAGTTATCATAATTTGCTGATGATTATTAATGGTGCAGTTCTTATCAATAACTTCACTGATATTTCTTTTGCTGTAAATTATTGTATTGTTTTTCTTTTCTTCCTTATATTAAAAAGTTTTCCCTAATTCTTTTCTTTCTATTTTTTAGGCGCTATTAAAGGGTTTGCGCCAATTTGTAAAATAAATCCATCATTAATATCTACTGGAATATTCAAAGATTGCATGTGTGCTGTAAAAATGCTTCCTTCTATTGCAGATGACATTGCGCATGCTGACTTTATCCAGGTTTTATCATTTTAACAATATTTCAAATAAAGTTAGTAATAGTTAAAATAGCAAATTTTAGTGGAAAAAAATCAAATTGTAATTTTATCTGTAAGTAATAAATTTATAACATAATGTATCCATAAAGGAAGGTTGAAAAATGTTTGAAAAGTCATTTAAATTTCATATTGAATTACTAAATTTAATGATAGATCGCTTACTAAATTAATTACTTTAATTATCCTTTGAAAAGTTTTCGTTTGTTCCTTTTTTGCTACTGTTATCATTAACGGAATAGCAAAGCAAAAGTACCATTATAAAAAAAAAAAAATGCTTAGGGCTAATCTTTGACCTGTTCATTACTTTGAATTATTTCCTTTTACTCTTTTCCATTGTTTTGTAAAATACAGATATAATTGGCTAATTTATGCTTACGTCTCTTTTAAAACAATGTTCTAAACTCCAATTTTTTTTTTTTTTTTAATAGTTATGTTCAAATATATATTTTCATTTCCAATTGTTCTAATTTTTAAGTTCAAATTCTAATTTAAAATTTAATTTTAATTGGAAACATCAAATTAAATTAATTGTAGGAAATAAAATTTATGAAATCACTCAAATATCATCCACATTTGATAAGTATGCTTGGTATAAGTATTGACAATAATGGTAACACTATGCTTCTTACCGAATATTGCGATTTGGGTGATCTTTTACACTTGGTACGAAATAGAAAAGGCGAAATTATTATGGTTCATTTTAATTTTATTACTTATCAGAATTTTATCCAAAAAAAAAGCATTTGTGTAAAAAATTTTCAAAAAAATTTATAAAAATATTACAGCTTTCAAATATTATTGGTAATAAAATTAAATTCCTTACTATGAATTAGTTAGTGAAAAAAAAAGTGGGGGAAAAAAATAGGAAATCTTTTTCTTTAGAATCATACAAACGAACATTCAAAATTACGAATCAAAGATTTGGTATCGTTTGCATGGCAAATCAGTAATGGATTAGTAAGTTTATGCTTTATAAGAAATCAATTTTTTTGTTAAAAATTACAAGTTAAATGCGTTATTTTAGTTGAAAAGATATATACAAGTTGAAATAAAAAAATTTAGCTAAAAGTTAATTTAAGTAAAGTATCATTAATGTGCCAATGATTCCTTTTACTCTTTTCCATGTGTTTTGGAAAAAAAAGATAATATTGGCTAATTTATACTTACGTCTAATATGGATTATAGTTTCACGTTATATAGGAGTACTTGAGCAGTATAGGATGCGTACATCGTGACGTAGCTGCACGTAATATACTTGTCAATGCTACAAATATTTGTAAGGTTAGCTTTTTTCTTGTATAATTTAATTAATGTAGTTAATAGCCAAAACATCTACTTGTCTACCTGTAATTATTATTTTAATAAGATATTACTAAATTGCTGTTAGCATTTAGATTAGCACAATAAATATGAAATGAAATTGACAAGTCTTTTTATTTTGATTTTAATTTTAGTAGTTGTTCAATTTTGATACATCAAACTTTAAAAATAAAGATGATTAATGCTTGCAATTGATATTTTAACCATTGTATCATTTAGCTGGAACTTTCTTTTAGAAAGTTAATAAATTCTCACGATCATATATAAATTTCTACTTATTTACTTTTGATTTCATTATTTCTATATTCATTCACTTAGTTCTATTTCAGTTAAAATTATGATTGCTATGCTATTTGCATAATCTACCAAACATTCTAGCTTTATTTATTGTTATCATTATCCATAAAACTTTATAAAGTTCGTGAGACATACCTTTTATATTTCTGATAGAGGAAAGGAAAAAGAAAAAACATTTCGTGAGACAATCCGGTAGATCAAATTAAAACATTAAATTAATCATCTCTCATGCTCTTCTTTGTTTTCTCTTTTTTTTATTCAATTCTATTGTTATGTTTTTCATAATTTTTAATTTCAATCATTTTCATTGGTTTGTTTTACTGTATTATCATTTTATTAAAGCTTTATTGAAATTTTTGAATTTCATAAATTTATTAAGCGATTGAAAAAAAAAGCCAAATGTTAAAAACAGAAATTTAAAAAGTGCACTGTAACACATTGGAACCAGAAGAAAGTAATCGCTGCTAAATAATTTTATTCTTTAAATTAACAAATATACTAATTAAATCTAAAAAGTTATTTTTCTATTTTTTTGCAGATAGCTGATTTTGGTTTATGTCGATTATCCGATTCGTTTATTTACACTGGTTGTGGTGGAAGGTTGCCGCTAAAGTGGATGGCACCGGAATCATTACGATCATATGAATATTCAGTTAAAACCGATGTGTATGTAATTACAGTATTCTTAATTCATTTAGAAATTTTAAGTAATTTTGTTTGAAATCACTATAAAATTTGGTTTTTGCATTCTTAATTGAACTCCAATGTAAAATTAGGTAGGAAATTACTGCTAGTAAAAATAATACCTATAATTTGGGCAAGTTAAAATGGAATTATTTACTTTCAAAGATTATTTTAGCAATAAGAGTTTTCTTTTTATTATAATGCTTAATTTTATCTAAATTACTACTACTTTAACTTTGTAGCTTAATAGTCACTTGCACACTTTAACTCATCTGTCCTAATTTCAGATGGTCTTATGGCATACTACTTTATGAGGTATTTTCATTTGGTGAAGTACCTTATGCACTTTTGCAAACAACCGAAATTCTTGATTTCCTAAATTCAGGTGCTCGTCTTAGCCAACCACAATATTGTCCAATTAATATGTTCGTTTTCTTTCTTGTTTCTTCCGTTTTATTTTATCGTTTGGTATTACTAATTTAATTTTGAAAATTTCAAATGATTCGATCCCATAAAAACTTTACCATTCATTAACCATTTTTCTAATAGTAATAATAATAACAGTAATAATTATAGTAATAATAATATTAATAATAATAGTAATAATTATAGCAATAATAATAATAATAATAATAATAATAATAATAATAATAATAATAACTCAACTATTCATGATTTTCCCAATCTCTAGCTTTACACTATTTTGTCAACCTCAGCAATCTCTGTTCTCTTGCCAATTATTGCAATATTTTCCCTCATTCTACCATAAATAATTCTACTAGCATTTCGAAGTGTAAAATTCATTTATTCGAACTTTCAATCCTTGCATAAACTTGTCTTGGACGCATTTCTCGTCTTCTCTCTTTTTTCGTTTCCAAATAATTTTCTTCAAAAAAAAAAAAAAAAAAAAAAAAAAAAAACACCATTAAACAATTAAAAAATTAAAGTAGAAATTATTTCTAGATATACGCTGATGCTTCAATGTTGGCAAGATGGACCATCCTTGCGGCCCAGTTTCACAGAAATTTGTGCCACTTTGCGAATGATTCTGGAAGATAACTTTGGACATTATGGATATATTAATTCCACCAATTGATTAAACGAATGAAAATATTTGACCCAATTGTATCATAAATTTTTTAAATTAAATAGAATTTATTACTAAATTAATTAAAAATATTTATTTTTCAGTTCTCAACAATTTCTTAACAATACATACATTTCTCTTTCTCTCGTTTCTTTCTTGCTCATTCACTCTTTATCTTAAAATTGAGTTTAAAGAAAAAAAAAGAAAGAAATTGAAGAATTGAAAAATTCTTCTGTCATCGAATAGTACTTCACTGAAAGTAATCGACTAGAAGTTAAATATTAATATTCAATGATGGATTTTTTGAGGAGAAAATAATTTTGCTTGGACAATTTTAATAACAATTTTACAACAAAAATTGTCATATTTTTCTATCTCAAAATCATTTTTTCCACGTTAACTTGTCTACATTGACGTTATCCGCTGAAAGTTACCATAGGAAGATATATTTGTTGATCTAAACCAATATTAATAATGCAAATTCCAATAATGATAATTACAAGCAACGACAATAATAATTGGTAATAAATAATAATAAATCAGTGATAATAACAGTAGCAATGATAATTATAATGATCACAATGATAAATACAGACTTTTAGGCCACAGTCTTATTTAAGCAAAATTAACAAAAGTATCAAGAATGCTATATTCAAGAAAAAAAGCTACAAAAAAAAAAAGGAAATTAGGAACTAGTAAAATGATAGATGTAAATAAAAAAGATCTGAATAAATCGGATGACTTCAGATTTCTCATAACAAAAAACTTTTATATTAATTAAATGTTTACTTATCACAATTCATCACATTTCAATTCACTGAAAGGAAATAAAATGTGCAAAAATCATGCAGTTTGATTAATACTTTAACATGAATCAATTAATAACTTGTAAAAGTTAAAAGTATACTAATATTGCAAAAATACTGAAGAATTATATGGTGACATTGATCACCGTATTACTTAAATTGACAACAATAATTATTTTTTTCTATTTAGCACATTTTTTTTTAAATTCTACAGCAACAAAATTCCAATTACACCGTAAAACAACAATAACAATAATACCCACAGTAACAACACCAAATATAGCAGTACCATCAAAATAAACGTAAAGAATTGGTATACATTCACTACCCAACTGCCGGCAAATAGGCCGAAAGTACTAATACAGTAACTAAAGAAAAAGATTGTATATAGTGTATAGGATCTTATCGTTAATAAAGAAAAAAGGAAGGGCGCTAACACAAAGGAGTCAACCTAACAGGAGTTAGCAATGTGGATATTTGATCTCAACAAGTTGGCTTTTCAGCGATATAAGCAGAGCAATTTCTTATTATGAATATTATATCGGTCGACGATTTGAGGGACGGTGGTGTGAGGGCGCACTGAGGTCGCGTCAGAGGAAAACGGTTAGGTAGGAAGAGTAAGAGGGATTCGATCTTAGGACACCAGTAGGACGACACGTTCATAGGACATTTTAACTGATAGACGGAAAACCTTCGTTACTAACGGCGACAAAGAGTAAAAGTTAACCACACAAGTTTGAGGTGCGAAAAACAATGAACGACAACAACGGGTTTAATTACCCAAGTTGAGTATTAAACGACGTAAATTTCGACGAGGAGAAATTCAACGGATGGAGAAATACAACGGCAAAAACAATATTCTTGCAATAAACGACGACGTACAAGCAACGATCAAACCAACGACATTTACGACACTCAACGACAATTCAAGGATTAAGAAGGGAAGAAAAAAAAGAACAACAGTTCGACCAGTTCTACTGACAGCATAACGTGACGAAAGAGTGATAAGAATATAAATTAAAGTAGGAAACAATTATATAAACAGATAATCGTCCCTTATAAAAAAAAGAGGAAAATTTTTTTTCCTACACTGACGTCAAATTTACCACTCTTGAAATCCTAATCACTGCTCCTGCAGTATTATTTATCAAATCATTTCATTCCTTTTTGTTAAAATAATACACATAAAATGATACCACCCGTTTTCAACAAGAAAATAAAAATTTAATTTTTTCAATTATTGCAGTAATCAACTTTAATAATTACTAATTAAATAAAATTATTCATTATAATCGATAATTCTTCAAAAATAACAGCTTTTTGTCGTTTATTTGTTTTTTCCAACATTTTTTGCTTATATTAACTAGAAAGTTAAATGATGCATGAGACTGAGCCTAAATTCTAGTTACTCTAATTTTTTATTGCTTTATAAAAATAAAGAAAAGAAAACAAACTAAGAATATCTGTCCAACTATGTCTGATCCTACAGTTTCGAAATCTAATGCTTGTTATCGCTTTCTTGATATTTTTACTAGGAGGAGGTGGAGGAGGCGGAGAGGTCGTTGAATCATGCGGTGTTTGCACATCAGCATCCATTTTTGACATCTTAGAATAACACACAACTGATAAATATCGTTATCAAATTTGGTTATGTCCTGAAAAGTCCTAAAATGTATTGAAATTTTATTTTTTGCTGTTATATGTTTTTATATCTTCACGCTATCATAGGTTGAATATTGCACCAATAATAATTAGTACCAAATAATACAATGTTTTTTTTGTTTACTTTTTTAATTTATTTTATTATTATTTTTTTTTAGAATTATTGCCAATTAATAATAAATACCTAAAAACAACTAGAAATAATTTTTATATAAATGAAATGAAATCATTAACTAATTATGTCCATGTTCAGTTCCAAATATATTAATAGAAATTGCACACCTGTATTAGTGAAGTAACTTAATAGGATATGAAATAATATTTTAATGAATTATTTCATTTCTTTATTTATATAAAAAATATTTCTAATTACATACATTTATATAAAAAAAAAGTGAAAGAAATGAATGCATACATAAGCAAATAAGTTAAATGTTTGCATGCTATGAAATGGAAACTTAATAGGTACTATCAAAATATTAATCATTAGGTGTCAAGAGAATATACCTTAATAGGTATATTCTTAATATAATATACCTTAACTTCTTCAACATCATAATTTAAGCTAACATTTGTATTTTCACCAATTTTTTTTTTGTTTTGAAACCAAAAAAGAAAATATTTTTAAAAGTTTCAAATATCAATATTTTTAAAAAAAGCAGAAAAACATTTATGAGAAAAAGACTGAAGAGCATCCATATGCATACATTTTGAAAATCATTCGAAACAAAACGAAAAAACAAAATAGTTCTGCTGGAAATCACCATCTGATGGTATTCATTCAGTAATAATCAAATTTGTTTGTCTTCCTCATTGACCAGTTAATATCAATATATAACATTAACATTTAATTTAAACAATAACAATAAATTAGCATAACATACTTTTCCTTCTCATTTTATCAATTGTAAACAAATCTTCAATAAAAAAAAAAAACTGTACAGAATGAAACCACCAGCGTTGAAAATAAACTGCGGATGTTAATATCTGCTTTGCTTTTTTTCTTTTTTTTAATGAAGAAAGAGTTAAATTTTGTAGAAAAAAGAAATGCCTCAACTGAAATAAAGAATGAGAAAAAATTTTCTTTTATATTTTGATATTAAAACGGTGATAAAATATTCCTATGGTACAATTAAATAAATTGACGACAATTACTATTAGCCTATTTAGTCTTTATATCACAGTATTTCCTATAACTTGCACACCTTACAAAAACATCCCATTTTCCTTTCAGTATTTTCTCTTTTATTTCTTTAACTTTTTATACTACTTCTATCTCATTTCATACATGCAAAAGAACTAAAATAATATGAATTTAAAAAATGGTTTATCTCATTTGAAATGCCGGCACAAATCATACCTGAATATGAATATAAACGGAAAATTTATTCGTTTTTCTGGGACAGCTCAAATTTAACTTTATTCCTTCCACTTAACAGATACAGTTCTAGCACTTACCTATACCATTTGACTAATAATTCATGTCTATACACGCTACCCGAAATTATTAGCTTCATCTGCCATTGGGAAAATCCAAGATTTATTTATATGAGAGTTTATAACGATGCTACAGAGCGAGAAATTTTACCATTAGAGTATTTTCACCATTTCTGATATATTTTATAAATTTATTAATTAGTTTTGTAATCTTTATATAAGTAATTCGAGTGATTAACTGGAATAAATTTTTATGGAAAAAAAAAGTTGCGGATTTCAACCCAATGAAATGTATAGCAAAATGTATATCATTATTGTTTATAAGTAAAATTTTCGTCATGTCCTCAAAAAAACGAATTCACCGGAAAAATAAAAAATCTCTATGAACCGCGATGCATTTTAACACACATACAACAATAGCAACACATAAGAAAATTTGGCCTGGGTATTAGTGGCAAAGCAGGATCAGCTGATAACACTTAAAATATTCAAAGAGAAAGGTAAAATATAGCTATGTTTCATAAGAAGTCAACCAATGAAGCTTAATTAACTTTATGTTTTAAACTTTAAACAAGTTAAGAAAAAAATCAAATAGCTTGTTTATATGACCAAAACTGTGAAGAATCTGCGAAAGATACTTTGCATTGAACAATAATCAGAAATCATCTCTAATGGAATAAACATACTATAAACAAGTTAAAAAACGTGGAACAATTGATATAAAAAAAAGGATGAAAGAAAAGAGAAATGAAATCAAAGGTCATTACTTCCGCATATTAACAATAAAACAAATGGAAAGAAATTAAGCAAGCTTATAAGTACAATATCGAGAAAAGTTTATGATCTCATTAAATCGATACATGATCTCATTTAGAACCATCTTAACAAACTGTTCATTTCCCAATCCCGCCAAGTGAGATTAATAACAATTCTAACATCGCCAGAAAGAATCTATACAGCGTCGGACGCCAGCAAATTTCTTTAAAGTTCAAATAATAGGCGATTTTTGAAATTTAAACTTAATTCGTTTTCTAAAATTTAAACATTGCTAGAATTCATGTGCTTTGCAACCCATTTACCGATCGATGGACTGCAAAAAAACTCATATGGCGAAAAATAAAATAACGAGAGAAAGAGACATACAACTTAAAAATCAATCTATGTTATATACATATTCAAGTAGTTAAGTAGTCGAAGTAATAAAGTATACAATAATGAGATGGTACAAGGTGAAATACACGTAAAGAGATTGCCTTGAACCACTTAAAAATATATATATATATATCTTTGAAAAATAGCTAACCGTAAAATAAGAAGGAATGAAAATTGAAAATCAAATTGTCCTTTCAAATAGTTTAGGGCAAAAACTTGAAGAGAAGGAGACAGAGTGGAACCTTGAACTAATAATCTTTTTCTGTCCGGTGAATCCTTTTTGAAATGTTTTCTGTATATCACCACAAACACCTTCCATCTCAGCTGATGCCTGAATCGGGTCCAACTATGCGAATATTTAGATAAGTAGTACGCCCATAATAATAAACAGTATCGTATATATATATGAGTTCTCTTAAACATGATTCCGCATAGAAAACTTTGAATCTCCTGCAGCAAAACTTAAATAAGGCAAGAATCAGACGGATAAAAATGAAAAAAATAAAAACCATCAGCTTACGAATGATGACGTGTACTATAACAAACAAAGAACAAGACATAGGGTATTGATTAAAAAAAAAATTTTGAAAAATTATGCCTAACAAGTTCTGTCACGAGAAATACATGTCATCTACTAAAAGCTTTCCAAATATTATAGAACTTAATAAGCTTCAGATTATAAGATAAAAACAATATAAAGACCCACTAAAATCCATCTCCAACATCCTTACAACTTCCAAGGACATCGTTACGAAAGATAGGACATCCCTAAAGTATGCAATATATCATCATGATATTAATGCTGCTGCTGCAGCATTAATATCCCATCGACAATCTTCTAATGCACTGATTGCTTGACCTCTATCTTGCGCTACACCCATCGATAACAATTCTTCGATTTTTAATTCATTTACGGCTTTTTCAATGTTATTATTATACCGTTGAAGTTTTATCGCACATCGCCGTCTACTGCAAAGAAAAAAAAAATGCAGTTGGACAGGAATTAAGACTAACTAGTAACTGACTTAAGTAGAATGGCTCTATTATATATATATATATATATGGATTTTATGATTGGCAAGAATCACACATACAATACTTGCCAATCATAAAACATAATACAGTTTTAATAAAACGGTATTATGTTGTGTTTAGATGAAATAACTAACAATTCAACATTATCTGTACTAATCTAGATGCCAAAATAACTTAATAGTTCGTTCTACCTAGAGATTTTCACTTCACTGTGGTAATAACCAAATTCAATGTGTTAAAATTGTGACTATTTAAAAATATGAAGACAAAAAATTCTTCAAATGAAACATTTACTTACTCCGCAAAAGCCGCATTTCTTAGAACAAGGCTAACAGGATCAGAGTTCGATATCGATGAAGTTGACATATTTGTGGAAGCAGGAATTACTCGTTCTGCGACTAGTGGATCAAACATACCCAAAATTTCATCACTTAACTTAAATGAAACTTGTTACTGAAATTCAAATATTATGCATTTCACTTAATTTTCTAATTCTCATGCTATGATTATCTATGATTTATAATATCCCACAGTAACCTTCTTCTTTGCACAGTTTCCTATTCACACTGCTAGCTTAAGAAAAACAAGAAAACTTCTCTTTGAACTGTATATCACAAATTAGTAAACTTTAAGTGTGATTTATTTTAGAATTTAGATGCCTTAGACTTTACCAGTTTCATCTAACAATGGCACCATTCATGAAATATGAGGAACCATCATCTAAGAATGAAAGCTTACATAAGAATTCCTTTGTTTTGAAGAATTCACAACAGAACTGTTGCTTACATGTCGCGAAGGAAGGGATTCTTCATTTGCCATCGGTTCACTCAAATTTAACTGGACATCTAAAATAAATCACACTTGAAGAAAAGAAAGAACAACGAAAAGTATACACAAAAATAGCTGAACTATGCTATTGTTATTTTCAAAAAATTTTGATGTCAGTAATTTTTGATCTCCTTTTTGTCATTTAAGTAGAATCTGAATTAACTTTAACAGAATCCAATATAAGCAAACTAATGTGTACTTGAAAAAAAAAAATGTCGAAGGATGATGTAACCATGTAAGACATAAGCAACCACAAGAATAGATTAAACAAAATAATTAAACGATTAACATCATTGTTTCTTTTTATAATCATGATAAAGTCATGTCCAGTTTTCAGCTCCCATATTCCTATATTTTCTCTATGTAAAGATGTTTAACTCGTCCATTTCTAAACAATCTCTAAATATTATATTCCCCGTAAAAGCAATCAAAGATAAACTAACTGTGAGAGTTATAAAGTAAAGCAGGGGTACTTCCATAAGTTGATGACAAAGTAGGTTGTTGAAGCACAGATTGTTCAGCATAGTAGCATGTCTAAAATTCTTATCATCAAGGTATGCACTGTTTGGTATAGTCGGCATAAACTTTATCGTCACATTAACATTGTTAGAGAATGAACTTATTTCATTACTCGTCTTACTCTTAGAATAAAGGAATAAGATTAATTTTAAGATGCTCTAAAATGTAATAAACATTTCTTTTTGTATATTATCAAAGAATATGATAAACTTTAAAAAAAAGCTTTTACTCCTAAATCGAGCGGAGATTTTGTTGATCTTGATAATGGTGATGAAAGGAAGCTGATGTTCGGTGGCTGTTCACCATCAAGAAATATTGTTGATGTTCTTTGCAGTTTATTAGCGTTATAAGGTTGCTTAATTCCAATCTTATAAGTCGTACTTAACGAATTAGCTGAAACCTGAAAAGGTGAAGCTGTAAATTCAATAAAACGAAGAAACAAAATGAAAAGATTTTCTAACCAAAGAATAACGTTCTGTGAAATGGCTAGATCAGAATTTCCATCGTTTTGGGAACAAGTAAAATCCAGAGTTGCTCATAAATAATCCTAAACTGAATGAAGTGTTTAAGCAGGCAAGTGGTAAGTCTCTATTTCTTTCTTTATGTATGGTCAACTATCTAAACTTAGGATGGAGTAAACGGATAGCGGTGTTATATGCAAAAACAAGAGATCAAATGGGATAAAGGTAACGACATTAAAACGGTTCAAAAATGTTAAAGTAATAAAAAATTTATACAGCTTTAGCAGATGCGGAAAGATCTTTGAATAGTTGACTGTAACCTCCTTTAGTAGTAATATCTTTCACAGTCTTTGAAATCTGAAAATGATATTTACAAAAATTATTCCGTAATATAATAGCCAGATTCTTAATGAAAAACTTTCATAAGAGCACAAAAATCTACCTCGAAAGGATCGTGACTGTAGGAAGTACTAGATGCAGTTATTTCAGAATGCACAGAAGTTGAATAATTCTCATGTGGACTAGCATCATTTGAAGTAGAGGTACCTGACGCATTATTTCCCAGCAGAGAAGTCGGATCCCACTGAGCATTATTCACCATTAACTATAAAAATTTATTGGAAGAACTGAAACATCTCACTAACAACTTAAATGATACTGATAATTGTAGTTGTAGTAGATAGGGAAAATTGTAGAAAAAGATTTCATTGTATAATGCTTAAAAACCTGTCTCAAATTCGGTGGTTTTGGCCTTGGCGGTGGTATTTTTCCGTTTTGCATCTGACTTTTATCACTCGTACTCTGACATGCCCCTTCTATGGTAGTTGTCTGATAATTCAGTGTTCGCTGCATTTCTACATTATAACTAGATGAATTTGAACGAAGTATGAAACATAATACAGAAAAAAAAAAAAAAAAAACCAGAGCGAGACAGATAAGCCTTATGGTTAACCTAATAATTTATGTTGTGTGCGTACATACCTGGTTTATTCTGTATGTTGGATGAAGATTGGAAATGTTCCCACGATGTGGAAGGCAATTGAGAAGCAGAAGATGATTGCTACAACAGGAAATTTTCTTTAAGAAAGTCCCATATGTCATTATTATCAGAAAGCTCACATAAAAGAACAAACATTTGTTCGAGATAATAAAGATTAACGCTTTAATAACATCAACAGCAATGAACTAAAGACTAATAAAGTTAGTAATTAACTTTGCATTGGTAGTACTTTGTGATGGAAATACCATTGCTACAGTTTTCAACAAATTAAACGGTGTACTGGAGATTGTATTGGTGACTAATTAGAACTGACTACTGCAGAGTTAACTTCTGAAAAGCTCATAGCTCTAAATGTTTCTTCACTGTTAATAAATTAATCTGGACAATTGTCAGAAATTTCTCTTACCACTGTTTTGAGAGATTGCAGTGATGGCTGTACTGTAATGTCAGTGCCAGAAAATGATGACCGATGTATTTGGCTGGAAAAAAATGAATTCGAAAAATTAATTCTCAAACTGCAAAATATTGTCATACAATATAGTTTCGTAACAAAATTTCGACTCTAGGAAACACCATATTTAATCTAAATTTGAAATTTCATTTTCTATACTATATTTTTCCCAGTGAAGCTTATACATGATAGTGAACTGTTAGGATTTTTGCATATGGGAAAAACATGCAACACTAGAATCACTGTAGTGGTCTATTTTTAAGGATGAGATAGTAAAGGTGTATAAATTGTGTATAAATTAATTAGACAAATTTGATAATATGAACCATTAAGGCATTATTGTTGGTTAAGCTACTGATGATAGCGGTGCAGTGAATAATAATGAATTTCATATATTTATATGAATGCAAACCTGCATGATACGATGTGAGATGTTGATTGAATTGGTTGCGGCAATGACAGAAATTGCTCTAAAAAAATTATAAAAACAAGAAAGATGAGAATGACATAAAAAAACCACCTCAAAACATTTTTGTAAAACATGACATTATCTTTCGTACGTTCTAAAGCACAAATTATACATTCTAAAGCTACATGAATTTATTGCAATCATTATACCTCTCTTTTACCGGCTATCACTATAAACGAAATATTAGTTGAAATATTCAAATTCGATGTAGATGGTCCCAGTAATGGACCTCTATCACAACAGAAATTACAAATGTTATTGTAATTTTGGGTATTTTGTCTGCCTGTCTGTCTAACTTCGGATATTTTGTAATATTTTCATTTTCCATTTCTTATTTCTCATTCAGTCCTATTTCTAACTTTCTGTTCAAATAACAAAATAATTAAACAGAAATAAATAAAAAAAAAAAGCATTAAGCAAGTACTTGGTTTTTAGAAATTGAGGGCAAAATAGTCAAATCATCATTAGTAACAAACTGTTTTTAATTTTACTATCTTATGGAAAAGTCTATTTTCAGAAAAAGCTTAAAAAGCTAAAGCTTATGAAAAAAAGGACTACTGAAACAAAAAGCGATCCATATTTAATATATCACACTATCTGTATGTAGTTTTTTTCACAAAAATTACAAAAAACTAACCGACGGATTGTGGATGCATCATATCCTGCGAACATGATATCAGTGGTGGTTCATCGTAAAAATTTGATGAAGATAACGGTAAAAATCTTGTTATATCTAAAATTCATTGATAACCGCAAGAAGAGTGCAGGTAATGGTGTGAGGTAAGTAGGCTGTGGTATCAGTGATTTTAGAACATACATTTGCTAGAACTACGTAAAGGAAGACTTTATAATTGAGATTAGGCAATCTAAGAAACCTCTGATGAGTTAGCTAGTCTCAGCTTAGGATTATTAGTTTTTTTTTTTACTATTTCTCTCATACTCGCATAAGTTATCCATTTAAATTATATCCGCAATCTAAGTTCGGATGAAAAATCATCACTAATGAACGACAGCTGCTAAATAATTACAAGTATCCATAAAAAAAAATTTGCATAGCTTATTCAATATATTGATAAGAGAATGATAATCCAAAATTTCAGTGTTTATTTTACATGAAAACATACAGTTTGCTTGCATACGATACCTATTTTATGAATAAAAACATACCATCGCTGTGCTGACGAGATTCATTGTCGTTCATACCGTCGAAAGAGTAAATGCTGAATGGTGCGAAAGGATCAATATATGAACCAATTCCTGGAATAGTTGTGAAGGGATCAAAGAATGAAAAACATTCACTTATGTTTACCAGTTGACTAGCATAAATCAATGATACTGAAGGGTAATAGAAATTTTTTAAAGTAAATTTTAGAATTACCATTCTTGTTGGGTTGGTTCTGAACCCACAAAGGTGGCTTTAAGTCAACAAGAGAAGGAATTATTTCCGGCCCATATTGCTTCTGACCATTTCTGAAAAAAAAAAAAAAAAAAAAAAAGTACACAATATTTTAAGAACTACAACATATAACTTTAAATAGGATAATTGCGATTACATATGGTTTTGAACACTATACAGAATATTTCAAATAAGATAAACGTAGTTATAATCAGCCACTAATAATTAGGTAAAATAAGATACTCATAAATAGATTCTTCTTTCCTCAAAATAGGATTTTTCAGATATATATCATCGATGTAATTTGGTTGACCCCAAGATTGTTCTGCATTTATATCACCATGTCCAGCATGTATAAATGATCCTACAAACTATTCAAATTAAGAAAAATTTAATGGAAGAAATACATAATGCAAGCAAAATACAGACGTATATCCAGTAGTAGAATAAAACCATCCTAAATCAAGTAAAAATCTATTGATACCTCGTACTGGTTTAGAAATATAAGTATCTATCCGATTTTGTTGCTGTAGTGGATTAATTATTAGTTCAGCATTTTTAGCCCCACTGCGTTCATTTCGCAAATGTACCGATGAACGATTGAATAAACCAAATTTCCGCGTTCTTACATTCTGTCCAAACCAAATCAAACCACTGTAATGAAATAAAGCGTTCGTATTCAAAATGTCGTTATGTAACTTAAATCATATTCAGTAAATTTATAGTAATCAATAAGTAATTCATACATATATTTCTATTCACTTAACAGCAGATTATTCGCTGAAATATCAATAACCGTAGCTGCAGATAAATCCAAAATGAAAAAAAGTAACATCGCAAACTATCATTCATCATCAAATATGACTGATAAAGAAAAATGAAATAAAGTAGTACCTTCCATGAATGATGATAACAAGATCATTAACAATCAGCTCTAAGTCAGTACCCCGTGATGGAGTAGAGGTTTCACGGCATTCAGCTACCGTAAACATTATCTAAATATATTTAGGTGCATTTTCAAATTATCTTAATCCAGCTCAAAAATATTTTTTTGACAATGATTGCACTTTCATTTGTTATTTTTTTGTTACTGCAGGTCTGTTCGTTAATACGATACATATATGTAACTAAGGTATCTTCGATGTTTTAAATTAGAAATTACAGGATAGCAAAGAAGACAAAATTTGCAATTATTTTCGATATACGTCAATCCGCAAAGTTAACTACCCACGGTCACTTCATTTTTGCATAAAGAAAAATATTTGGAAAGCACCTCGGAAAGAATGCCCTTTAAAACGTTAAATTTTGGCCTTAAATTTGCATCCAACGACCAACATTTCGAGATAAAATTATATAGCTCATCGGAACACCGCTGTGGTCGCGGTAATCGTTCACCAGCTTCTAATTTTGTGAGTACCTTAAAAGATAAATCATACTATTCTTCTAATTTGAATAAATATAACAAAAGGAAGTGCAGGGAGAGTTCAACCGAAAAGTTCAAGAACTTAACAATTTTTAAAATGTACTGCTTTATCATTGTCCAATTAATTATAAAAATGTACATATCCATAAAAGATCTATAGCAAAAGAGAAAAGCATTAAAAAAAACATTTATATCAGCATTTAATCTTTTAAAATATATTTAATTATTTAAAATAGTACCTCAGCTCCACGAAGACCAACCCACGGTTCTTCGCCATAAGAAAACAGCTCCCATAATGTTACACCAAAAGACCACACATCAGAAGCATGTGAAAACTGCCGATACCTCAGAGATTCTGGTGGACACCTGAAAAGATTATACCTTGCGAAGGACAAACACAAACAATATTTTGCAAATTAAAAATACGACAAAAAATGAAAAATGTAATACTTCACTCGAAAAAAAAAAAAGTTTTTATAGCTGAAAAGTAATACATTCCTAAGATAAATCGAAGATATTCAAAAGTAAATTTATCCTACACTACCAATGAGATCACCTTTCTAATATTATAAGCATCATTATCTCTAATCATATTTGGTAAGCTTCGGGGAACAAAAAAATAAAAATTGGGAAATCTACCACGCAAATGGCACTTTCTTTTGTGTTGACATCACGTAAAGCCTTTCATTGTTTTCCAATATTCGCATCAAACCAAAATCACAAATTTTAGCAACCTGAAGAAAATCTGAATTCGATTCGGTTGTACATTTTATAACTCATTTAACTTGGACCAATTAATAAGAGAAGGGAGAAGAGTCTATGAAACAGATAAATCTTATTTTCTCCTAGGTTTAAACTCTCAAACTCAACCGTATAAAAATGAACGCTTAAATGCGTCAATCACTTTTAAAAAAATTACAGCATATCAATACGCTGTCAGCAGAAGACCTATCATGAAATTAAGCTTTTCTGGTAACCTATATAAAGTTTGAACATACGCGCTCATTGTTTGTTAACAAAACATTTCGTGCTGCAAGATCACGATGTACGCAATTCTTCGATTCTAAATAAGCCATACCCTGAAATTAATTGCATCCTATGAATTTATTCATAACAAACTATCAATATTTTTATGAATTCTTCTAAGCCAACAATTCTTCTAAGCTTCATAGAGAGAATATTTTACCTGCGCAATTTGCTGTGCGTAATCAATCAACATTGAAACCAAGATTACAGGTTTTTCAGTTGATCGTAAACGATCAATCAAAGCACCACCATCACAAAATTCAACAATCTAGAATCAAATGACTAAATTCGAGCATTTTCAACTATAAAAAAAAAAAAAAAAAAAAAAAAAAAAAAAATTATCGACTCCTTAATCTATAACGAGCATTACATAAATAAAATGATCAAAACATTGGCTGTAAATAACTGAAATATGTGTCATTATTACTGTGACGCTTATTTAGAATCAACAAGTAAAAGTAAAAAATAAGGATTTACCATCATAGCTGGATTTGAAAAAACAATCCCATAGAGCTGAATTAAATTTGGATGTTTTAATTTTTGCATATTAGTAACTTCACGTTGCAAATCTTCAATTATTTCTGGAGTTGAATCACGCAGAATTTTGGCTGCAACATCTAATTTTCGTCCCGTTTTTGGCGTCCATACAGCACGCTTAACAACCGCAAATGATCCTTCGCCCAACCGTTCCATTAATTTTATCTAAAAAAATATTATTTCCTCAAATAATGTCCAGGATGATTAGTAAAATTTGCCAAATATTAACAAGACGTATCTAAGTCATATAGATAAGCATACTATCATATCTATATTTTTCAAAAAGTCTTTTGAAACAGATTTACAGCGTCAATCGCTCAATTAATTTAACTTCAATCACTTGGGTACATTCAATCTAAGAAATCCATTTACATACCAGAAATAGTTATAATTGAAATTTCATATAATTAGAACCACTAAGTGATCCGCGAAAAAATACAGCAATAATAGCTATGACAATATTATTGCACTTTCCGTTTTGATCTATTTATGATTAGAAAAAGAGTAATTAAATTAGTACATCTTTTTAAGAAAAACTCCAGTATAAACTTACTACTTACCGGATGTTCTTATCCTTACCTCTTCCTTAATAATCAGCGAAGTACCACCATTTTCTGGAAAATTCCACAACAGCTCTGTCGTACCTACAGCCGGTACAAGAACCTTCGTAACTTCACGGCTTTCCTTTTTTCCAATGGACGAGAAAATTCCTTTCGATTTCTTACTTTTCTTTTTCTTTTCTGCAATCGCAACTCGTAGTCGACGAATAGCAGGTTGCGAAAGGCCCGTATATGACTAAAACTCACGTATATGACATTTTAAAATTTCATTTTAAATAACAGATGGGAAAATTTAATTGGCCCCAATGATAAACAGGAAAATTCCTTGGAAATATCAAGACCTTCCCAATTCAACGCCAAAAAAAAGGCTTTTAGTGGCAGATCAAAGTTTGAACTTGAAATGTATTTTGGGGAAAAAATTAATCTCATTTTCTTTTATCTAACATAGAAAGCATCATACTTTTAATTCATCATCAGTAACATGATCAAAATGGTCCAAGCGTGACAACTGTAATTCCACACAAAGTTTTCGTTCAAAATTTACCAAATCCGTTTCTTTTAACACATCCTGAAGAGCTTCCTCTATATATACACCTTCTCCCATCTGCAACAATAAAAAATTTAATAATCTTTTCTATTAATGATTTAACATACAAATTTTTACATAATAGCGTCTAGCATATATATATATATATATATGTCCCCTTTTACAAATACTGATATGCATAAGACGTACGCACGCGATTACACGTATATATTGCCTACAAGTACTGCAAGTGAAGAAATTTAATTATGCATAAAATGATGACATTTCTGTTCACGTTATAAGATCATTTACATATATATATGCTCTTTTCCATTTTTTCTTTCTTATTCGTTATCGTTGAAAGAGAAGCTAAAACTTGACGGATAAAAATTTGTGTCAACTAAGATATCACTAATGTAACTTGGAAATATAAGCATAAATTAGAAGAATTTGCTAGAAACGTATATGACATGAATAAATGAAATATAAAACCAGAAAAACACACACTTAAATCCCTACAATCACTTATAACAAATTAGCAAGAAAAATAAGTATTCAAAATCTGAAATCTAGTCAACGGCAATTTTTTTTTGGATGATAATTCAAGTTAATTATTTGAAAAATAAAAACGAAAAACAGACAATTGCTTGAAACGGCACATCTAAATCAATACAAAATTGAAAATTTTTGTAAAATCATTTTATCAATATTTGATAAATTCAGTAGCGATGAAAAGTACAGGAAGCAATTTGTCAACAATGATATTAGTCGATATGCTCATCAATTAATTGGTTAATTAATTATTCCACTACAAATATTTCAAGTTTATAGAAAAATATCACTTATTTGGATTAGTATTACTAAATTATATAGGATTATTTACGACTATCCAGGCTGATTACCACTTACTATTACCAGACTGACCAGTTATTCTAGCCGAACCTATCATCTGGTCTATCATCCAATTGATTTGTTGGATTTTTTCACATAAATGATAAATCTGCCTAAATATTATCTGTATATCAGATATTTCACCAGTTATCAGTTAATCAACTCGACCACAAGTAATAATTCCGAAGTTAACTCTTCGCTGAGTGCAAGAATGAATAATATTGCTATCATTTAATCCATAATTCTCTTATAATAAAAAGAGTAGTGGACAGCATAATGCAACTTCTAAGATCTCAGAGTGTGAAAATTCCATGAAGATTTGAAAGTAATATAAGAAAAACTCATAATCAATTAATAAACAAAGTAGAAGTTTAGTAGCACAATTTCACTCAAATATCTATCAATTAACGCAACAAAATTTCAGTCTCATTTCAAAATTCATTAATAAATTAGTAGTTTATTATATAACACTCTTAAAATACAGCAAATATTATATACTTGTAGTCATATCAAGATCCTTTATTTATTTATCAGATTAATTTTGAAATGATAAATCTATTACACTTATTAGTATAAATTTGAGATGTAGTTTTCTTGAACGAATTGCTTTAGTAAATTTCATTTCTAATCATTTACATTTTCGAATTTTAATTTAATTCGTATGCAATACAAATAATTCTCTATGCTATTAATGGAGGAAGTCTAGAGATTTTATGTGAGAAATGGTTAGGAATATGAATAGCAAAAATGCACCACTAAACTAGCAAGGAAAAAAACTGAAATGAATGAAACAAAATCGAATGGGAATATTTGAATTGAATAATTTAAATAAAAACATTACTAATAGCATGGAATGAATATTCCTTACGAATATAAACAAAATAGGAAATTATTCCATTCAATTGAAATATGTTGCTGTTAATGAAATGAACTTATTGTACATTTGTGTTTTAATCATTCATCTTTTTAGTTTTAATTTATTAAATGAATGATTGCAGTTGAATGAGGACAAACGTAAATAATGCTGAAATTTTACATCATAAAAATAAAGTTTTGCAGTTTAAAACAATAGAATTAATAATAGAAAATATAATTGAGCAAGCAAAATCAAAATGTTTTTTTTTTTTATGCACTATATATAAAAATGGAAGTAATTCATTTCATGCACGTCAACAATGAAAGAAATTGATTAAAAGGCATCAAACTAGAATTAGTAAGCAAATACCAGCACAGATGTAATTAGTCATATAAAATTGTTTAATTCAAAAAAAAAAAGGCTGGATTGACCGATAAAATGCTAAATAATACAATCAATCCAATGCGAAACTGATCAGTTTGCATAAAAAAGAAGGCAGTAGAAACCATATCTGAGTGCAACCAAATTTATATTTTTTTTTAAAATGTATTTCATCAATGTTTTCACTTTTTCGATTTATCGCCATAAATGACTAAAATATGCTTTATAGGTTAATGTAAAGTAATATAAATATAATCAGTGTATGAACCAATATACAATGATAATATGAGAGTTAAGCACTACGCTTGCTGGACGATATGGTACTAGTAATAGTAACCATGAAAGAAGTACTGATTTAGCTGGATGTTAATAAACAACAAATAAAGTGTTAGTAAGTAATAAAATGATAATAAATCAAATAACAGTAAACTAATAAAAGCCAAAACAGTATCACAGTGCAGAAAGATTAAAATTTTGGAAAGTACCAAATTTCTCTTCTAACCCAACAACTTTGCAAATGAAATGTCATCACTCTAATTTGTTCAAATATTTTTTACTTCATACATAAACAGAGAGTTTGACTGAAATAGATAGACAAATGGGTATAGATAAGGAAGCCAAAAACGACTATCCGATCAACTTGTCAATTATCTCAAGTAATCAATCAATTTTCAGTTAAATATTGAAGTTAGTGTGATATTAGAAAAATGCGATTATTATATGTTCTTCAGTTTATTTTTGAACATTTTACCATGTCCAGGAATAATCCAATCTGCTTCTTTTAATATTATTTTACGGCTTTTCTGCTGCTCTTCCGGATATTTACTATTTTCTTTCCAGCTATCATCATCATTTTCTTCTTCAAAAATATCACCTAGAAATGTCAATTTTTTGAAAAGTAATTTTTTTTTCTTCCCCTAACAAACCATGTTTCTTTAACAATTTCTCATCATAGTAAGAATGAAAATGGATTACAAACCTACAATAGCAACTGTTCCATATTCGGTATCTAACACTATAATACTACGATCAGTATGCCCAGGAGTTGGTCTTATCTTCACAAAATCATCTAATGTCCAAATACCCTGCAAAATAATAAATCATATTTTGCACACAATAGAGAAATATGAAATTCGATTAATAAGTGCCCTCCATTCTATCAACCATTTTTTTACGTAAATTTTTTGAACGAAATGATTTATATAGTAATGGGATGCTAATATAAGGAAGAAATTTTTCGCAAAAAAAAGTGATATCACAAGGAGACATTATTTGTTGTCATCTCATCGTGGAGCAGTATATCATCACTGATGCGAGAGTATGCGATATCAAATGAAAATACATAATATATTTGAAAAATAACAAAACAGAATAATCAACTGCACCGTACAAACTTCATAAATACCATCTTTGGCCATATCATCACCCATATAAATTTTAGCTTGCTGGAAGAGTGATAAATTACCGCAGTGATCACTGTGTCCATGAGTTATTATCAGATCGGTAATATCATCACAATTTAACGAATATTTTGAAAGTGCTGCAAAAATTCATTCCAATTATATAATAATTTACTTGTATGTTCGTAAATGATTTCAAAAATGCAAGATTTTCAAAATTGCCTATAATTAATGGTCAAAATTGTCAATGGCCATTTGACACTGGTTATTCGGTATTGCTTCAAATGGTAAATATATGAGATGCTAAGTGGAAAATGATGACGTATTTTTTTGCTGTAGGATATTTCTCATAATTATTAATATATATGAAACTCTTCCATTTCTAATTTGAAGTTTTTCAGTATCGGCAAAAATTTTCAAAAACATATGATTCAAATATAATTTTCAAGAAAAGAGAAAAGAAAGAATGATAAGTGTCAATAAACCTTGGATAATTTGTGTACCATTCCATGGATCACCACAATCCACCAAAATTTTCCTTTTTTCGGTTAAAATTAGTGCTACAGTACCGGACGCTTCTGAACAATCGTTCCTTCTTACCTGTTTACAGTAACCATCCAGCAATACATAAACTTTAGGATATTTCTCCATTATATCGTATCTTCCATGAAAAAATAAATAAATAAAAACAATAAATATAATAAGAAATTTAGAGAACTGAAATTTAACGTTTCGTCATAGTAAGCCCGGAATAGCATGTGTTAAAATTTGAATCGTTGATTATTTGTTTTGAGTGATTGTAGGTGCGAAATTGAGCTAAAAGTTGGGTTTCTTACTAGTAGGGGGTTTTGGTGAACTTTGGCCGCTGTACGAGGTTAGAATTATGTTGGTAAAGAAATGTTGATGACTTTTGATCATTATCAGAAATTGAGTTGTTTTTGCTGTTGAATAGATAATATTTTTTAATGGAGATCGTATCTGATTCTTTTTTTTTGTTGTTGGATAGGTATTATTGATATTTGATCATTTTTGTATATTTAGTCTTGAAGTGGAAATAAATGTTTTCGATGCAAGTTCGTTTCTTGCAATCCTTTAATTCTTTGAAAAGGATTGGGTGTTGGAGGGACAGTAGTGGTACCTCAAGTAGTCAGGCGATACCTTCCACATCATCATCATCAATTCTCTCCGACGAACAACAACAATACAAGGGAAAGATAATGAATGAAAATGAAATCAAAGAGGTTCATTTATTTGCTATCTCGGATTTTTTAATAGTTTCTACGTAGTTGATTATACGTCAGAAATATTTTTTCTGATAAATATTTTCTTACCGTTTTTGTAAAAATAACCTAATTACTGACATATATATTATCTGTACTGTTTTGGTTGGATCTTTGTTATTTTCATTGTTTGGTCGTAATTTTAATACTTCTTTTTACGACACTATAAAGAGCGGTATACTTTGCGTATATGAGTATTCACCTTACAAACCGTCTCCTTCTTTAAAAGGACTTTCATGCCCTTTAATATATATTAGTTTGTATATAATGTCTCCAGATTGATTTTTTACAATGTTAAGGAATTTTTTCTTAGCTTTAGTGCAATTTCTAATCTTTCGAGAATATATTTTAAACTTCTCTTTCTATAACTCTTTATTTCAGGATCGCAAACGTTTCGCAGAATTATTTCGATGTTCCAAATTTGTACAGCTTGGTGATTTTGAAGGACGAATAGTTATAGGTGAAATTGTGCGCCGAATCGCGGATGATTTATACATCGATATAGGACTAAAATTCAACACCGTATGTAAAGCACCAGTGATGAAAAATGAGTTAGTTACTTGTTTAATGCTTTAATTCCTGATTATCTTCAGATTCATGTCAATATTCTTGGTGAAATGAAAAAATATCTCATTATTGTCAATATTTTTCTTCCGTTGCAATATTTTACTTCTCTCCACAAAATCTAAAAATTTTAGATCTGATCTATTTTCTCCCAATCTTTTATAAATAACGATTAAAAACAAGTGCAAGGCACATTAACTCATATGCATGAAATTCCTATCCAACCAGAAATTTTCTTTCAAGATTGCAGTAGTTTGGAATTTTAGTGAGATAATGGAACTAATTAGTTTGGGACGATGTTTGAGAGGATCACTTTCAATACTACTATTTTATGCGATGAACTGCAAAATTTTAGCCATTCTCTATTTTATTTTCTTATATAGCAAAACATGTATTTAATTAAATAGCAATTTAAATTATGTGTTTCAGAAGTTACAAAATAGGAGCAAAAGTTCTTCTTCGCTTGCATGATCCCGAACTTTCTGAGTTATTTTTGGGTTCTACAAAGGAGTTAACGCTATTAGAAGCAGATGCAACTCTTCTGGGTCTGTATCGCCCACGTTCGGATGAATCGATAAAAACTTCTTTCCTTGAAAGCATGGAAAAAGAAGGTATCGTTATTTGCTTTTTTTTTTTTTTTTTTTAATTCGAATTACTGTCTGTTGCTACAAAATATGTTTTGCTTTTGCTCAATATCTTCGGACTCGTAATACAGTTGGAATGTTTCTTATAACAGGTCAATGTCCCTCAGATTATTGGGAAGTTTTTTTCCGTTGATAATATTTAGAATTTTATTTTGAACATCTAAGCAATAAATTTTGACAAAACTTAGTTCAGCTAAAAATAGTTATGTATCTTGAAAAAAAAAAACTCTACAATTCACAGCAATTAATTTTAGTGACGAAAACTGGGACTTCGGCGTCGAAAGCTAATACTGATGAATCGTAATTAAAAGAATTTGTTGAAAATGTTAACAAGATGTGAACTGACTCCTGTTAGGAAATGAAATTTGAAGAGGGTAGGCATGTTCATGGGGCTGAAGTTCTTGAGTTGGAGAAAAAGCTGTTCTTGGTTTTGCATGTAATACGATCAGATTAAGTCAGTTAAAAGATGTTTACAGTACCCATTATTTTAGTTTTATTATTTTTTCAAAAACTCTTGTGTTTGATGTTAAACAATTACGCTTTTTTGTATGGTATGAATTTGCTTCCATCTCTTTTTTGCTTCCATCTTTCTTTGTGGTTTCGAAATCCCATTATATATATGTATGCGTAATCATTTTGTGTTTACTTTGCTGGCATTAAATTTTATATTCATGCAACATCCGATTGTTGTTTCCCCATCAGTTTGATTAATTAGCAATTTTATATTATATAGTCAATAGCCATGCTACCTTAGCTATTTCTAAATCAGATCTCAAACACAGCAAAAATGAAAGCCTTAATGGATCAAGTTAATTTTCATTAAATATTTAGTTTGTTGTATTGTATTGTGAAAAATTTTCCGTTGTTTGTCAAAGTTTGGAACTGTTATTTTCTACTTGACTTGGACATGGAATTTCTCCTTCGTACATGTCATATTTTTATTCATATTAAAACAGAAATTAGTGTAAGTGCAGCTGTTAGGCTCTTGTAAGCAGGTGATCTAGTTAATGTAAAACTGTTGGAAGTATTTTTTCGCGGTAATAGTTGGACAAACCATCTTACAATAATTATTTAAGATAAAGAAAGATGATTTAGGTGGTGAAAATATGGTTAACTTAATTGATGTAATTCCTCAATTTTTTCGATATCATTTTTATATTTTGTGAGAAATCCGCCAAAACATTTAACGAGTTTTAATATCATTTGCCTGGTTCGTATTCTGTCATTTGATTGTTTGATATTTCTTTATAATGCGAAGTTCTATATACTGAATAAATATTTTATTTGAAGTAATGCATAAATATTTTCCAGTTCACATTCATAATTCTTTAATATTTTCCCAATGTTTTGATCAAGTTTTGTTCTTGATTTACGTGAATTTACTGGAGGAGTACTTGTGTTCCATCATAATGCTATCTATTTAATGATTGTTTCTTTATGGGATACTTCTAACGAAGACGCGACACTCAAAATTCTTCCACGTTTTGATAACCTAGCGTTCAAAGACCAGGTAGTTGTGTAGTTGCGTCTTCTAGGAGGCATATAAGCAGCTGAGTTGAACTATTTATGATAGTGTCGAACACGTTTTGTTGTACTTCCGAGAATGATATCATGGCTTTTCTACTGTTAAGTCGTTTCTTTAATGATAATGATGTTAGGTTTTTATATCTAAACGTAATTTTGCGCAAAATTAGTGTCACGCTTTTTTTTCTTTTTTTGTTTTTATCCGCTTTTATTTTAGAAAATGAAAAATTCGGGATTGCCGATAGCTTCACTGGACGATGATTTCGGTCCACCAACTACTGATATGCATCGAATGAAATTTTCGGTACGATCGGATTCTATTGTACCATCGGCTGGTCGAGAAGGTACTTCGATTGCACCGCAGATTTATAAAGGCCGTGCTATGGCTGTTTTCACCAGTGGTGGTGATGCTTCTGGTATTTTTCTTTTCTTTTGTTTCTTTCGAGTATTATGTAGAACTGATAGCAGTAAAGTAGCATTTGATTTAGTCATGATTTAGCAGTAATAAATTATATGTTATATTAATTTCAGTTGTATTAAAAGCGTTTTGTTTCAAAGTTTAAAGATCTTAGTAAAAGACTGAGTCTTTTTATGGTGAGTTTCACTGTAAACAAAATGATATTTCAATATTTTTAAGGAATGAATAGCGCTGTACGCTCAGTAGTTCGGATGGGTGTTTATCTTGGGTGTCGAGTTTTTCTCATTTATGAAGGATATCAAGGAATGGTGGATGGTGGTGATAATATCAAGGAAGCAGATTGGCAGTCAGTGTCAGATATCATACAACGTGGAGGCAAGTTGCTCATTACAAAAGATATTATATATTGGGCTATTGAAATATTCCTTTTAATGATTTGTAGTGACTATATAAATCTCTTTTATTCTGTTTTTTTTTTTTTTTTTTTTTTTTTTTTAGAAATGGCGCTGTTATTGAGATTTAGGTACTGTTATTGGATCAGCGCGTTGCAAAGTTTTCCAAGAACGATGGGGACGCTTGCGAGCTGCTGAGAATCTTATCAAACATCGTATTACCAATCTTGTATGTATTGGAGGTGATTTTTTGCGTTTTTTTGAATTTTCATCGGCCTCATTCTTGTAAATGATCGCTTTCATCTGAATGAAAATCCTACAGAGGTTAGAAGTTACTAGAACGAATTTACTTTTAGTTAATTAGAGTGTATGTTATAAAGAATCTGTTATATATAGTGTGTTATATAATTATCTAATTTAGCCCTGTTGTCTTTCTTGTTCTTTTTCATTTGGATTTATGGTATGACTTTCCTTTCTTAATTAAAAAGAGCTAATCTGTGGTGGTCTTAATCTTTCAATTATAAAAAACCTCCTTGACGCCTTGGATACATATTGAAATACCGAAATCAGATTTTTTGATTTTATAATTTTAGTCTTCCAAACTTTTAGATATATGTTCAAAAGTAATTCTGCGATTGTTTAGGCACTAGCAGTTTGGTTTCTTTACAGGTGATGGCTCATTAACGGGCGCTAATCTTTTCCGGCAAGAATGGCAAGGTCTGGTAAAAGAGCTCTTGTTAAGTGGAAAAATAACGAAAGAAGAGGCGGTAGAGTGTAGTAACATCCAGGTAAATTTCAAGATATTAATATTAAAGATTGTTTTCTTCTTATAATTTTATGAAAATGTCATACAATCGTCTTTTTCTCTGCGCTGCGATAACTTTAGGATTCTGAGATTTGAGAATTAAATTCGCAGTTTCTTAAATTCCATTTCATCTTATAAAGTATTTAAATATGATTTATCATCTTGTATACTTGAAATATTTTTAGAATTATCTTTGATCACCATAACAGATTCAATTAGCTGGGGTGTTACAGATCGTTGGACTTGTTGGTTCCATCGACAATGATTTCTGCGGTACAGATATGACCATTGGTACTGATACAGCGTTGCAACGAATCTGCGAAGCAATTGATTGCGTAATGTCAACAGCTCAAAGTCACCAACGTACATTCGTTATTGAGGTGCTCATTTTTCTTATTAAGATGGAGAAAATAAAACAAGTTACTGAATACAATTGCCTTATGTTGTTCATTTTTCAAAATACCTAAAGTCAACGCGCAAGGTAGAGTTGAATAAATATGTTGTTTACGATTAATAGTTAAAGTTCTGTTAATTCATAATTTCCTTTCATAGAATTTGATCAGGCGAACAAATAATGGTACTACAAATGTTTTATTTTAGTAATTTTAGGTGATGGGTCGTCATTGTGGTTACTTGGCACTGGTTGCTGCATTAGCTTCTGAAGCAGATTTCTGTTTCATACCTGAATGGCCAGTACCAACTGATTGGCCGACAGTATTATGTCAAAAACTACGAATGATGCGTGAGGCTGGTTCACGTTTAAATATTGTAATTGTTGCAGAAGGCGCATTGGATAGAGAAGGAAAATGTATTACAGCTGAGTCAGTATGTATTTACCATAATTTTTTCCTTTTTTTTTTTTAAATTACTGCTTTTTAGAGTAATTGAAGTTAAAAATAGCTGTCAAATTTAGGTTCGTGCAGTTGTGAAGGAAACTTTGCATTATGATACTCGTGTGACCGTATTGGGACACGTTCAACGTGGTGGTAGTCCATCAGCATTTGATCGATTGCTTGGATGTCGTATGGGTGCAGAAGCAGTACTTGCTTTGATGGAAATGACACCGCAGTCAGAACCTTGTGTTGTTTCAATTGACGGTAATGTGATTGTACGTGTCCCACTCATGCAATGTGTTCAACGTACTCAAGCAGTAATTTTTCGATTTTTTTATTTTTATCAGAAATGCAAATGTATGTAACTGATTTGTTATTTTGCATTATTTGCACAAAAATAATTCAGTGAGTTCTTAAATATTCCTACATTAGTCTTTTTATTTCAAATTAAAATGTATGTTGAACAATCGAAAAATTTTTAGGTAAAAAAAGCCATGGACGAACGTGACTGGGAAACAGCTGTAAAGTTAAGAGGTAGAAGTTTCCAACGGAATCTTGAAACTTATCGTTTACTTACAAAAGTAGAACCGAAAAAAGTCGATCCAAATGTACCAGTTTACAATGTGGCTATAGTTAATGTTGGTGCACCTGCTGGTGGTTAGTGTTCCATAGTTATTTTTTGCGTAATTGAGAAACGAAAAATGAATTTAAAATGATTCCTCTTACTATCTTAGAAATTTTTCTTTTTCTTCTTTTTTTTTTTTTTTAATAATTAGTCGTAAATAATTTCCTTAAAAACAGTGTCCTTTGTTTTTGCAGGAATGAATGCAGTGGTGCGTTCGTATGTTCGTATGGCACTTTATCATGGATGTAAGGTTTATGGTATAAAGAATTCGTTCGAAGGACTCTGCCGGGGCGAAGTACAGGTAAGTAGTTAATTTCATTTCAGTTGTAGAAGTTTGTAGATTGAGGAGAAAAGAAGGTAAAAAGATAGGTATTTTTGGTTGATTTATTTGCTACTTTGTTCGTTGTTCTTTATAAAAGAATTGCTTAAGGATATGGCTTGGGGTGATGTGTGTAACTGGGTGATGTACGGTGGTTCATTTCTTGGAACACAAAAACAATTGCCCGGAAAAATTATGGATAAAGTTGCTGACGCGTTTGAAAAATACAATTTTCATGGATTATTACTCGTGGGTGGATTCGAGGTAAGCATTTATAAATTGTTTATAATAAAATGGTTGATTCCTCGTATTTCAGTGTCGAACAAATAATCTTGTAATTAATTAACTTATGTATCAATCGCCAGCGCTTTTTGGTTATTCCGTTTGATGTGATTAGAAAGTGCTGGCGGATAATATTAGTAGCGTGATTGTACGTGAATATGGTTAAATGGTAAGAACAGTATTGTTAATGTTTTTTTCTTTTCCTTCGTTTTAATACATATTTTTTAATGTTGTTTTCAATTAATTCTCTAGATACTACGTTTGCACTAGTATTTTACCAAAGTTTAATTAATAATGATGATCTTCGAACTACCGTGGAAGGTAATACTCACAGTTCTTGGTTAATGCTTGCATTTGAAATTTTCGTTTCCAAATATTTTGTCGCCTTTTTTTTTTTTTTCTTTTTTTGGGTGGAAGCCATAATCTCAATCTATAGCAGGAACTGCTGTAACAAATGTGTTTTATAATCTTATTGTATCATTCAAAAATATGATAAATTAGTAAAAATTATCTTCCAGGCTTTCCATTCTTGCTTACTCCTTTCACGTGCCCGTGATAAATATCCATCTCTGCGAATACCGATGTGTGTTATTCCATGTACAATCAGTAATAATGTTCCGGGAACATCGCTTTCGCTTGGTTCTGATACAGCTGTTAATGAAATTTGCGAGATGATTGACAAAATCAAGCTATCAGCTACCGGCACTAAGAGACGAGTTTTCATTGTTGAAACTATGGGTGGATTTTGTGGTTATTTAGCAACTATTTCAGCTTTAGCATCAGGAGCTGATAATGCTTATATCTTCGAAGAACAGTTCAAAGTCTCTGATATTATGGATGATGTAAAAGTAAGATTATTATAAATTTTCAGCTTATACAGCTGTAAAAGAAAGCTGCTAAATGTTGAAACACTTGAAGGTATTTGTGCTGAAACTTGAATGAATTAAAAAGATTGCACAGATAGTTTAAGCTAAAAGAATTAAATTACTGACAGCATGTGAAATCATTTAGTGATTTATAGGACTTCAATACAATAAATAGTGATGGATGGGAATTCGTACTACTAGCTATGCTTCAGAATTCTAAACTGAGTGCTTTTGATGTTAACATGCATTATTGCTATCTCATAAGTAGTTTAAACGTTTATCGCAAGATACCTTCCAATGGTTATGAAGTTTTATTGCTATAACAAATTAATTTTATTAAACATTCCATTATTACAGGTTATTAGTCGTAAAATGCGTACAGGTGTGCAACGTTACCTAATTGTACGTAATGAATGTGCTAACAAAAATTATACAACAGAATTTGTGAATCAATTGTTCGCTGAAGAGGGAAAAGGAGCATTTTCAACAAGGTTGCCGTTTTCAGTCTTTTGTTTCTAGAAAGCTTGTTTTACCTTTACTAGCATAATTGGCATAAATATATTTTTATCTTCGGAATGAATTGAATTAAAAATTAGTTTTCAATTTTGTGAGTGTAATTTTCAGAACCAATGTGTTAGGACATGCGCAACAAGGTGGTAACCCAACGCCATTCGACCGTAATATGGGAACAAAACTTGCAGCCCGTGCGCTGGAATTCATTATTTCGCAAATACTAAAGTATATTGATCCGAAGACCGGTATTCTAAATGCTGTTTCTCCTGACAGTGCCACACTGTTGGGATTGATGGTAAACATTGATAATCGGTTGGGCTGGGTAGAAAAGAACATTTGGTTAAATTAATTGGGACTTGATTCCTGCAAGATTTGTATGAGAATCTAATATTTCTGATGACAATGGATTGTGTTGGAAAATATCATTTGATTTGCAGGGTCGTCGAACAGTATTTACACCTGTGGAAGAGCTGTCGCTAGAAACTGATTTCGAGCATCGTGTACCGAAACATCAGTGGTGGATGAAAATGAGACCGCTGTTAAGAATACTAGCCAAGCATGATTCAACATATCAAACAGAAGCTATGGTGGTACCAGAAGTGGAGGGTGAAAGCGCTTGAACATTTTGGCATATTAATTTTTCTCTTTTATTTGTAAAAACTTTTATTAATTATCGTGTTTAGCTTGAATCTTCTATTGCTTTTCATTCTTCCAATATTATTTGGCGGTATCTATTTGTACTTATTATTGATATGTTTATCCCATATTAATGGTAGACTTTCAAATGACTGGAAATGAGCAAAAAAAATGAGCACAAGTGAACATAATTGAAGCGAGATCATAATTGAAAAATGAGTTTTTTTTTCTTTTAAATATGAAAACCTCCCACAAGCATTTCTAGAATTCCTTGATATTAGCTTGAATCTTCTATTGCTTTTCATCCTTCCAATATTATTTGACAGTATCTATTTGTACTTATTTATTTATTTATCCCTTTTCGATTTATAATTTAGTAGAAGTTTGTTTTTCATTAACCTTAATTGCCATTAGCATTTGTCTTTGTTAGCAGTTATTCATGCAGAAAATCTTATTTCGCTACCTTGTATTATTTTATTGTAGTATTTTTCATAAAGTTTGAGAGTTATTTGCCAACCATTTACAAAGATTTCTTTGTTGTTGTATGGTATGTTTTGCTTTTAGCAAAAAAGAAAACTACGGAGTGGAGCGTATGACGTTAGTATGTACTAAAATGAGATGAGATTGGCTTAGCAGTTCATAACAGTTGCTGAAAACAATATATCGAAATTTTCCCCGAGAAAGAATAGAAAGATAAATTTTTCAATTCATCAGTCCTTATCTAATGATTTCACGTGATTGCAGCAATGAATTGATACAAAGAAATAATACGCCTGGTACTGATAAAACAACACAACTGTAATTAAGAAAGACATCCCAAGGAAGATATTTCTTATTTTTACATAAGACGGATTTATAAAATGAACAAAATTTAAAATTTTCCCACATTACCATATTTTCTTTTCCAATATAGATTTATTGCATACCCATTCCATTAGATTCTGACTACAAATACAATTAGATCGAAATAAATGTATGGATAGGATTCCGATTTTTAGACTTAAAGTGCTTCTCTATCTCATTTCTATAAATTCAAATGTATATACGTTATTCTTAGAACGAGGAATGACTAATATTCCTAGAAAAGATTATTCATTATCATATTTCTAAATATTCCAAAATTGGTTATGCTAGTAACTAGCAGTGAGTGAAATTATTTCTCCTGTTTTATGTATAGTTAAGTATGTATCAAATTATAAATAAGATGAAAAGTTACATCTTTTTTCCTTTTTACTTCAAAAATAGTTTGTGTGTGGAAATTAATTTATCAAAATAAATAGCTCCAGCTTACTATATATTGCTGACAAAGTGTCAAAGTAAAAACCCCATTAACATCTCATTCTGTTATGCTATTAAAATTATGACAACTACTGTAAAATAATCGATTTTTTCATATTATTACTTTGTGTGTTCCAGAAGGAATAATCATTTATCAGCTTTGATATTATCACTTTGATCTATGGCCTACCTTCATAATCATAGGAAAAACTTGATCCTAGTACTAAATAATCATATAAAGTAATGCATTCCTCGAATTCACTGGGAATAACAAATGAAGCGAGGGGCGGGAGAGTACGAGACATAATTATCACTGTGGAACACGGACATACACATCTACACATGTTAGATACTAAGGGATATGAAGAGACATGAACACATGTCCAGACGTAGAAATGTAGCCAGATACATCCAGGAAAGTTTAAAATCGACCGCTCGAGGCGTCAATGTTACGTTGTTTGTTGTTCATCTGCTTCATTCTCTTTTCCCCCCCTCTCCCTCCCCCCATTCTCTCTCTTTTTCTCTCACAAGCGGTAAATTTCCGATATTTCTTTTTACTATTCATTTCCTTACCATGTTTATCTTACGCATGCATAGACACGTAAAACCACGGCATTTTACATTTAATGGAAATCAAGTTACTAAGTTTGATTTCCTTTTTTTTTTGTATAACTGCCTTAGCTTTACGTTTATTCCGTCATTACATATAAAATACATCCTTGTGTTACGTATACTTGTGTTATTACGTACATTCTTTTATAATATTTACCTTTCATTACATGTTCTTCTAAGTTGTATAGTTTTTTATTGTTGCTAATGATTTTTTTTTGTGTTTTTTTTTTTTGGTTGCTAATTTCACAGTGTCTATCAGATTGTTGGGACATTTATAAATTTTGAGTTATTTGTTAGTTCGTTACTTCATCCAAAACTTGTTTCATGTCAGATGGAAGTGCACATGTCATTACTGCAAATAAACAGACGACATAAGTTATACACAGTAAATGAAATGTATAGCTTTCTCGTTTTAATCGAGAATTAATTATAAGCTTAGATATGAAATGAATGGAAAACAGACATTAACAGTTGATAGTAAGACGTAAAATTATCTAATGATTTCAACCTTAAAAAATTCGTTTAATAAAAAGATTTGCTGTTTCAGTTCCTTTAATAAATCATTTCTAAAAACTCATGCTGAAATTTGTAATACTCCAAAGGTTTATATGTATATTGCAATACGTATAATATCCTGTAAAATGTTTGTTACAATATTTCTGCTAATCTAATCAAAGATTTATTTATACAGTCACTATCCTTCGAACATTTTTACGTGGAATACAAAAGAAAATGACGCTGAATAAATTATCGATCGATAAAGTGGATGTGAAAGATAAAAGGGTCCTGATTCGGGTCGATTTTAATGTACCATTGAAAGATGGCAAAATTACGAACAACCAACGTATTACAGCTGCTCTTCCAACGATTAAAGTAAGTGTATCGTAGTAGTTTTCTGATTATTATTAATACTACCTTTTTCCAGATAATGATCCATCAGTATATTATATATCTGTCGTGAAAGACGAAATATTTAAATTATTATATCCAAAACTAACAAATTCCTCTTATCTAATTCCTTTTCCTCGCACAACAAAAACCCTTTGTTAGCAAACCCTTCGTTAGCAAAACCCTTTATTAGCAGTCTTTGTTTCATATCATTTAAATGTCCTCCTCTGCCGAATATATGGTCAGTTCAGTTCTGTATATAAACTAATCCTGTTAACAATCTTCTTTGTTCATCCATGAGAAATCCTCCCATCTAATCTCCATTCGTTAAATCAGTCTTATATATAACCCAACCAATCCTTCCATAACCATCATTTGCTTTATGTTTTGGGATGCGTCTAATACTTTATAATTTTGTGTTATTTCACCATTTTTATATTATTGCATTTTTTATAGTTTACGCGTTTGTTAAACGGTGTAGCATCCGTACGATATGTATAAAGCGCTATTATTGCTTCATGTTAAATAAGGTTTAATTACCCAAGTTTGAGGTTTCACGACAATATCAATGTATTTGCATTTTTCCATTTTTTTCTTTATTTTTTGCAGAATGTTTTTGATGTAAAATTTGATTTCATCAATGAATATTTAAAAATGAAACATACAGGAGGAAGTATTTTAAATAAAAATTATCACGAACTTTTCCTCAAAAATCTCACTGTGATTGCAGCATGCACTCGATCATGGCGCAAAAGCAGTCATATTAATGTCACATTTGGGACGTCCAGATGGGATGAGAAAGATGGAATTCACATTGGAACCGGTTGCAGCAGAACTAAAAGCTGTTCTGGGCAAGTAAGCAGTAATACTTTTAAAAATTTACGTCTGATAGCTATTCACTGAAGAAAATAGCAGTGAAAAAAAACAACACTTCTTTCTTGTTATTGGTTTCAATTATACTAAAAAAGGAAAATCGGTTTTTCGAAGTAGAGTGAAAAGTAGTTTTGATATTTCCTGCAGGAATGTCACATTCGTGCATGATTGTGTTGGGCCAGAAGCCGAAAAAGCTACAGCTGATCCTGCTCCCGGCAGTGTTATTTTGCTTGAAAATCTTCGATTTTATTTGGAAGAAGAAGGAAAAGGTGTTAATGAAAAGGGCGAAAAAGTATGGTTATTTGAAATGAAATTGTCCGGAAAATATGAAGATTTTGCTGTTACGATTTTTTAAAATGAATTATTTGGGTTAATCGATCATTCAATACATTGAATTTCCCACTAATTTAAACTATACACTACTGAAGAAAAAATTCGATTTATAAATCGTTTCGCTTAATCCAACAATTTGAGTAAGAGCAACGAACTGTATGGGTTATTCAGTTATATTTTCTGAATTTTGAGAATTAGTTATTTGGGTATGTTGAAATCGGTAGAGTGTAGTATTGTTATTTGAAAATAATTCACTTGATGTTACCATCGCTTCAATAAATCGTTCATTATTTAATTTTAGGTCAAGGCATCACAAGCTGATATCGACAAGTTTCGTGCATCTCTGACAAAACATGGCGATGTTTATGTGAATGATGCATTTGGTACAGCTCATCGCGCGCACAGGTTAATCTGGCTTTGCTTTATTGTGTATGTATGAAATAAGTTTCTTTGTAATTCATACGAATGCATTTCTTCTTATCAATGGTATATATGCTTATCTTCCAAGCACTTTTTATGCTTGAAAAGGTACACAAAATTAGCTTTTTAGTCATTTGTTTCAAGTTATGCATCAATCTTATTTTCTATCAAATTACAGTCTTATATAAGTGTTTTTGTTAAAGTTTGATGGGAAAAGTATGATTGTTAGATATGTTGTTCATTTCCTTTTAGACAGCTAAATTTTCTGTTGCAATAGCTTTTCGTTGTTTTCAGCTCTATGGTTGGAGTCAAATTGGACAAACGTGCCACCGGTTTCTTGATGAAGAAAGAGTTAGATTATTTTGCAAAAGCTCTGGATAATCCTGTTCCACCATTCCTCGCAATTTTGGGTGGTGCTAAAGTAGCAGATAAGATTCAGCTTATTCGCAATCTTTTAGATAAAGTAATGTCCAAGTACTTTTCCTGACAGAAATTATTTGTGTAGATTGCTTTTAAGTGAAAAGATGATGGAACAGTTTTATGGTTTTTATTTTCTAGTTTTATATTTTTAATGTTCGGATGTAGGATGATTGAATGTCCCCCCTTTATGCTGAAAATGACGAAAATAAGCGTCCGATATCTTTGTTGCTCGATCAAATTTTCTCTTAATTTTCAGTGAAATGTTTTCGGCTTCATGTGATAAAAAATGGTCATTTATTTGATGTTTTTAATTGTTATGGCATAAGTCGGAACTTATGAATTGTTTTTTGTTGATAAGTTTTGAGAAAAATTAAGTTAACATAGATGTGTTTAATTTAAAGCAGTCATCTTCATGTTGTTTGGACAGGTAAGCGAAATGATTATTGGTGGTGGCATGGCCTACACGTTTTTGAATGTTATTAATAACATCAATATCGGAAAATCACTTTTTGACACAGAGGTAAATATTTATTCAGTTAATTTACTCCGTAGGCAATAAAGATATTCCTTGTTGTTTACAGAATAAATTAATTTCGTAATGACTACTATACTTAACTTTTACTTAGAATTATATATAATTAAACTTGTTATTATAGATATGGAATAATTTTTATTTGTAGTATCATACTAGTACAGTAAGTAGATATAATTAGTGTAATATAGGTATAAATGTTATACATAATTTGATCTCAGTTTATTACTCTTCTTTCACGCTATAATTAAAGTAAAGGCGTATAATTTTAAGTTGATGTCGAAAATTAATGTCATCATATGCATTGAGTTGATGTCTAACGTATGATTAGCATAGGTGAAATTTTTCATTGCAGGGTGCCAAAATAGTAAAGGAATTGATGGATAAAGCCAAAGAAAAGGGTGTGAAAATACATTTACCAATTGATTTTGTTATTGCTGATGATTTCAAAGAAGTATCGAACTTTCTCTTTGGTTTTTTAGTTTTCCTCTCGAAAGTTTTTCAAATAATTTCATACTTCGTAATAAAACAAGTTTGCTGTTTATTTTTTTTTTTTTTATTCAGGATGCCCAGTTCAAAACAGCCGACCTCAGTTCAGGTATTCCGGATGGATGGATGGGTTTAGATATTGGACCGGAAACAGCCAAGCAATTTGCTGAGGTTGTAGGACGTGCAAAAACTATTGTTTGGAATGGGCCAGCAGGTGTTTTCGAGTGGGAGAATTTTTCGAAAGGAACAAAAGCTGTAATGGATGCTGTTGTCGACGTTACTTCCAAGGGCGCTGTTACTATCATCGGTTACTGTTTTTTTTTTTTTTTTTGTTTATGTGTCATTTGTATTCATATTGCATTTTACTTTTCTCAGCTTAAACAATACTTCTTAAGCAATACTTTTCTTTTATTATCATAGTTTGAATTTTAAAGGTGGTGGCGATACGGCGACATGTTGCAAGAAATGGAAGACTGGTGACAAAGTGAGCCACGTTAGTACTGGTGGTGGTGCAAGTCTGGAATTGCTTGAAGGTTATTATTTATCATCTCTTTTTGATTGATAGGATTTACCTAGTTCTGTTGTTGGATTTTTTTAAGACTAGTTTAAGAATTTTATGGGTATACTTAATTTGTATGGCATGAACCACCCCTTATTTTATTTCTCATGCCGCTTATGCCTTCTTAGATTTCTTCTTTTAAAATTTTCAATGTAATCCGTAATTAGAATATACATATCTTTTTTTTCTGCACTTTTTTTTCTTTTTCGTACTTTCCTTATAAAAATTTTATCCCAGTCTTTATCACTGAATAATCGACTCGTCATAGTAACTGATAATAAGCTTTGTGTTTACCGTTCATTAGTACTTTTCGTAGATCATAGCACAAGCGCTATTGACTTTTTTAACATAGTGAAAAGGAAAAGTGTATTTGGTTTTTAATTTAATGCTTTGATTTCAGGAAAAGTACTACCTGGTGTTGATGCGCTTTCTCCAGCTTAAACAACATTTAGGTAATTTAAGAAAGTAGTTGCATTTTGCAAATCGTGAATCATTGATTCATATTAATGATATGAATGATAATAATACTGTAAAAAATACTGTTAGCGACGGAAGAATGTCTATGTTTATGTTGACGTGCGAAATAATTTGTTAAAAATCAGCATTTAAATTTTTCGTGTAGTTTATTAGAAAAGAATCATCCTATTTTATATCTCTTCTTTGTTTATCCTTAAATTTATTTCTAATAAATTTTCAATAAAATATTTTTTTTTTTTTCTGCAGAAAACATTCTGGCTAAATTTAAATTATCCATTGCTTCCGGTATTTTCATATCCTCTTTTGGTACATCTTGACCTTAGCAAAATTTTACATCTTCGTATGTGACTTAGCACATCGATTTACTAAAGGAAGTAGCTCATCAGTGATAATCTTAAATCATATTTTTTATCTTTGTTTCACTTTTTTTCTCATCATAGAAATTTTTTTGATATATTAGTAGATCGTCCAAAATGTTTGTTGATTAACACTTAATCAGCAAATATTTTGGATAACTTACCCTTATTATCTGGAATCAATAGGAAATTAACAGGTTTGACAGAGACAAAGATTTGAAATAAAAATCTGGGATAATAAACTGATGATATATTTTTGAATCGAAAAGATTCAAATCTATTCCTTTCACGAAACTTCAGTGAAGAAATAAGTATAAAATTTGTTCGATGAATTTTCTTCTTTTTTTGAAATTTCAGAATTCACTACAAAAAGAAATTGAAATTATGTCTGAAATGTTTGAATTTCTGTTATTTTTTTAAAATATGGTAATTTCTGTCAATGAAGTGAGGTTTTTTTTTTTTTTTTTTTTTTGCGATTTACGTGAACCAAGTGATGATTTGATCAAAAAAAAGGCGTGAAAATGTAATTTAATTTTTTCTCTTGCAGCAGTAATTATTTAGTCACTAAGGTGCTAGGAAGGTATATATTAAATGGAGTGGCATTGGAAGTTAAAGATAAAATGAGAAGGAAATATTGGTTTATTGATTTAGTCCAAAAGGCCAAAATCTGAAATAAGTAACTGGTAAAGTTATAAAGGGAAATGCATGAAATGTACTAAATAAAGAGACTCGAATCGATAGAATTTATAAAATGCTTTGAAAAGTGCATTTGTTTAATTCCGAATAAAAGTTTCAAGTTTGCGATTGAAATGTAAGTTGGACCTCTTTTTTCACAGCAAATTAGATTCAAAAGTTGATTGAAATTGAAAGATTCTGTTTGAGAAGAAAAGTGTACGCATTTTTTTTTTTTGCTTCATTTCTTAGTGGGAGAATAAAATTATGAATTCATTTAAATGACATCCAGTTGTACTTCTTTAATTTCTTGTCTACAGGTATCGAAGAATTTTCATGAAATACAGCTATATTTCATGCAAAAAAAGGAAAAAAATTGAAAACTGGTGCTAATTAATTTCAATTAAAGTTAGCGTTTTCTTGTAATGATATTAACAGTTCATTCATTCGAAAATTGTAAAACTGGTATTGTAAAGCTAGTTATACTAATTGCTGAAAATTGTCAAACAGGTAATTTTAAATAGATGAAATTATTTTGAAGAATTTGCTGAAAATAAGATAAGAGATAAAAATTAATTTACAGAGCAAAAAAAGCGTACTGATTAGGTATTTAAGAAAATATTTAAGAAAAATATTATTCTAATAATGCATATTTGAAAAAAAAATTTTTCACTTATGATCAAATAAACACCTAAGATTTGAAACACTGCAATAATGAATAAACTGCATAATTTGTTTATTAATTTGCTAAAAAAAAACTTCATTCCATTATTGTTTATATTATAGTTAGATAATAAATAATTCAATTACATTTTAATTTATCACTCAAATTATTCAAGTTATTATCGTCCATATGTGAAATTAAATTTATTGAGATTGTCATCACACTACATTGCTCAAATGACATTTTAAATTAGCTGTTGAAGGCTTTTTTCATTTCCTCTTCCTTCTAATCAAAATAATGTGCCACTAATGTTTTTGAGAAGAAATTCATCCCCATTAAAATCGATTTAAGTATTATTCGAATCGAATGATGTTAAAAAAAGGAAGAAGAGAGGAAAGGAATTGAAATAGAAAGGGAAGGAAAAACAAGGAAATATTTAGAGAACTTTTATGTAATTATTATAAATGCACAGGTGTATATATCGGTGTTTATCTATGTCTCTCCTCTTAATAGCTCGTAAGCTTAAACATTTAAAAATTCTTATAAAGTATGAATAGAAATGGATCAATGATGGTAAGAATGATAATAATGATAATACATACTTTTAGTTTCAACTAAGATTAATGATTAAAATTAGAATTTAGAATAACAGTGGTAATAAATAGCAACAAAAATGTGCATAGCAACGCTATTCTTCACAAAATGATAACAAATTGCTTCCCATAGTTACGTATATGTCTGTTTCATCTTAAAGCTTCCTAAAACTATTTAAAAAAAAATCTATTTCAGAGCTTCCTAAAATTATTTTTATTCTTCTCATTTTACAATTATCAATTCGCAACTATCTTACAATTAATCAGAAAAAAAAAATGGGTAAGTCAATTTTTGAATTGTTTTCTAAACATTCGTTACACAATTTCGTACTTTTTATGTATATTAATTTTTATGTGTATTACCAATTTCATCTATGTTTTTTTTTCTTTCTCACCTCTTCTCATTCTCTAACATTTAATTTTTTTTTATGTTTGAAAATTTATGTATTATTTTAGATTGAAAAAGGAGGGATCATTTCTTAAGCTTCCAAAAATATGTGTTAGTTATTGATCAATACTTATTGATCAACCAACCATTTCTATTTTTTGAAAAAGATAAAGGAAAAAAAGGAAAATTTGTTGTACTTGAAATTATTTGACTTTAGAACTTTTCATTTAACTTATTACTTCGATCACTGTGATTTTTTACAGTGAGAAAGTTAATACATTTTCAATTGAAAAGGCTTTACCCATACAAATGCGAGTATTTTCTTTCGATCCTATGTTTTACCCTTAACATCCGGTACGGCCCATCCTACCGGAAGCATATATCTAACATCGTTAGCATAATTCTTAACCTCTCAGAAAAGTATGCAAACTCCTCCTTCATCATAAGAGAATGGTAAATAAAATGTCATATTTCAGTTAATCTGCCAGGTGAAAATGAAAAGGTGTATCCCTGTGAAATTTGCGGACGAAATTTTGTGAAAAATAGTTTGGTAAGTAGCAATTAATGTAAAATAGCATTTCATAATAAATTTACTAAGATAATTGTGTTTGGTTTAATTAGAAAAATGGAACCTATTTATGGATTTATGGGCAAATAGTTCAAATATTGTCGAATGTTTTAACATTGGTTAATATTACAATTTTATTGGTTTAATTAAAAAATATTAAAATGAAAGATTATTTATTTTAAACTGCATGGATATTTGCTTTGAAGGAAAGGAAGTTTTAACGTTTTAAAAAATTTTTAAGTATGATAGATGATAACAATGCAATTTCATGATTCTACATCAGTATTTCTATTTTAATTAAATTAAAATTTTGTCGTTATATGTAAAAAAATGAATTAAGTTAAAAGAAATTGTACCAAAAAAAATCAATTTAAACTAAAAAGAAATTAGAATTAAATTATTATAGTAAAGTTAAAGTTACAAACGATATTAATTAAGAAAGAAAAATAAGATCAAATACTAAGTCAGTCGCTAACTATTTAAGCATATTATTTAGATGAAACATGAAGTAATATGCCAAAAAATGGTAAAAGCAAAACGGAAAGTGTTTGATTCCGGTAAACAACGAGCAACTGGATCTGATATTACGATTGATAATGTTATAAATGCTCGAAAGGAACGCGAAAAGGTTAGTTATTCATAAATCAAATTAATCAAAAGTTATTGATATCATATATTTTCTGGAATAGATAAAAAGAATAAAAAGAATTGCATTCAGGAAGTAAAAATATATAGATACATAATAGCTGTTACAACCGGAATGACCGGAATGCGACTGTCTGTAATGTGCATAGCATTCAATGATTGAGAATATATATATTCTGGACAAATAATGAAAGCAGAAAAAAAAGGAAATGATTATATATTTTTTTACATTTTTGCAATAGTTTTATAGCAGTTTTCTTTTTTTTTTTTTTATTTTCGAAGATAGCTTAATCATAATATGCAGGAAAAGCGTTTCAGATTTCTAAAATACTTACTATTTGTTCAAGTAAATAAATTTTATTGATTTAATGGGAACAAAATATAGCATATTTGAATGATTGCCATAAATCAATTATCAATATTTATATATTATTATGAATGAATAAACTAATCAGCTTGGTGGAACGTTTCCAAGACCTAAGACAAGTTGGCGTGAAAAACATGAAACATTCGTTAATGCTGTGTCAACATCTAAACAAACGAATAATTCACTTCGTGCTGATACACCTTTTTCAGTAGTACCAAAAGGTAAAAGTTTAAGCTTAAACTTTGTCAGATAAAATTGCAAATAAAAAACATTTGCCAAACATTAATCGAAAACTTTTTAATTTCATGAAATTTGTCTTTTAGTTAGATATAAAAGTGAATTCATCATGTAATAGCAGGATATTTCCTTTTGTAAATCAAGAAAGAAAATTAGAGAGGAATAATACAATTATTTCATTTACTTATTAAATTGGATTTTGAACTATAATGCCATATATAAACAACAAAAATGACATTTCAAGAATTCAAAACACAAATTAAATATCTTATATTTTAGATGCTAAGTACAATTTTTGAAAATTTCCTGAATAATGTTAAATAATATAGTATTATCGGATGCTTTCACTTTTTCTACCATATGCACTTGCCTAAATTAGTTTAAAATGTTTGGTGCTTTAAATTTTTTTTTTCAGTTCGCATTGAAGATTTAGTATATATTAGTATGGCTTATTGTCTTTTGGCTCGTTTTGGTCTTTTAGCTTTTAATCTTATGAGTTATTGCTGTTTCGTACTGGCATTTTTCATATTTAATTAATATAACTTTTGTTTTTTTATTTTATTTAACAAATCTTATCAATAACTTATATTTATTTTTGAAACAATACTCACTTTGATTGTGGAAAAACTTTAACTTGTTTAAAGGTTTGATAGTAAGTTTATTTAATAAGTCGTTGATGTGATGGTTTAATCAAAATTAACAACTGCACTTTACACAGTAATTAATTGCAACAAGTTGTTCAAATTTATACTGTAAAAGTCGAATAAAATTAATTTCGCTAATGATGTATTTAAATGTTCTATTCGTAATAAATGATAAAATATCGACTGAAGAAATCAATCAATATCTAAAATAGAAATAAATGAAATTTAGGCTTTATTTTTAAATTTATTTGAATACTATGCATGCATGTTTCGAGGAAAACACAGCGATTATATATTCCATAATTTATTAGCTTTATGTTGACAATAATGACAATACAATATAGTCCACATAATAAATAAATGATACTAACGATTTAATTTAAGGAAAAGAAAAAGTTAGCTCAAGTAATATTTTCATAAATTAAATAGCAACTTGTTTTTATTCTTCTTTATTCATATTAATGCTAATTGAAATAATTAGCAAGGAGATCTTGAAATTTATTCATTTAAACAACTAATAAAATAACGAGCGCATCTGTTAAATTATTATTATTTTAGATTACGTCAAATGCGAATATTGTGAACGTAGTTTTAATAAAGCGGCAGCAGAACGGCATATTCCATTTTGTAAAACGCAACAAAAAAAGAAAGGACCAATAAAGGTAAATAAATAATTGTAACCAGAATTTTTAGTTTTATTAATTTATAAAATTTGAAATACAATCTTTTTACTAAATCCAAATAATGTTATTAATTGTGGTTTTAAAAGACGTGAAAATTTGAAACATTAAAATATCATAATGATAATAATATTAAAATTATTATCCAAAATTGAAGAAATTAGAAAAAAATAAATTTCAATGGTTTAGAAGTTTTACAACATTTTGTAGAGCGCTGTGATGTAAGTATTAAGTATTGAAATTTTTAAAAATTTCTATGATTAATTATTAAAATTTTTATTAAGTGTTAAAATTTTTGATAATCTTTGTAACATAAGTATTTAAATACATTAAAAATTTTACAATTAAGCTATTTAAACAAAAATTTAAATCGCTTACTTATCCTTTTTTTTTGTGTGTATGTTTAACATCAATTTCACAATTATAACAAAATTAGTAAAAAATTTTTCACATTTTTGAAATGAATATCAATATGAATGCTGCAAATTTAGATACAAAAGATAAGATCACAGCAATCTAATGCAACAATGATACGATCAGAAGCTAATGACTGTCATCGATTAACTAATAAATCGTTAAGTCGTGATAACAAGATGAATTCGAAGAAAAATGACTATCATTCAACAATATCAGAACATCGTTCAAGCATTTCCTCAAGACGATCTGGTTCATCGCAGCGATTAAATGTTAATAATATAAGTGAAAATGATCGACGAAGAGAGAGGAGCTTATCAAGAAAGTAAAGTATTTTTATTTTTTTATTAATTAAAATGCCATTTTTAAATAAATTTTCAAGCAATCAATATATTCTATTATGTACATTATACTTATTATCATCTGCATTTGTTATCTTTTTGAAAATTTTCAATTATCATTTAATTTCATTAAAGCAATTAAGGATTAAAAGGAAAAATTTTTTTTTTGCTACAGAAGAAATAATTCTGCTACACATTCAACCAATAAATTCATTAAACAAATAAGCAGTGCATCAGAACGAGAACGGACAAATTCATTGTAAGTAATTTCGAATGCAATAAGAAAGGAAGTCGTCAAAGATCAATTTAATTACTTAACATAAGTCTTAGAATTTAAAAAGATTCATTTTTTAGGGGCTTATATCGAGCTATTAATCGAGAACAAACATCTGCGCCAATGTCTCGGCAATCATCGCTTACAAGAAAAGACAATGGGACAGAAAAAAAAAGTTAACAAGAAAGAAATTTAAAAGAGAATTGAATTTCAAAACATACAATTTTTTTGCATATAGATATTATGTAATATCTTGCAATTAAAAAAACTAAAAAAGGAGAAAATTAAAATTTTTTTTGCAATTAAAAAAAAAGTGAATATAACTGAATCAAAATTTTAGTAAGAAAAATTAAATTCTGATTTGATAATGATAATATTGTTGTCTTAATTTACTTTACCATATCATCCACTTGTTTACATGTATAAAAGTGATGCCAAATTAGCTAGATGATCCGTCCAATCCTTTTAAATCCTATCTGGCATAATAATAGATAATATCGACTTATTTTCGTTAAAGTAAACTAATAAATCTTTAATAAGAACTATACAATAAATTTACAATAAAACGACTGAGCAATTGATTAATTTTATATTGACGATAATAATTCCATGTCAGATAATTCTTTTTGACGCTAACTGGCTCACGTACGTAACCATACTCATTATACCAAACTATTATTTGCTAATAATTATTTAATAATAAAAACAATTAACACATGAATGAGTCATTGAAATTTTCGTAAAGAGTAGCGAAATTTTATAGGCCGTCAACCAGTATGAAACAATGGGGGTTATTGGACAGCTTTGTGATTTCGAGGGGGGATCAGAGACTAGTGTTTTGTTTAATCTGAAGTAAATGAAGTAGAGTGGCGGGCATTTTACATCTTACTTAGAAGGGTTTTACCTAGATTAGTTTACTTACTACAGATTAAATTGGTATAAGTAAAATGTAAAGAAATAAAGGTGAAAAATTACATTAGGAGTTCATTATATGTTATTTTATTGATATAAAGGAATTTTTTTTCTTGCCATAATTAAAATCTGAAAAGAAATGCGTATGCATGTAACACGGAGATAAAAATTAAGAAAGTCTGATGAGACATTAGAATGTATTATTTGAAATTTTGGTTTGCATAAAATAGCAAATAATCGAGGTATATTTGTCATATACTAAGGAAATGTTGAAAAATTCTGCTTGAATACGTGAATAGCAATTGAATATACACATTTTGTTTGCTAAATAATTGTAGTTTCACTTTTTTTCAACCTTTATTCAAGTAATAAATAAGCAAAATTGAAAGACAACGGAAAAGAAATAATGGAATCATTTTTCTATCATTCACTGAGATTCCTCTCAAAAGATAATGAATGATTAAAATTTTCATTTTAAATAAAATAAAGACAAATGATTGCATGTCACTGAAAGTGTATTCTATTTGAAAGAACATTTTTATTTAAGTAAATCTTAACGTAAGATAACTTTTTTGACTTATATAAAAAGTGCAAACGCACTTCGTATTAGGATGTAGAAATATTATTTCCTCGTTTCTATAGTGAAAAAAAAAAAGTATTCACACGTAATGTTAATTTTCGATACGTAGTTTCTACTTCCTTACGTGAAAACTTCGTGAAACTATGCCACCTTATCCATATATCATTTCAAATTTATGATAATTTTCATCCTCCTCTTATAAATTAAACCTTTCGTAAAGTAATTTCTCACTACAGAAAGAAACAGCAAATATTTTAAGGAATTTCACAGAAAAATTTTTTTCATATTTGTAAGTTTCTTTTATCTTTACCTGTTTTTTTCTCCCTATCTTTTCTAGGCTTTTGATGAAAACTGCTTGGTCATTTAGAATGTCGTCGGATGAAACTGTCATGTTCTGAGTCAGTCTCGAGTGACCAATGTCTTGAAACGCCTGCTTGCGGGATTCGGTCTACAACTTTCAAGTGTACTTTTTCACCTGCTGTTTTATCCCTCACTATATCGCTGGATGACTTTACAAAAAAAAAAAATCCTTCGAACGTGTGCAGCGGCTTTGGTTTTTTTTTAAGGGATACAGCATAAGCGGATTAGGCTTCATCCTTTACTAAAGATTCATTTGTCAGAGCCTAGCAAAACTGGAACGAAGTGCTCAGGTGGTTTAGGTAGAGTAAACTTTTTATGGATGTATAACCTTACCTGGCTAGATGAGCTCCATCTTGTTTTGTCAGTTGGAGTTATCCTTATCCTATAAGTTACTGAGAATTAATAATCATTTCTGTTCATTGTTGATACGCTTTTAAGACTTCTCTCACACAATTAGAAGATCGTATCAAAATAGCTTACTGTTGTAATTAATTTTTCCTAAACAATCTTTTGTTAGCAAAAAGGATCAGCAAGTATTTCAAAGGATTTCGAAAGAATTTTCCTCTATGTTATTTTGTGCAAAATTTTGGCATTTAGAATGGAAACGTCAAAACAACAGAAAGTGTAAATATCAAAATGTTAAAATCAATTCTGTAAGCATTAAAACAACAAATTATACATGTCGAAATGTGGCAAAATTATATAAATATATACAACAATTCAATTGTTAAACAACTCGATGGTAATTCTTTTACCGGTTTCTTTTATCTTTTTCTCTTTACACTTTTTTCTCATTTTTTTTCCAATTTTTAAAGAAAATTTTTGGCTTCAAGCAACTGTTACCCGCCTATTAGCTTTTTGACAGCATTTATTTATTTTATTTTTTTTTTCTCTTTCTTGTTAACTTGTATCATTTATTTTGTATCATTTACTGGATGCTATATAGAAGAAAACAATACAGAAAATCCGTACTCTTAAAATGATTTGTTGATTTCGATGGAAAATATTTTCGTTTTCTTTCTCCTTTGTTCCTGTTCTTTTTTCTCCACTCTTTCTCTTTTTCTCTCCGTTTTTGCCTCTCTTCCTCTCTCCTAAATTAAAAGGATGGTCTGATCTACCTGAAAGGAAAATTAGATATGATTTCCTGAGTTTCATTTATTTTAGTGTAATATAAGAAAGATATATTATCATCTTCATTACTACTATTACTACTTTGCTGTATTACGATTGTTATAATTAATGTAATTCAGGTATGCTGTCATCTTTCTTCCGGTTTCGTGAATAGTTCATTATATTCCTAATAATTATGTCAGGGTTAATCTCTTTGATACCATTAACATACTTTTTATGGTATGCATTATCACTGGAAGCATGGTAATACATTTTTCTCTTCGTTATTGTTATTTTAATTTGATTTTTAAAAAAAAAAATTTTTTTAAAAATTGTATTTTGAAATTTCATTGAAATTTAGTGCAGTATCTATCTATCCATATAGTTAATAATTAATGCAAGATTTGATCACAGAATATGTTTACTCACATATATGTACATAGCACAGATATCTAAATTTAGTTTAATGTTTTACTTCAAGTAGTTATCAGAATTTATGTTCCTCTAGATCTAAATGTAAATATTAAAAGTGATCATAATACTTTTTACATATTTCTCAGAACTCAGTTTATGTCATTTTTAGGCTACCGAATCGACCAAATATAATACTTATCATGACGGATGATCAAGATATTGAATTAGGCTCAATGCAGGTCTCTTTGTACTTCGTTTTATTTATATTTATCATAGGTATATTTGTATTTATATTTATATAACAATTTAGTAATAAATTCACTGATAACTTTCAGTCGGATTTATGATATTACTAGTTCTGGATCTCATATAAGGGAATTTCTTTTGGATTCATAACTTTTTTAGACAAGATATCTTGAATGCCGGCAACATTTAGTTACTGAATTTTAGCATAACAATTTCGAGACGACTATTTACTGAATAGAATAATTGTTTATCTTTTTTTTTTTCAGTTTATGCCAAAAACCGTACATCTGCTAAAAGAACGTGGGGTAACATTCAATTCAGGTTTCGTTTCAACACCTATATGTTGCCCAAGTCGAAGTTCGATATTGACTGGAATGTATGCACACAATCATCATGTACTTACCAATAATCATAACTGTTCAGGGAATAATTGGAGGTATTCTTCCTAGAATTTGTTTTAAGAAATTTCGAGATATTCCTTACAAAATTAGGAAGCGATGTCTATTTGAATGAATTGCATTAATGATTACCACTGAATTGTTAACTGGAATTCTAATTAACTAACGATAAACACTGCTACTACACTGAATCAGGACTAAATTATTATGTCTTAATTACAAATAAGAGAAATTTGTAGTTGTTAAAATTTTTGAATTCATGTGGAGATAAACTACAATCGATAGAATAGTTAGCAGAAGCATTAATAAATGAAATGTAATTAAACTATAAATTAGGGGAGTAAGTTTTTTTTTTTTTTTTTTTTGATAAATTTGAGCTTGAAGCAAAGTTACATCAAATGTATCTTTAGACATAACTATGAAAAAAGTACATTTGCTGTGTATCTAAAAAATGAAGCAAGTTATACAACGGCATATTTTGGTAAATATTTAAACGAGTATATCGGTTCATATATTCCGCCTGGTTGGGACTATTGGATGGGATTGCTTCGAAATAGCCGGTTCTATAATTACACAGTAAATATAAATGGTAATAAGATCAAGCATGGATGGGATTATGGAAAGGTTTGTTTATAAAGAATTTTCTTTTCCTGCAGAATTTCAACTAATTCAATAAATAGATTTGAAAAGATGTTATTACGCGTCGAAATTTTTATGACTTTGGTCAGTAATTGAAAACTTTGGATTACTCTATTGTTTCAGGATTATTTCACTGACTTAATTGCTAACGATACGATAGCGTTTATCCGACAATTGCGTGACAAAGATCCATTCAAGCCGTATATGATCGTGATATCATTTCCCGCACCACATGGCCCCGAGGATCCAGCTCCACAATATTCTGCATGGTTTCAGGATGTTGAAACACACAGGTGCTTTGATTCAGAAATTAAAAAATTCTGTATGCAGTAATGAAACCGGTCTTTTTTTTGGCATAATTAGTTGATAGTTAAGTTTAAGAACAAAATTGATTGATAGTTGAGTTTAAGAACAGAAGCTTGGAATTATGCTCCAAATCCTGATAAACAGTGGCTTTTGCAACATACCGGACGTATGGAACCAGTCCATGTTATATTTACCGATGTTTTACATAGACGACGTCTGCAAACATTGCAAAGTGTAGATAGTAATATTCAACGAGTTGGTTTTATAAGTTATTTTTATTTTCCACTTGCTAAAGTATGTATTGAAATTTTGTTTTAAAATTCCAGTCTGTTAACATAATTTGTGTATTAAGAGGGTGAAGAATTCTTTTCCTTTTTTCATATCACAGAGACGAAACAGCGGTTAAATTAACAATCAATAAAATTTAAAATTTTCGTGGCAGAAATTTTGATATTGCCTCTTTGTGAATGGTATCTTAATGACTTTAAGCACAATTATGAATTTCGATCGTCAAAGTGAGTCGATTACTTTTAAACATTTGTTAAATAAATATAATAAATAAAAATAATCTGTAGCTGATAAATGAATTACGTGATCTGGGTGATTTGTCGAATACCGTTTTCATCTATACAAGTGATCATGGATATCATTTGGGGCAATTTGGTTTGGTAAAGGGTAAAAATATGCCATATGAATTTGATATTCGTGTACCATATTTTATTCGTGGACCAGGATTTCCGAAGAATATATCGTAAATTATATTTAAATTTACTTCATTTTATAAATTTCTTTATTTAACTTTATTTTATGATAGTAGTGTCATAAGCTTCACTTCATCACACATGATAGATTTTAAACATAACTAATGTTTTTTTTTTTTTTGTATATTCATCAGATAGATAAGTTATTAATTGCACACTGTAAAAGTAGAACCAATTTAAGTTAATAAGCTATTCCTGAGGTAAGTTCTATATTTACTTGACACACATAATAAAGCTTGAATATATTTAGGATCCGTGAACCTGTAATGAATGTTGACATAGCTCCGACCATTTTGGATATAGCTGGAATAGCTATACCACGTCATATGGATGGACGTTCATTAGTACAACTTATACGACAGTATGGTAATGCCAGTTCTCCTTTGATTTGATTAGCATTTTTATTTTTCACTCTATTATGGTGGATGCATGTTAATTTAGCTCCAGTTATTTTGGATAGAGTTGAACTAACTATTTTCCTCGCCGTCTATTAATAAGTACCGGGAAATTGTTGAAATTATCATTGTGATTAGGTTAGAAGTAACAATATGTAAGCCTTGAGGTGTAGTTATTATTCCCAGAAATTGTATTTCTTGCTTTTCTGATTTCCTCCTCGAGATCACTTTTTTTTTTTTTTTTTTTTTTTTTTTTTTGAAAAGATAAACCAAAAAAGAAGACGAAAAAGGAAGCAGGAAAAATGGAAGAATTTAAATGGCGAGATACGGTACTAATCGAAAGAGGGTGATTTTTTTTTCTTTTTCGTAAATTTTTTTCCATCTGCTAAATATTATTGGTTTAAAATGAACCTATGTTTTTTGTACTTTTTTTTTCCACTTTTTTAATCTTTGCAAGATAATATGGTCTGAGGAGTGTAATAATTATTTCTGGAGTATTCGAATTCGTTCGTAATGTTATAATCGAAAACAAAAAAAAAAAACAATACTTTTCAATCTTTAACCACCATCTCATGTAGAAAAATGGCGAAATTAACTCGAATACGTGATCGACTTATGAAGCAACGTGATCGATTAAGTAAAGACTTACGTGTACAAAAAGCCTGTACTCGATCAGAATTCAGAGAACCATGCAGGAAAGGACAGGTACTATTAATCTTAGAAGGAAAATCTGCTCGAAATTAAGTTTTGTTAAATTTTCTATAATATGTGATCTTTGAAATTCACCTAAACTTCTTGTAAGGTTTATTTTTCTATCTGATTTGCATTTCTTGTTTTTTTTTTTTTTTTTAGAACATATAATTCTATCGTAATGAAATCACTATTTCTTCTTTATCGCGAACTTATTGTTGCGGAGTCAAATAGTTATTATTTCAGCAATGGAAATGCATTCATAATTCTTCTGGTAAGTGGAAAATTTTCAAATGTGAAGTGAATGTAGATATCATCAAAGAATGTGATTGTTCATCGGCTGCACTACTAAAACGGCGTTTTCGACGTTCCAGACCGAAGCACGGTTAATTCAGCAGTATATTTGTAATTCAGATTTTCCTAGATGTGTTTGATCTGTACTATTTTTGTTTTATTGTTCTATAATACACAAGAGCTTTTAACATTATCTGACATTATTTGTTTGACGATATTGATATGGTATTTCATTCCCTGAAGATTTTTGAGATGAAATGTTGTTTCAAGAAAGAATAAGTGTTCAACGGACAGCAACTATAGCTCAGTTAGATGATGAAGGTGAAACGGTTTCTCTAGACGAAACTTTGCAAAAGTTTTGGGAAGAAGAATTCTTGCAATATATACAAGAGGTATTTTCTTAGTTCAATTTTTTATCATAATCCCATGAGAATTTTACATTCATTACTGAATTGTTTCTCTCTTACAATTGTTATCAGCTCAGTTCATCCATTCTAAATATCAAACAAGTTAAATTATAAATTTTTGAGTATTATAATGAGTATGTAATGTGTTTTTTCGTGAATTTGATGTTATGGCACATGATGTTTGTAGGACAATAAGTTTATTTATTTAGAAACATTTAAATGTCAAACAGCAGCAGTATGTGATTATCAGTGCATTAACAAGGTGCCATCTATTTTATATTTTGCATTCTTTTTAATACAGAAAGAAGTGATGGAAAGTGGTGAATGGTATCAAGGTGTTTTGGAAAACCGAAATGTTGGTGATGTACGCATCAAGCGATCGATAAAAATGAAAAAAGCAAGGATTGGCTGTAGGATGTTATGTTGTCAAATTCCAAATGAATGATATGCTGTAGATATCAGAAAATATAAGGTTGTTTCATGGAGTGCCATGTGGAATAACATTACATCTGTTTGCAGCTTTGTGTGTGCGATACAATACTAGTACTAGTGTCATTTGCAAGCCAAAAGTATTTTTGAATTCTAAATTATGGACGATCCACAAGGCAAAAGTGGATCATAGAATCGAAAATCTTAAAAGGAAATTATTGCTTTATAAGGTTGCTCCATTACTTTTATTGCTTATTAACTCAGATTCACTTTTTTCAATGCTTATTTCTTCTAGAATGAAAGACTGAAGCGTACTTAGGTTATCATGCGATATCATTCATTACGAAGCAACATTCGATATTAATCGTATCATTTTTATGTTGTTACAATGTGCTGTCAGTTTTTCGAGAGATTGATATGAAAGTAAATTAGGCAACAAATTTAAAATAAAAGTTCTACTGAAATAGTGATTCGGCCATTGATCTTCTTGCTATAGTTAATATCAATTTATGATCAAGAATGAAATAAAGTGCATGTTCTCTATTTATTTCATAAATTTGGAAAATTTTTTTCTAAGGTTATGCGGAGAACTTTGAAACGAAGGCGACCATCGAATGACTTTTTATCATCAAGTGATTTAACTGGATGTATTTGCAGTGATACTCATGCTCGTTTGCCAGGGTAATCTTTAGGAAGTTAAATATTTCTGTTTATTTTAATTTAATTTTCAAATAGAATTTAGAGATTACTGATGCCGTGCGAAATACATTTTTTAAAAAAAAAAAAAAAAAAAAAAAAAAAAAACTAAGCAAATATTGAATTTTTGAAGGAACGGAAGTAGCCATAGTGATGTGTTATGGTGGCGCAAAAGTGGAAGAAATATTAACAACAATTCGTTTGCTGGGATTAATCCAAAGTATCAAACATTTTGATAATATTCCGCAAAAGAAAGGGGTGAAATTGTAATCAAATGGATAACTTTGTTCTCGTGAAACTAACAGGGTTGAAGTAGCGGAAAAAGACAAGATTGATTAGCTGGATAAGTATATTGTTTCACCCTTGAATACGTTGTGAAATATATTTCAAAACATTGAAAGAATTTTTTTTTAATATAAAACGATGAATACAGAATTTGAATAATTGCAGAAGCTTTAAAAATGTAAATAATTACAGAAGCTCGAATCATGGTGAATTGCATGCAAATTGTGTAGTACCACAGATGAACTGTTTCGTGCACGGTGCAAATCACTGGAGGACACCACCATTTTGGCCGGAACGATATGGCCAATTTTGCTTCTGTCAAAATTCCAACAATAATACATACTGGTGCATACGAACAGTTAACAGTACACATAACTTCTTGTACTGCGAGTTTATCACCGGATTTATAAGCTACTATGATCTTAATGCTGATCCATATCAGGTGAGTAATCTTTGGCCGTTTTTTGAAAAAGAAACTGAAATTAGTACAAACTCGAACTTGAACTATAAAAAAAAATCTTTTTTACCACTTAAATTTATCGTTTTTTTTTTCTTTCCGAGCAGTACTCGGCCTTTTTAATTTATTCAGCGAATTAAAAGGTATAATTTGAGAGTACAAACTATATTGCTTCTCAATATTAAACCCGAATGTTCATCTTACTGATGTAAATGTTAGCAAATAATGATTTCCTAGCGTGTTAGTTGATGCAGTTTGTTATCAATTGAAGCTTTCTATCGTTTTCATTTCAGTTGCATAATATTATATGGAGTATACCATTGGGAATATTGGAACAACTAAGTAGACAACTTGAACTTTTGCGGACATGTCAAGGTCATGCACAATGTGAACACTATTCCTCCTCACTATGGCATCTTCCAGTTATGGAAAGTGATAATAATAGCATTAATCAGTAAATTGTTATGAAATCTCGAGAATTTCAGAAACTTTGGTAGGAAAGGTTGTTAGCTTCCAAACTTCACCTTCTGGATTTTATGAAGTTTATTGGTCAGCGAGAAGATTTAGAAACTCCATGTTCGACCCTTCAATTTTGTATTGAATCGATGTTACACATAAGCTTATCACTATACTTCGGTTTTTCCATGCATTTTTAAAAAAAATTTCTTTTCGAAGGAAGAAAAAATTTTGAATAAAAGATGTAACATTATAACACACTAATTATCATTATACGCTTCTATCATTAAATTAATTTCGATTTACATCATCCATCTTCCAGAATATATTAAAAATTTTGCACCAATGTAACATGAATTGATGCCTTTTAACAGATAAATTAACTTATCCGAAATTTGTTTCCGATTTAGATGAAACTAGGAAGACAGTGACAACAAGCAAAAATAATTCATTGTTGGTTTTCTGAGGAATGAACATATGTGTATGCGTGTACACTATATATAATATCTTCATGCTAGATACTGACAATCCATTCCGTTCATTCATCTTTTTCTCGTTGATATTGTAACAAACTGTCAAGATATCAATCAATTACAATAACGTATAAATAAATTATCACATACCTACAAGTAACATAAATTATATGAATGAAAAACTTCAAAGGTAATGGTCGGTGGCACTTTAATCTTTAAACTAAAGTAACAATCATGCATTATGGAAAAGTGGAAGATATTTTTGATGGTAAGAATCTTATCTATTCATAACTTGCTTAATTCCGAATGCGAACATCACAAAGTTAGCTAGGACCTATGTGTTACTGGATTAAAGAAATGGTATGAACTCATGATTATTTCACTTAACTTTCCAGTTCACTTCAATCTTTTTTTAGTATATCTAACAAGATGACACGTAAAAAAAAACGTAGATGTTGCGGTATGGCTCCTTATATCTTAAAGAAAACATCCAAAGCCTTCAGATAAAGAAAACATGCTCTAAATTTGTTTTGTATTCTGTACATTTTTTGAAGACTTAAGGTATCTTCTTTATAAAAATGCCATTCAGAAATACATCTATATGAACATGACCTAAACTCTATTTTACTTTTCAAAAATTTTTAGTTTTCTTGTGGAGAATAGATCCTATCCTGAAAAGGAAAAGGGTAATTACTGTTAAGCTAGATTAATTACAGTTAAGTTAGCTTAACTGTAATTGAAGAGAGTACATGGTGCATAAGTACATATTGCTAATATAAAGCAGTACAAGAATAAGACATAACCGTCATATCATAATAATAAAGCATGCGCATACTTGTAGCAAGGATGCTGAATCGTCACAAACATATATAATTTAAACTTTAAAAAGAGAAATACAAAAATTAGTACAAATATGCGTTCAATAATACGCATGTAACATAGTGTAATATTTCAAAGGGTAATTTTAATATATAAAACAAAATATTTAAAGGAAAATCACAATTTCAATAAAAAAATTATTAGGAAAAGAAAACATATTTCGTTTTGGTACAATTTACAGTAATTTCTGGAAAAAGTGGAAGATATCTTCCAAAATGTAAAAATTTCTATCTACTTCTTAATCCAAAAAGGATAAAAAGAAAAAAAAAAAATCTATTCGCTGCTTAAGTAAAGCGTAATATGACCTCAGTAATACACAATGCATCTTTTAGCATATGTCGGACACTGTTGTCTTTAACTTCTTTCCATCATAAACTGTTTTGAACTGTTCAGGCACCGCAAATTCTACCTGAAATTTAATACAGCATTAATAATAAATAATAAATAAATGATAATAATAATTCACTACTTACTAATTTGCGATGATTCCAACTTTCCTTATGACAATTTTTTTTTTTTTTTATTAAGCTTCACTTTGTAGGAGTAAAAAAGTATTCTCGAGTGCTTGCTCGTTACACTGCGAAGAAGAAAATTTTCATCAATTTTGAGATGAATGTTATAACCTAACAAGAGATAAAAACATCATAAAAGGCGACCATTCTCTGTCCTTTTGCTTACTTTCTCTTACTTGAAACACAAAATAAACTACGACTTGTTATTCGTTAAACAAAAAAAAAAAAAAAAATAATAAGGAAAATATTTTAGAAAATTGATAGAAAAGAAAAGGAAAGAAAAAGGATGAAGAATGTATACTACTTTCGTTTTTATTCGTTATCATCCTTTCACAAATTTCTGTTTCTTTTCCTTTTGAAGAAAAAAAAAAAAAAAAAAAAGGAAAGCTGAAAACTCACGAAATCACCATCTTCAGCACCTGGTACAAGCACATTCATCTCAGATGATTTACTTGTTATTATTTCTGCATTTATTGCGCTCTTACTGAGATATACTTGACAACCATCAGTCTTCTGAATTGATAATGTTGGCATAGCACCGAGAGTCTGCAAATGTATAAACAAAATTCATAATTCTGTCCTAAAACCGACATAATAAGTTGTCAGAAGTACTACACTTCATATAGCAACATGTATATTTTCCAGAACAATTCGGGACTATTCAGCATAGTAGCATGATGGATGAAGTTCGATAAAATATATAGCATAAGATGAGTGTTCTCAATAAATATATTAAAATCAAGCGAAAAAAAATGATAAAAATGTCCTGAGATTCTGAAAAAAAAAAGCATTTAAAAGATCAAAAAAAAAAAAACATCAAAATCTTTACCTGTATTTGCACGCTTTGACAATTAATCACTTCAAGTTGCGATAAAAGGCTATCAAATACGACAGATGTCTTCTTGCAACTATCCAACGTTACTGAATTTACTTTTCCTCTGATCTAAATTTAAAATGAATTTCGGTGGAAAATACATTCAAATCTTCTGATAAATCTTGTTCTGTTAATGACTAGAACTTAGGTCATTCCCGTCTTGATGAATATGAAATTCGAAACGGAATTAGAAATTGATTAAAATAAATCATATCGCAGGTACCGCACTGTTCAATCCAATATTATCCTATCAAATATGAGCAAAGAGATCAGAAATGGCATGAAAAATGAAAACTTTTTAAGAACATCCTCTGAGCACTTATTAAAACTACATTTCATACCTCAGCTAAAATATCGACAAAACCTGAATAACTAAATAACCCCGATTAAATAGCAACATAATTAAATCAAACCAACCTGAATGATACTATTCTCACATTTAAATACATATACTGTCTGCTTCATATCACTGACTTCGACCATAACACTGCTGTTATTTTTATAGTACTCCTCAAATATATTCCAAGTTTAGGGTACGACCTTTCTCTCCTAATATCTTATTTTGCTTATCTCGCATTTCTAATCTTACTAATCCTTTATTGCCTATTATCATCATTCTCCCATATATAATAGTTAAGAATTTACCACATTCCACTGCTTGCCGTTATCTAACCACGTTTTCGGCTGTTTATCTTCTTGCTTCTTCACTAGTAAGGCACTGTCAGTCGCCTTCTGCGCCATTTCTTTATTTGCTGTCCCAACATTAACTTCTTTATGCTATAAAAATGGAAAAATTTCTTAACAAGTGGGAGAAGGAAGAAAACTAAATGATGTAACAAAAAACATTTCTAGTTATTAAATTATTGGTATGAGATCATCTGGATTAAGATTACATTTTGAGATGATCACAATGAAGGTAGGATTAACATTCTACATTAAATATTAGAAAATGTAACATTCCAGAAAATAACTGTACCTGTGATCGAAGTGACGGATTCTTATGTGTTTGCATATCTGGCGTTACTTTTTTCAAACGCTTTGTAATTTCTTCACCGGCATTAATTTCCGCAAACAGTGCTGATCGATCACTCTTATCCGTTGAAATGTTTGTTTCGGATACTGCAGCAAAAAGATCTAGAAAAACAGATATATAAAAGTAGTCTAAGTGAATGATGAACAAAAGTGTTTGAATCTGTGGAAATCTTACAATTATCAAATGGGAAAAAACAAAGAACATTAATTATGCTGCTAGGTAGTAACAACAACTACGGGCACGGGTTATGCTATCAAGTGGCATCTTATCTTTAAAACATAAGCATCAAATAAAGAAACGCAAAAAACTGACCCGGTGGCAAAACGGGAGGAGGTGGTGCAGCTCCAGATAAAGTGCTGTTGGGACTTACCAATGCTGATGGTTTTGCACCCTTAAAAAGAAGGAATTTACAATACGATATTTTAAATGTGATTAAAGCAGTAACAGATGTTATAATTGACTGATTAAAATCATCATGGAGCTTTCTTAATTCTAATTTGTTTATTTCTGCTCAGTATTTTCTGATTTTTTCTTATTCAGTGTTTTAACTACATCTTATGAATTAAATTTCTCATTGAATTTTCCTCTCCGAATATGATAGAAAAGGGAACTAATGGTACAAAGAAATAGCAATCGAAGAATGTAAGCAATTTGTGATGGTAAATATGTGAAAAATCAAAAAAAAAAAAAGAAAAAAAAAAATCAAACTGTCAGAAAAAAGCAGTAAACGATTATTTTGAAGTAGTCTAAAAATTTCAAATAATAAAATCATCTCACTGGGCAGCTATTCCAAACAAGACCCGTAGTATGTACTTGTTGTACATATTTCTGCAAAGCATTCAAAACATCTGACCATGACTTTGCCCATTCACTATGGATCTGTAAAGATATGAAATGATTTCGAGAAATCTTATCATTCTTTTAATGTTCCAATAGACAAGAATTTCCTGATTGGCATAACCATAGAGGTAAAAATAAATAAATAAATAAAAAACCATTTTCGGCTAAAGGTCGAAAAATAAAAAGAATCGAATGTGCTTTTCAAATCAAACAAAAATAAAACAAAACAAAACAAAAAAAAAAAAAAAATAGATCTTAAAATCAATATCAGTAACAATCGTACCTTATCATCCTTGTATTCCTTCAACACACGGTTCACAAAAAACATCGACGCTTCAAACATATCTTTGATGAATGGCGCAGGTGTTGGTTTCTGAAATTTAAGATGAACAACGTGTGTAATAAATTTTTACAAGAAATGTGACAAATTTCTTATTTTGCTGTTGTATAATTCATTCCTTTCCAGATTTAATTAAATAAATTGAATATCGATCAAGCCTATTTCGGAGCATAGCATAACGCTAGAAAAAATATCGAAATTCAAAAAAGTCATAAGAATCTTACAATAGTGAGCCATCCAAGAGCTTGAATTCCTTCACTTGCCGCTGAAATATGATTGAAAAATGGAGTATTCCTTTTGAATTCTTTGAATATTGATAAATCTTCCATCATCTTAATCATTGGACCAAGTTTTGCTTGCAATTCCTTAATCGACGGTTCACTTTGACCAGCAGCTAACCAAATAAAATTGCGCTGCTCCGTGAAAAGTGCCGACAACTTATTGCCCTAAAAGCACGCATGTTATCTCGAGAAATAAAATATTTTCGCCCCTTCACGTGATCTTCTTCTCCTCCTCTCCTTTTCTACTCTCTGAAAAGAAAAAACGTAATACAACTATGTGTCAATTCAAAGCTGTTATCATAACTTATATCAAAAGTCACATTTATGTTATGATTGAGCTTTGCTTAAAATGTATGATACAGTGTTTATAGGCCCAATTTAAGAACTTCTGGTCTCCACGACATATGTTTCGTCCCATAACCCTATAAAAAGATAGAGAAAACTGAAGGAAAACAAATAATTTGAAACACATACCACTGTTTGAAGATCACCACCAATATCACCACTTAGTTTTAGCAGTCTTTGAAGAGGCTCATCAACAGCATCATCATATTGTACAACAGATGGTGGAGTTTCAGTTGATGCTAAAATTTCCAAAATACTAATGAAAAGATGTGTACAACAAATGAAAGTTTTTTATTAAAATTGTAGTTGAAAAAAATTCGACTACATGATATTATGCCTTAGTTTATGACTAGTAATTTCCTTTAAAATTTCTCATAAGGTAAATTCGATTTTTGGGAAATAAGTTATTGACTATCCTAATAACTAATTAAGCCTTTCAGAACATTGTTATGATTTTAAAAAAAAAAGAAAAAATTTCCAAATTGTTCAATACACATTAACAAGTTTTAAAGTTAAACATTTATTGCTTCTGTTGATAATTTTTTGAAAACTTTGAAGAACTTTATTCTTTTAGCAGAACAGTACAATTACGTTATGATTTCCAGAACAGAAAGGAATAACCGTATAAGCAAAGTGATAACACGCCTCCTAAAATTAATAAATTAATTTTATGCATTTGTGTGAACTTCCAACATCCGTAATTCTTCCTTTAAACTTTGAATAATTATGTTTCTTTTTTTTTTTTTTTAAATGATTTTCATATTCAAAGTAATCGTTTTAGGCTACAAAAAAAAAGTCACTCTAACGTCTGAAACGTCCCTTTCCGTCCACCTACAATATAGGTGTACACATATAAAATACTTAACGACGATCCCATCACGATAAATATAAAAAAATTTCTGTGTTTGAGAACGTAAAGTAGCATATAATGATTATGAAATGAGACACTGATCATCACAAATCACATTATATTATTTTAAACATCATTAACTATACATAATGTTTATTGAACAAAGTTAAAATTACACTATAAATTTGTATATGAAAGATGACCGCAACTGAAGAAAAAAAGTTTTTTGAATGAAAAAAAAAAACCAAAAATATTTTGCTGAAAGAAATAGTTACAATAAAGATTGTTTCTTAAGTAAAATTCTTTGGTAAGATATGATTATTATGAATATTACTTACTCTTATTTTCTTCGGATTCGTTCTTCGTAAAAGCTTTACTATCTTTATCACATTGAAACGCAACTTTTTTCGGTGTTTTAATCCCTGAATTGTTTACTGATTGGATGCTATTACCATTTTTCATTAAAATTCCCGGCAAACTTATGGCATTCCCAGGTTTCCCGCTGCCACTAATGAATGTTGCATCATCCACAGGAAATGGCTGGTTTAATCGTCGTGGTTTGACGAAAGTGGTATGAGAATCGTAATCTTTTTCCAAAACAGCAATATCTTGAAAAACGATAGGTTGGTCCTGTAGTACTGTTATTTCTTTCTGAATTTTAGGACTTTTATCGGTAATTATTGGTTTATTGACGATAAAAGTTGTCGGCTTTGGTTGCATATTTTCTTTGCTTGCTTCACTAACCGAACATACCTTTTGTTCTACTAATTTTGTAGCACTACCTGTTGATTCAGTATTTTGTGAAGTATCAATCAGATGTCGACTGATAAATCCAGAAGTTCGTATATCTTCCTTTAATGTAGCATGAGGCATTCTTTCTTGAACTTTATGAATTTCAACTGATCGTTTTATTGGCTTCTCTAAAAGCATATTATCCTGCGTAACTTGTGCATCTACAGACCCAGAAGTAGCCAATGGTATCGAATCTGTTCGAATAGCGTTTTTAGTCCGGAATATACTACGTACATGCTCCACATTGAATGGTTTTGCTGATGGTACTGGTGGTGATCGTTTGATATCAAGCACGTTATGAAATTGTTGAACGTTCTGCTGAAAAAAATTTTCCATTTGTCGCAATGAGGGAGATTGTTTCGGTTGTTCCTTAAAAAAAGGTGGTAAAAATGTATCTGCAGTAGGCTCTGTTGCTGTTTGGCTGCCCAAAATATCAGCTTTTTTTCGGAATTTCGGATCTTGCTCCAGTTCCGCTCGAACTCCCTTGGCAACGTTAAACATTGCTATACTTTCTGGTAATTCATTACCATTAATTTTCATCAAAGTTGGATCCGATGTACGCCTTTGCGGTAGTCCCACTTTTGGTAATGCTACATGATGTAACGTTGCATAGTTTTTATGCCTTTCTAATTGCTGATAAGAAATTAGTCTCTGCTGTTTTTGTTGTTCATTAAAAGGAACCTGAGATGCAAGAAACTGAACAGAACTTTTAACTCGTGCTTCGGAAAAATCTCCATATTCATTTGCTGATTGTATATTGGTATATCCACCAGTGTTGGAAATTTGTACCGGTTGAGACTGAATTACTATCGGTTTTGGAACATGCTCAGTAAAAGATAGCGTTGAACCTGAACGAAAGCGATTGCTTTGGTTATTACTAATCGATCGATGATATTCGTTATAATATGGACTAACATTCTGCAAAGTCTGTTCTGGCTGCGATTCACGAGAATGTGTATGATACACCCAAGGTGGTAGCTGCTTATTAACATTTCGACGCTGAACCTGGAATACATTGCTCTTCGATATTGGAATATGTACTACCTCTGGCTGGAAAATGTTGAAATTCTGATCAGAAGTTCGACCTGAATCAGGTGAGTTATACAAAGATGAAGCCGTGTGTTTCGCATAATTTTTGGAATCTAGTGTAGATGTCTCAGGTAAGCTTACAATATTTGATCGATCTCCTTCCACAGTCTTAGTAATTCCATCTGACTCTTTGGAAATGTTCGTTTGTTCGAAATTGCTACTGCTAATAGAAGCATGGTTCACTGGTGGTTTAAATGAACCAAAATGGCTACCCTCATAAAAGGATACAAAACTGGTTGGTGGCGCACTGGTACGTCCACTTTTCACTTCTGGCACTTGTAAAGTGGTCATACTAGATGATGAATGCATATTGCTACTCATCGAACGATATGAAGTAGAGTGCTGTCCAAACGGTCTTGGACTCTGGAAGAACATTTTCTCTACTTGCTTCTCTTACAAAAAAAAAAAAAAAAAAAAAAAAAAAAAAAAAAAGAAAAAAAAAGAAAAAAAAAGTCAGAGCCGCAACAAGCAAAAGCAAAAAAAGCCTTTTTCAGAGGACAGTAACGTGAATATAACGAAGTCAGTTGCAGTCTATAAAATTTAATTCAAGCTGGAAGAAAACTCCATTATCAAAATAAGCAATCCTTTGAAGACTTCAATATAAACACCGTATAGTAACGGTTCAACGGTGATTTCCCAAGCTTAGTTTTCGGAAATATTGTTTCGGATCACATAACCGAACTAAAAACTGAAAACCAATAAACGACAAATCGTTAGAAATTATTAAAATACTAATTTTCACAAATCGTTAAATCAACCAATTAATCGAATTACGAGAGTGAAAAAAAAAATGAGAAAAAAGATAAAAAAAAAAAAAAAAAAAACAAGGAGCAGTTTTGCCAAATAAGGTAATCTAGATAATTCATGGCGAATGAGTAGCAATTTTATCAATTGAATCTTGCAGTTCTTTTACAACTTAAATACTAGAAATCGAGAATATAGTGATTCTAGAAGTTTGGCCTTAATGTTTTTGAACAGAGTATGACAAATGACTACATTGACAGTCTTATAAACTAAGTTTTGTAATGTTTCAAAAAAAAGAAAAACCGGCTTTATTTGATTTACAACTGCATTTACTACTCTAAAAGCATGGTATTGAGGCATGATTAACCCAGGTAAGTTTCAGTAATTGGATAAAAATCATGTCAAACCTTTAAAGGTCATTCCTTACTTACGATTAACCATGAACAACTTCCAATTTTATGTGCAAAAATTCTCACATATCTTATGAAGTTGTTTTAGAAGAGAAACACTGCCATATGATGGAATACTAAAATTATCTTAGAAAAAAATTTTCAAAGAAGCAAAACGGGAATTTCCGACAGCGATCTGTTCCACTAAGCAACTGTTCCATAACGTTCAAAAAGCCTGCAGCACTGAACGAACTCCTTTCTTTTTCTTCTCTCTAAGTTAGAAAAGCCAACTGATATTGACTTCAAGAAGGCTGTAATTGAAAACAAACGATATTAAACCTAGTAGAGAATAATATAAATGAAGCTGACCAAAAAGTTGAGGAAAAAATAAAACAGATAAACAATTATCAACCAATGAAATGATTTTTTTTTTTTTTTTTTTGAAGGATTAAAAGTTAAATAAAGGATATCGCAAATATGTTTTAGTACGTATTTATTTAAAGATTTCATGCAGTATTAAGGGGAAAAAAATTAAGGTTTACATAAAAAGTTTTTGAATTAAAAAGTGGACAGAATATTCTGGTTCCGAAGTACCTCATAAGACTGTTTTCGAAATACAGTTAGATAAGATACTAATCTCATGTCCTCAAACAGCCGTCTTCTCAGCTTCGTAAAATTTCTCATAATAGTGAAAATATTTTGATAATATAAAAAAAGATTCAAATTTTCTTTTAAATTAAAATTTAAAATTTAGATTTGAAAAAAAAGTTTAATTAATTAGAAATGGGGAAAAATGAACAAAATGATAAGCTTAGCTTGTAGTTATTGACCGAAAGCACTACTACAACAAATTTCGGCAGCAGTTGCGACTGGTGCTGCTATAACTCTAAGTCTATGCTGTCCATAGATCAAAACAGGATGAAAAAAAAGGGTATAATAAGAATTATGGATACGAAATCTTCGGGTGAGAACAAGCTTATTCTCGACTGGTATAAGAACATTCCGATCATCTTCATTAACATCCATTGCAGTTATTTGCTTCATAGAATGTATGCTCTCATCAAAACCAAAACTAATATCATTAATATCATTCGTATCACTTCATTTATGTTTCGACCATTCATCTCTGTCCAACTGAAGATACAATTTACAAAAAGACCCTGAAACTTTTTTTTTAAAAAAAAAGAAAATTAAAATCTTTCTTGCTACATAGTTATACACACATAGACTAGCACAAAAAGGCAGACATTAGCAATTCGTACACAGTCTTTCAATCAAATACGCCTTATTATTACCTACATGACATGCACACTTCCCCTGTTTGCTTCCTACCGCAACGATCATCATCGATATAATAATGGTAATGTTATTAAAATCCATTAAATAAAGTACAAAAAAAAAAAAAAAAAAAAAAAAAAGAATAATTAGGCTTTAAAGGGAACATCGACAATCACTTAGTGAAAGTTCAATTAGTAAATTTAAGATATTAAGCATATGAATTATTGGAAAATCAAAAATTCTACTGATCAAAGTATTGAACAAGTAAAACTTTCCGTTCTTACTCGACTGTTTATTTTCTGAGTTTTGAATTTTTAAGCTGAACTCTAGAACTATCACCTTTTAAAATCACCCTAAAAACCCAAATCTGTTGCACAAAATGAGTACACCTGATAAATAGTAATGAATGCAACAAAAAATTAAATTCTTCTAATATGCTACACTTACTAAATATATCTATGATTATAATCCGCAGTATTCAGTTATGCTTTCATTTAATCTCTTACAAATTATTGAAAAATCTACTCTTTATCCATTGTCTGGACCAGAATTTTCCATATCAAAACATGAAAAAACTTATAAAAATCCTACTATAAATCTTTACTGTACACAATTAACTATCTTTTAAATTCTCAATCACTATAATGCTAAGTGAACACAGAAATGTAACAAACATTTTTTTGTTTTTTCTATCTTCGTGCTAATATATTCTTTATAAGGTTACGTTCAAATCAAAGATCTAAGCAAAAGCATAATTACTATTTCGAACAAAACGGATGGATGATCATTTATCATAGCCTTAAACAATCATGCTTTCCTCATGCACAACTAATATTCATGCTTTGCCTCTACTAGGTTCATTGCATAAACTTCATTCTACTCTAATTAATAATTAATATTCCAAATCTGATGTAAATGAACTGAACAGCGAGGTTTTATATCAAAATTAATTCTGGTTAGAATATAAAAATCGAATAACCTAAATAAGTACAAAACTTACAAGGAACAGTAGATGCTGGTGATGTACCATTTCTAGTCGGTTTCGGTGCTAACATTGGTTTTTGAGCTCCTAATGCTTCCAGACGTAATGTCGCTGTCTCAAGTCGTTGCACTAACTTTTCCAAATTACACGCTGCGTTCGTATTCATCGTTATTTGTTGCTCTTCGTTATGCACATATAATTCACTTGCCTGTCATATAATGTATAAATTCATGCAATATCTATAACCATCTAAAACTTAAACATAATCAGTGAGAAAGAGAGAGACAAAGAGAGAAAAGAAAGACTGCAAAATTATTAGTTTATGCCTAAAGAAGCTAAAAAAAAACTTGCATAAAAGTTTTTTTGCATAAAAGTGTGCTGCTAAAAAAGTTATATGAAAAATTGTAAAATTAAAGAAAAGAGTGAAAACTATCGTTAGTATAAATAAAAATGTTCAAAAATCTATATAAAAAAGTGCGGACTTATATTGAAAAAAAGAGAGATGGAAACACATAACTGATTGAAACAAATATTAATTTAAGTGAAATGCTTTAAAAAAGAATTTAGAATGAGGCGTAAGTAATTTGCATAATGAACTTGTCGATTCATATAAAAATAATTTATCATTTAGCTAAATTTTAGGCATAAAATAAGGGTAATGTAAAGGTACTTGATTAAGAATAAAAAACCTCAAATGATAAAAATTCAATTTCAATTAACTAAAAATTTGAAATAACCAGATGAAGGCACATCTATAAAGCCGCAGCCCACGGGTTAGCATTTTGTGAAAATTTTCATCTCATTGGTCTTATTAATGATTATTTTATAAAATTAATTAAATATGGTAATAATAAGAATTCACTATAAAGTATAACAAATTATTGCTACTTTAACTGAGTGATAAGATTATAGAATTTTTAACGCTAAATTGTGGAAGATTCAGAAAACTTTTAATTAAATATGGATTGAAAAAGATTATTTGATTAATGAAATAATTAAGAAAAAAATAAACGCCGTTGCAACTTTATCTTTTTTTTTTAAAATTCATATACTTCTTAGCATCAATTTGAAATTAATTCTTATTTGATATTTTAGAAAATTTACTTATTTGTAAGCGTTCTCTAAATAATTTTCATTAAAACTAATTTAATGAAAAAAAAAAAAAAGATTTATTGTTGAATTTGAAAATAACGATTTTTAATTTTTAAGCTTAAAAAGGAGAAAAGGAAAAAATATGATAGATTGAATTAGCAGATTATTGATGATCTATTGAAAGTTTTAACTATAGAGTTATAAATGTGAACCAATGCTAGCAAATGGAAGAAAATTGAAAAGATGGATGAGTCAAAGTGATCTAATCGAATGATTATTGGATGGACAAATGCTAGCTGAGTGATATTTACGAGCTATGCTTGCTACACAGCAGATGTCGTCGTCTCTCCGGGGAATAAAGGTTGATCACTGGTTCATTTTATTTTGATCTTTGGTTCACTCATTTCATTTTATACCCCTTACGTATTTGCTGCTTGTAAGTGTCACTGTCTGTCTGTACGAGAGTCTCATTTGTTAGCCAATTTTAAAAGCCTCTCTCTCTCTCCCTCTCTCTTTCCTTCTCTTACATGGCTTTGAGAAGAATAAAACTTAACTAATGAATAAAATTTATTTGAAAAAATTTATTCAGTAAATTGTTGAAAAATACGATGAAGAAAATGATGAAAAATTTCACTCTTTTGTAAGGATTATTTTTATTGATAAAATGAAACAAGTTTTTCAATTTTTATTTATTGTATGGTTAAGAATCTCTTTTTTTTGCGATTATTGGGAATTCCAAGTTACAAATAATGCTAAATTAGAAAAAAGGAAAAAAAAAACATTTTATGTTATTAACATATATAAGGTAAATTACGAATGAATGGATGAAAATTTACTGATTTTAACCTTAATTCAGGTTAAAATCCGTAAAATGATATTAATTTTTGAAGTCAGTGGTTAAAGCATAAACATAAGCTAAAAGAAAGTTCGGGGAAAAAGAGTTATCAGTTATCCAGTATAAAGTGCAAAAATGTAATATATTGTTTACGCTTACTATATTGTTTAAAACAGGCACGTGTTCCACACGTAAAATTTATTCAGTTAAATACGTGATAAGTGAATCAATATTTTTGCTTACATAAACATGATAATTGATATTTCTGCATAGATAAATATCATTACAGATGAATTGATTATCAAAATCATTTAATCATAAAATAAAGTTGAAATGGTAGGGAATTTCCGAAATATTAATTGCCTGAAAAAAAAAAAAAACAAAAGATAAAAATGAAATATCCAGCTGAAATGATTGGTACTAATCGAGTTCATTAAAAAAAGTAAAGATTTCCGAATGTGCAACAAATAATAGTAAATACAAAAAAAAAGAAAATTTTCAAATTTTTTGAAAGTAATTCGTAAATGTCAGATATAAAAAATAAACTAATTTAGGTATTGCAAGTAATTTGCTCCTATATAAGTCAACTATCGTTATCTTATCAAAGTACTGGAGCTGAAATTATAGCATTCCTTCTTCAAAAAAAAGAACGGAGGCCAAAATTAGATAAAATGATAAATTTTATGTTTCACTTAATAGAAATTTCTTGGATTCCTTTACGACAGTTAAAAAAAAGGTAAAGATATATTATCAACTGAACGAATGAATATTTAGGCGTAATGGAAATTTTTTATTATGAACCAAAAATTGATGTGGAAAAAAGTTTTCAAATTCTAATTTCTTACTGATGAAGTGAATTTTTCTTCCTTTCAGTTATGCATTTAAAAAACATTTCCATCCATCTTAGCAAATCGTAAATTGTGTGAACTAATTCGAATATTTATAGAAATAAATGCATGTGATCGTAGGTGAAGGATTAAAATAATAAGCGATTAAAATTCATTTCGTAATTTTTTATTTAGAAAAATTTATTATTGAATTTGAAAATCAAACGTCGTATAGTTTAGCTAGGAAGATGAGAAATGAAGATTTAGTTTTTGAAAATATGGTTCCGATTGAAATTTTGCACAAACATTAAGGATAGAAAGCAAATGTAAGCAGAACACCTGACAGAGACAGAAGCAGATAACGAAATACTTTCTTTTTCTTTCTTTTTCTCTTTATTTCTTTTTTGTTTCTTCGTTAATGATGAGTTAAAATGCTTACTTCAAAAACTGTATGTTCATTTCGTGAAAAAAATGAAATATTATTTCAGAAAAAATGTATAATTAAAATACAAATAACATTTAGGAATACATTTCGATATGTGTCGAATTATCATAAAGAAATAATTAAGAATTTTAATTTAAAAAAATGCTGTGTGTAAACTTTTGTATTCTACATTGGTTCAAATTTTATTTAAAATGAATAAAAAGATGAGATTATCCTTTCTTTTTTCTCTCGCTCTCTCTGATTATTTATGCAATTTTGATCATTTAGAAAAAAAAAAAAATAATAATAAATGGCAATATGAAACGTTTTATTTTTATATAGTTAATCATAAGTTATGACTTCTTTTGTAATTGAATTGAAAGAAACGGTAAGATATTACGAAATGAAAGATTGTAACTTCGGATAATTATAAATCAATTATAAATCATAAATGATAACTTTTCCTCTTCAAATAAAATGCTTTCATGAAATTTAGTAAAATATAGCAAATTTCTTACTTGATTAATTTTTTTTATTGGTTAAAAATCGTCATCTTTTCCCTTTTTTTTTTTGTTTTTTTTTTTTTTTTTTTTTTAACTTAAAAAAGCGAAGGAAAAACTAACGGTTTGATTGAAAACATATGGAGGAGTGATGAAATTATCATAAAATGTCCCAAATATTTCACAATGATCAAACGATTGGCTAAATGCGGTGCTAGGATCGAGTTCCCAATTGCGAAAATGATATGGTGATAATATCGATGACAATGATGTATCACAGCATGCATTTCCGGAATTTGTTCCGGACCCTGATAAATACAATGGGTTACCTTTTATATTGCAAAAGAATGTCGTTGATGATTGTAAATTTTTCATAATATCTTTTTGTTGCTCCATTTGGCAATCATTCCTCAGTTGATATCTTCGTTGGAAGCATCGGCAGAAAAGATCCCAAATAAATGACATTTTTCATTTGGTAGTCATCGTTTAGAAAAAAAAAGCCAAAATGGAAATATGTTTAAATTAAGAGAAGCACCATGGCCAAACAAGCGAAGTAATTTAGTAGATGGCAAAATAAGCCAAGTAATTTGGCACATGGCTTAAAGCAGTCATTGACGTTCAATTTAAAAAAAAAAAGCAACATTTCTGCAATAATGAATTAAATTATTTTTTTTTTCAATTTGTTATTGAAATTGCTTATATATTAATCACAGAATGATAATTAATTTTATTTATCTTTTTTTTTTAGTTTAATGAAAATCGTAGCAATAATATCATAAATAATACAGCAGTAATTATTAGAGCAAAACGAAATTTGGTAATAAATTTAGTAAAGGCATGAAATGTTTATGGCAGATATTATCGTCGTATCGAGATGGATATTTAATTTCATTTTTTTCCTCGACGTCGTTTTTTTTTCTTCTTGATACCTTAAATAATAAAAAAACAAACATTTTATTGAATTATAAAAACTCAATAATAATTAGGAGAATATATATTATTGTCGTGCAACAACAAAAAAAAAAAAAAAATAGTAGATTTTTTGATCTGTACATCATTACAGAATTCATTGAAAAAGACCATAAATTATTATATTTACTTATATACATAAATACATATATACGACGGAAGAAATGATTTGGAATAATTTCAAATATTTGAAGTCAATTAGAAAAAGATGTCATTTAGTCTAATATTATTTTTTAGCATACTGTTGTTTTTCTTTTTTTTTTTTTATTTGATATGACTGCAAAATTGTCAATAGAAAATTATTAGCTAACAAAGTGGAAGTAAATTACTTATTTTTATAAAATTAATATTGCACTCAAATTCAAATTAATTACATTTACAATTTTATAAACATTAATTTATTATGCAAGAAGATAAATAAAATATTGAATTTAAGATAAAATAAGTGAGAAAAATAGAACAAAAAATGGGATTAAATTACTTATTCAAAATTATATTTTAAAAGTAGAAATTTCAATATGACATTTGGGTTTTAAATGATTTTACAGATTTCATTTCAAAATGTATGTGTTTGACGTTTGGAAAAAAAGTTTCATTTTACAGAACGCAAATAATTTCTTAAACAAATTGAAAAAACCATAGGGTATGAATGGACTCTATTAAACAAAAGGATACTATATGCTTATGAAATTTAGAACTGATTAATTTATAATTCATAATTATTTTATTCATAGATTCCTTGTTTCATCACTCAATAATTTTTTACAACTCTTTGAAAAATTCTTTCTTGCTTTATTCCATTTTATTTGCTCTTTTTTTTTTTTTTAATGGAAAACATTGAAAGTGATGAATGATTGAAGCTGAAATTTTTTGAAATATTATTTCATCTTTAAATTGTTCGACCATTCATTGTTTGTTTTGGAACTTTCAAACTATTCCTCTTTGCATATCCCAAAGATTTATCGCTTTTTTCTTTTTTGTTTTAAATTTTTTAAAATGTCAAAAAATAAAATCTCAATTTAGTATCAGAAATGAATAAAAAATTCTTTAACTTTTTTTTTCTTTTACATTTTCGTATGAGATGGGCGAAAATCAATAATCTTATATATATATATATATATATATATATATATATATATATATATATATATATATATATATATATATATATATATATATATATATATATATATAGAAATATTTGCATATTTCTATATGTATACAAGAGTAACAGCTGTAATAAATAAAATAAAATGAAATGGAATAAGTTGAAATGAAAGAAAACCAAGGCAAAAATATTATAAAGTAAGTATTCTTAAACAAACAATACGAGAAAACGGAAGAAAACAAAAAGCATATTTCTGCATCAGTGCTTACTTATGGGCTTTTTTTTCCTACTTGACCAGTATATTTTGTGAATAAACTCCGAAAAACAATAGTAATGATAGAAAAAATTTTTATTTTCAAAACAAAAAATGTAAAAATTAATCTACAGCAAATAATTTTAGCTTTAATAGTTTATGATTAAAATTATATATTTGCCTGCAAAAATATTAATCCTATTGAACTAAAATTATGCAAATAATTATTGTTAAAAAATCAATAATTCGAAATCTTCAAAAATGCTAGAATTATTCATGTTATTAAATCAAAAAGTAAAAATTAATCTATAAAAAATATTATACAATATAAATTTTTGAATGTTATCTGTATAAGTTGAACGAAAAGAACTTTACATTTTGAAAACCATTTTCAAAGCATAATTTGAAGTGATTTAAAATTTAAATCTATTGAATTATAGATGCAACGATTTTCATAAATTTCACCAGTTTTTAATGACTTTACTTTCACGGATTTCAGAATAAAAAAACTCAAAAAAAGTCAAAAATAAAGGCGCATTGCTTAAAATAAAAACATCTACTGCATGATGCTCAAAATAAAAAGCGTTTGGTTCTGTCATATTCAAAATGAAAACATCTAAAACGTAATGTTCGAAATAAAAAACAAAAGCTTCTAGTTGCATAGCTTTAAATTAAAAACATTTAATTTCATAGTTTTTCAAAGCATGAAATCTAATTCTATAATATTCGAAATTAAAATATCCAATCAATAATGTTCAAAAATAAAAGTAATCAGTGATCTCTAAAATAAAAAAGGTTTAATCAATAATACTCAAAATAAAAGCGTAGGAATAAAAACTGTGATCGATAATATTAAAAAAAAAGATTTATCAGGGAGCAAATCACATTTTTGCAGCATGATTCGTGTTTAATATGCATTTGAACAAAAACCGCTTGAAAATTTGACTTTAAATTTTGTTTTACTTTTTTTTTTCCTCCATAATTTATTTGCATTATTTTAACAACAAAGTTTCATATCACAGTTGTTTTTAAAATAATCGTAAAATATTTCTTCATCCATTTTCGCGAATGTGTTTCATCATTTTGATGATTTCATCGTTAATCATTACCCTATTAGTTTAATAATGAAAATACAATTTCATAAATGTTTGTTCATTTTGGCAGGAATTTTTTGAGAAGTGAATAATAAATTCAAAAATAATAAAATATGTGTTTTTGTTTTTTTTTTTTTTTTTTAAAAAAAGTAAAAAGAAAAAAAGGAATGAATTCTAACAGACATATCACTGAATTAAGCAACTAAATAAATAATGAAACATTTTAATTTAATGCGAAGAATTGAAAAAAGAAAAAGAAAAAAAAAATTAATTTTGAAACAACCATTGCAATATAAATCCTTTTGCAATAACCAGTTCCTGTAGTTACTCTAAAATTTTCCTTTTTTTGTAATTTTTCTAGTTAAATCATTTTTTTTTTTTTTTAAATTTCAAATGTTAAAATTTATAGATGTTGAAATTACATGCAAAAATCATTGAAAATATTAACTGAGACAATTTTCTTTCACTTGAAATCTTATCAAAAACTGCTAAAAGATTAGGAACAATTTATACTTAATTCATATTAATTATTTCTACCTAATTTACACTGATTAATGTTTCTATTGAATTCATTAACTAATGCTTTCACCCAATTTAAAGCGATTTTCAATAGCATATGTTTAATTGATGCTAAATAATCTAATCAGTATTAGTTAATATTTATAAATGATTAATACTTGTTAACATTTATTCATTTATTCCAATTTTATAAATAATCATATTTGTTTATGAAGAAATTGAATATCAAACATAGATAAAAATATAATTTATATATATAAATCTTTTTCATTATTTTTATTACTTATTTTCTAGCTTTCACAAATTTAAATCTGACAGAATTATAACAAAATGCCATATGTTTATTATGTAATGGTCATTTGCATCTTAACTCAAATTTTTTTTTTAACTTATGTCTAACATTTATTATTGAAAGTTTTTTTTCGTTTTGTTATTTGTTATAGAAAAAAAAAAAAAAAATAAACCGAAAGCAAAAATTAACTATTATATTGTATTATTATTGCTACTATTATTACAACCATTGACGTTATTACTATTATTATTTTCTGCTTATTATTAATAAAAAAAATACTACTATTATTGCATTACTATTCATTATTATTAATTTTCACTAATATAACTGTTATTATTAATTTCACTATTATCAATAATATTATTATTGTTAGTGCCACTACCGTTACTGTTGTTATTAACCATTATCACTATTATTATTTATTGCTATTATTATTATGGTTATCGTTATTGTTGTTATCATATTATTGTCGCCATTTTATTATCATTATTATGGGTTATTAATATTATTATTACTAGTGTTATTACTACTATTACTATTATTTTGTTGTTATTACCATTATTATTATTGCTGTTATTAATAGGAAATTTTGTTCCCTCAGTCCAATTTTTTTTTTTTTTTCATTTAAAATTTTTTGAAATAGCTATTTATGTGCATTTTTAAGAGGGAAATGTAACCAATTGATTGATCTACAGTTAGAACACATATAAAATATTTCATAGACAATAATATATATATATATTTTATTAAAATCACTTCATTCCGTAAGACTCGTTACAAACGGAAATTATAAATAAGTACTGATAATCACTGATTATTATTTATATATATATATATATATATATATTCCAGAATCTTTTTCATTCCTTAATTTTTTACTTCAGTTAATGAGTGATGACAGCTTGTACTCTAAGCTAGATGAAACTATCCAAGTCCTTTGTTTTTCTTCTTCAGCGACGTGCGACATTTTTTGCTGATAATTAAGAAAGAAGTGTGGGATTCTTTCTTAATTAATTAAATTACTTTTTTTTTTTACAAATACAGAATTTGATAACGCATTGTTAAAAGCAAAATTTAGACAAAATAAAAATTTTACAAAACTTTGAAATTATCTAAATGATGATTCAAAGATAAGAATAGCTATTAATCATTCAAAAAAAGAAAAACGAAACTAAAATAAAATTTTGATAAAAACAAAAGAGAAGTAATAAAAATCGAGGCAAAAACGGCTAAGTTGAAATTGCAAAAAAGAAAAAGTTTTGAGAAAAGCAGAAATTATGTGAAATAATTGTGGATAAAATGTTAGAAAAAAAAAATGAAGAAGAGAAATGAATCTGTTTATTTGTTTTACAAACTCATAATTTCGTCTCGTTTTCAGGTTATTTCTACCTTTTCACTTTTTTTGTAAAATTAATTAAAAGGAACAAAAGAAAAGATATGCAAAGTGAAGAGAGGAAAAGAAGAGGATTAAAACAATTGAACAAACAAACATAGATAAAAACGAAAAAAATTTAATATATTATAAATATTTAAAACGAATATTTTTGTTCGATGAAAAAATGTAAACACTGAAAAAAGAAAAATTTGAATGAAACGAAAAGTAATGAAGAAATTGGTGATGAACAGTAATTTGCTTCATTACAATTATCTTCAATTTTTGCGAATTAGTAATCAAAAAGTGTTAGTATCATCGTTTTTTCAAAAATTTTTCATTCATATCATCATTAATTATTGTTAAAATGTTATGGTAGATTTTTTCGTTTTTTTAAAAAAAGAAAAGAAAATAATGAAAAAATATTATCAGGAAACATTTTTTAAAAATAATTGATATTTGTTCTATCAGCGGATAGTTAGTTATTAATTAGTTTTATATTTCTCATAATAAAAAAAAAAAAATAGAATGAGTAAAAATATGGGTAAGATAATAATTTGATAATATTTTAGGTCAATTATTAATTGGCGAAAAGTTTAAAAGTGGCATGAAATCAAGCGATCATATTATCATTTCAAACATTTTCAAATTAACTTTTTCATGCTACCTAAATTTTATCTTTTGCACAATGCACTGCTGTCATTTCAAAAGTTAATCAAAATTAAATCTGCAAAAAAAGAAAATAATTTGTAACTTACAAATGGAACCTGTTTGATTGGTTAGAAAAAAATGAAGAAAAGATAATTGCAGGAATCAATTTAATTCAATTTGAAGAATGCATGATTAATGGTAACAGAAACTGAAAATAATTCAGACATTAATAAAAACTTTTCTAGCACTTGTTCAAATTAAAGCAAATTAAAATTATGAACATTTGAAAAGTTCTTATCAAAAATGAAAAGTGAAAGCTTTGAGAAATCCTGCAAGTTTGTTGTGAAATTTTCCGATTTTTAAAACGATAAATGAAAGTTAGGTAATATCTACTTGGTGAAGTGATATTGACAATTGAGTTATGATTGGTGTAATATTACAATTCTATTTGTAAATATCTAATTACATGGAAACTAGTAATTGGCTGATCGTTGATGAATTTATATTCGTATCATTTTTAGTTCTATCTTAATTTATATTAATAATTTTTGAGCTTTTTGAATTAATTGAAGAATTTAATCTTGGCTTAATCAAAAAAACAAAGCATTAAAAATTAAATGTGATTTTTGATTTCTCACCAATTTTATGTATTTTAATTGTTATCAAAAAAAATATTTATATTTACTTTAAAAAAAATATGCACATTTGAAAAATTTTTTCCAATAATTCTTTACTTTTCTTAACAAATTAGTTAGGAAGCTAATTTATATCAATTGTGCTGGGATAATGAATAATGAAAATGGCGCAATTAAATTTCCCATCAAATAGTACAATCTTTTCAACATCAGAAATTCTTATTCAAAATGACTTCATTTAGTTAAACATTATTTTTGTTTAAAAGTACAAATTTTAAATAACTAAACAAACAGAATTGTTTAAAAATTTAAAATAAAAAAAAGATGAGAAAATGAAAAAGCGAAGATATTCAGCGGTAGCAATTCTTAACAAAATACATAGCGAAAAGTTTCCAAAGATTTTCTTTCCTCTTTTTTTGTAAAAAAAAGGAATGAAAAATAAAGATTAGTTAAAATTTTTCTCTTTTTCGTTTTGTTCAAAAAATTTTTGTTTCCTTCGCAAAAAAAAAAGAAAAAGAAGAAAGGAAGTGTTTCATTTATTTGCCATTTTTTTTTTTTTTTAATTGCAATAATATTAACAAATTTTTTTCCTCAAAAAGAAAGGTTAAAATCATTTGTTGCTGAGGTAAATAATTGTTTTTGTCGAATAATTCTGATAAATGCTGATGAATTTATTTATTGTATAATTAGCATTTATCTAATTTAATCATTTCGTCAAATTTAATTAGTGAAAACAGCCTTTTTTATATATTATGTTAGAGTTAATTGTTAAATTTTATTTAAAATTCTTTATTTTAGTTTAAAATTACCTTAATTTCTTGAATTTTTATCGCAACAATTAATTGATTAATTTACTCGTTGAATGTATTTTTAAACATATGTACACAAAGTACAAAAAAATATGATACATTTCTTTTTAACTTATTTAAAACATTCGAAATACATTACATTTTATTTTAATAAAGTTTAAGGTTAAGGATTTATGTTTGCAACAGAAGTTTTTGAAAGCAAAATCAAATTTTCAATTTTCGAAAGTGGTCGATCTAACATTTTCGTTAATCGTTTCATTTCGTTCGTTTATCTTTCTTCAGTATTCGTACTAATTTAATTACTTTCTAGCTAGATTTTAGTGAAGTAATATTTCATTTAATAAATCATTATTTTACCCATTTCCTATGCACATTTTTAAATCTAAAATAAATAACTTATTTATTCGTACTTGAAGATAGTCTAAAAACAAACAAATAGCAATATAAAAATGGAGTGAAATAATAAATTAATGTTAATCGCTTTATCTTTTCAAATAATTTTTTTTATTTAAATCACTGATTAATTATTGAATTTCCATTAATTTCTCATATGCTGCTTGAATAATATTTTAAAAAAATGGCAAAGGAATTTTTGTTTTGTTTTGCATTTGTAATTTTATTAAATAATACTTTTAATGAAATCACTTTTTTCTATAAATTTAATGAAAACATTTTTTTAAGAGAAAAAAGAACAAAAAAAAAAACAAAAAAAAAACATTGATTAATTCACTTTTTCTGTTATTTCTCCTTTCGTATTTATCGAAATAATTATTTCAGCAACTTTATGACACACAATGGATGAAATGGCAGATGAAGACAAATGAGCGCAGCTGTTGCACAGAGAAACGAATGTTTCGCTATGATTTGATTCACTCCAAGAGGTAGAGGACGAAAGTACAGAAAAGAAGAGAAAGAGAAAAATAAAGTTTATTATCAAGACTTAACTGAATTTAACAAAAGTTATAACTTTCATCAAGGGTAGTTAGTGAGTGTGTACAATTCACTTTAATTGTTTCTTATCAGTGGGATATTTTACTGTTTAAGATTTTTACATTTATCTCTCTAAACTTATTTATAAAATATATGTGTTAATCAAAAATTTATTTACCTTTTAATTCATGTTTTTTTTTTTTTTTTTTTAAATTAATGCAATGTGATATCATTTGTTAAATTTGTTTCATCTTTGAAGTGAAATATTCTGGCGTTCTATTTAAATTATTTTGTTTTTAATATATCATTTACTATTTTAATTAATCTGACACTAATAAATTAATGAATAATTTTGACAATAAAAATGAAATTTAAAAACACTGATTTAATAAATTTCGTTTTGCATTATGCGTTTGTCTTCAATTTATTTACTAATAATTTTATAGCTTTAAAATTATGATAATTCAATTAATGATAGCAGGATCACTTGTATTTTCTTCATGGCAGAAGTAAAGCCAAAACTTCGTCGAGTTGTTACATTTACCAAAAATAATCACCGCTGGTCCAGGACATTCGATGAAAATGATTTGAGGTCACTTTGATCCATTCTGTAATCGATTTATTGGTTTAATACTTTGATTTCAACTCCTTTTTTTTTTTTTTTTTTTTTGCAAAACACACACACAATCCATTTCACGGTTTTTTCAACATTATAAACTGAAACAAACCATTATCGCTTGGCTTTTCCTATTAGTAATATTTGGCCCAGGAATGAATGCAGCATACTAGCAGAAAAAGCTTTGAGTCATTCAATTGACCAATTTAGAGAATATTACATATGTTGCATTTAACTTTTTTTGCTGACAGCTATTTTAAGCATATAAGAAAATTACTTTTACATTCTTTTTTGAAGTAATTAAATTGATATAATTAAAATGATCGATTTGTGCAGAAATGAGTAACGTAAGCATCAAAAATGAATGAGTGATTGATTTGGTTAATAATAAGATCTGATATTGTTCACATTGATTGATTTGTTTACTCCATTCATTTTTGTAGTAAGATGACCAAATTAATCAATTAAACCGAATTAAATGATAAAATTTGATTTGCTTATTTTACATTCCTATCGGACTATAACTACGTAATAATATTTTATGATAAAGTATAAGCAATGTTTTTCTAGAATAAAATCAATAAAAACTCTTACATGAACTCATAATAATTGATTGACTGATCGATTGATTGCTTCTTATCTCTTAACTTCTTAATAATCGATAACTTGATTACGTATTAATATTGATCATCGTTTTAAGGAAAGAGAAAATGATACGTCATTGATTTAATTGTCACTAAAAATAAATGAGTAATTAGATAATCAAGCATATTTTTGAACATTTCGATTTTTTAACATAATCGTACAAAGAAAATCTGCATAAATATACTGAGGTATTATCATTTGGAGTAAGAAATTTATTGCATTTGATTTAGAAGTAAGCAATATTTTTAATCATTAAAGCGGTAGTATCATCATTTAATCTGCCAGTATCTTCCAATTTGTTTGGAAGAGCTAATTAACATGAAACTTACAAACATACAAATTACTTGAACTTCTTGATATAAGTTTAATCTGGTTAATTATAATTTACAAAACTTACAAGATGACAAAAAAAAAAAAATGGGCTAAAGAATTAAATATGAGTTATGTAATCCAAGATCAATTATTCAAATTTTTTAGGAAAGACGAAGAACCGAAAAACAAAGGTCATGAGAGAGTTGAAACTGACAGAAAAGATGTTTCTGATAATGGATCAAAAAATGTTGCATTTAAACGGAGTCAGACGATGAACTGATTACGAATTCCGATTATTTGCGTTGCTGCTAGGCTGATTCTTGCTAAGTTAATTCCTTTGAATCCACTTTTATTCATTTTTTTTCCAAATTGAAACATACTTACAAACTATGTCAACATAAATTTTGTTCATCGTTTAATGAAATGTCAAATTTTTGAGGTAAAATTCCTGTCATCTTAAATTTTAATGATAAAATTTAATAAATATAGATATGATAAAAATCTGAAAGTGCTGAAAGTTACCCAAAATAATAGGTAAATTTTTACTTGCGTAAGTACATCGCATTATTGATTTTTCAAGAATTAAGTAACAAAAAAAAGAAAACATTTTCATGAATGATTAATCAACTTTGACAACAATTTTGATATGATCATAATCCACTTTTCCATTATACTGTACGATTTATTTCCATTATAAAAATTCCTGAATTTAACATAATAATAACAAATATAGTCATTAAATACTAATTTATATTTATTTTTCAGATCTATGCCTATGATGCATTACTTTTGTGCCGAAATTGGTTTGTTATGATGTAATAATTAGTTGTAGCGAATTTCTGATAACTTTAAACAACACAATAGTTAACATATGGTTTGCATATTTGTCATTTTAACGAAGAGTCAATTCAATGCAATTTTTGTTGTTTCTTTTCTTTTTCGTTTTTGAAATATTGTTGGCATCGTATGAAAAAAAAAGTAAAAGTTAGTGAATCTTCTGAATAAATAAAAATAAACCAGAAATAAATAAAAAAGTATACCACTGGATCGGTATGAAATTCACTGGAGAAAATTTGCTTTGTTTGAAAATATGAAAGATAAAACTTTTAAATCAAATAATTTCTACTCGAATATTCTTCAAATCTTTTATAGATATACATGCTGATATGCACCGTTGTATCAATGTATTCCGAAATGATATTTTGATTAATAAACGTGTTTAACTTTCAAAAAAAAGGCAAAAAAGTTAGTTAACTTTTTTATCTTCCATTTGATTAAAGCGATTAGTCCAAAACAGCTAATAACTAATGGATAAATTGAATAGGTGAAAATAATTGAATTCATTTAAAAGATGTCATTGCCAGCTGATAAACCAATGGTTTGACAAAATAGAACTAACAAATCAAGCTATAAGCTATATATTTTTATAATTTAATTCGATGCATAGCTTAAATAGTGATCAAAGTCATCATGCAATATTAGTGTTGGAGCAACAACAATTTTGTTGAAAAAAAATTAAACATAATCTCTAAAAACATGTTGCATAAATGATAAAAGATCATGCGTGATGAAAAATGATAACAATGGTTTCATTTTTCATTGATATGATCTTAAGCAAAGGAGGCCACTTTTGGAATGAAAAGGTATTCAAAATTATTATTTAATATTTATTATCAGTTTATCACTTGATTTCAATATTAACAATTTAAAAAAAAATTATTCCTGCATTTATCAAGAAGAATGAATTGAAAATGATAAAATGTCAACAGTTTATCATTTAATGTCGTGAAACCTCAAACTTGGGTAATTAAACCTTTATTTAACATGAAGCAAATAATAGCGCTTTATACATATCGTACGGATGCTACACCGTTTAACAAACGCGTAAACTATAAAAAATGCAATAATATAAAAATGGTGAAATAACACAAAATTATAAAGTATTAGACGCATCCCAAAACATAAAGCAAATGATGGTTATGGAAGGATTGGTTGGGTTATATATAAGACTGATTTAACGAATGGAGATTAGATGGGAGGATTTCTCATGGATGAACAAAGAAGATTGTTAACAGGATTAGTTTATATACAGAACTGAACTGACCATATATTCGGCAGAGGAGGACATTTAAATGATATGAAACAAAGACTGCTAATAAAGGGTTTTGCTAACAAAGGGTTTGCTAACAAAGGGTTTTTGTTGTGTGAGGAAAAGGAATTAGATAAGAGGAATTTGTTAGTTTTGGATATAATAATTTAAATATTTCGTCTTTCACGACATTTAATTAGTATATTGATTTTTTCAATAAAATTTATTTTCAACTTGCAAAACGATGTTAATTGCAAAATTAAAGATACTTTTAATGGATATAGTAAAATCAACTGGAAGTGATGAAATAATTTAATGAACTATAATCTTGTAGTTTCACTTACTGTTTACCATAATAACCTTAGTTTTATAATTTAATCCATTCACAATAGATACATTTTCAAATAAAATTAATTTTTGGACTTGAGGACTGAAAATGATAATATTGTCTACGGTTTATCATCATGTCTCTTAATTAGTATTTCCAAGTAATATCATGATTAGTAATTGACTAGTAATTTTAATATTTTTGTAATATTTATTGTTAAAATTGCCAAAAAAATATGCTACTTGGAAGATAAAAAATCATGTTTGATGAATAGAGTAAAAGGAATGAAGGATTTAATTAATTAGCTAATAAACTACCATTTTGTAATTTTATTAACATTTTAATGGCCATATTTTGACAAAATTTATTGTTAAATTCCCAGAAGTGTGCAAATTGCAAGATTGCAAAAGCACCTAAAAGGTAATTTAATTGTGCTTAGATGAGAAAAACCTAAATGAAAAAAATTCTAACTTAAACGAAATTTCGAGAGAAATTTGGAAGTTATTCCTTCGAATTAAAAAATGTATTTCAACTTTTTCATCTTGATAACGGAAGCCAAAAAATATTTTAAAAATTATACGAATTAGTTTTTTTTTTTGAACTTCTATTTTCATGTTACCAGCTATGAAACAATTCAGTTAATAAGTTTTAATTTCCTTCCTAAATATTTTAAATGACTAATTCCTAATTCTATACAGCATTACTCTTTTTCTGTTTCTAAGAAAAAATGAAGGCAGGAAATTTTCTTCTCCTCTGTATGTTTTCATTACGTTTATTTTCAACGAATTTATGTATATTTATATATTAATTATCCGGCATATAACATACGACTGGTAAAAGTTCACAAGTTTTGTGTAGAAAATATTTTTATCAAAAAATTTCCTCTTAAAAATGTATCGAATGATTCAGATATATATCCTCTTGATTTTATCAGTTTAGTGCTTACTCCAAAAAAAAAAAAATTCATGCTTCTGAGTCAGCCGATGCATCATAACTGCTATTAACACTGAAGTTTGACAAACATTTCTGTCGCTGATATATTTGACAAATATTCATTAAAGACAACAAAATGTTCGAGAAAAATGATCCTGAATTCATTTTTTAAATTGTATAGTAATAAATTAACATTTTATCAGTTTCAAATATTATTCTTTTTCTTTGAGACTTTGTTTAAATGATAAAAAGGAAACAATAAGAATTTTTCAAATACTAATCTACTTATCTTTAGGCAATTTTAGGTAATTAAACAAATTGAACTGTAATATATAGATAATAAAAGCAGTTGTGTTGGATTGCTGGAAAAATTACCAAATTTTGAGAAAGTGTCCTTTTTACTGAGAAAATTTTCTGTCACCAGCTGGAAAGCAATCTTAAATGTATTGTATTAATCATCAAATTTATATAAAAATAATATTAAAAGTAAAAACTTATATGGCATTTTTTCGTAAATTTAATCAAAAGTGTTTATAAAAATCCAATTTTTAAACAGAATTTGCTAAAATCCCATGTGAATTTATGCAATAAGTGATTTTGATAAGAAAAATGAAAACTGTATTTGAATTGAATGAATTTTCTTAACAGGTGTTAGTGACTGCTTAAAAGAAGCAAACAAAATTTTTGCCGTGTTTTGAGCAAAGTAATATCAGCTTTTATAGATGATAAATCAGAATATATTCCGTAATGCAAGACAGAAACTACATAAAACGAAACATAAAAAAACACATGCGAGGTGCAAGTTGCATGCAAAAATGAGGTCAACAATAAAATATTTACTTAAAAACAGAAAGAGAACAGAAGCATACAAAATTATTGAGGGAGTAGACAAAAAAATAAAAAATAAAAAAATAAAATCACTTATTAGTCGCATATACGTAAATTACGCAAATGCATTCAAAACAAAACACATGTAAAGAAAAAAAATACAGGTTAATGAAGAACATAAATTTAAATCTCAAAAACCTGGAAAATAGATCAATAGTAAAATATCTGTAAAAGCATGCAAAACTGTTGAAACGCATACAGATTAGCAGAAATTCATGCAGTTAGTATGCAAAAGTAAGTCAGAATTAAATATAAAGGAAAAATGCATACAAACATAGCACAAAATTACTAAAGAATAAACCAAGACATAAAATGAGTTCGGAAATTATTGCAGTAAATGGACTGTTTACTTAAAATTTCCCAGAAGTTAGCTTTTCATGTACTGACAGATTTTTTCTCATGATACAAATAGGAATTAGTGAGACTAACAATAACAAACAATTGGATTTGATAAATTAGAATCATTGCTCAACTTTTAGAAAAATTTATGTTCATAATTAATAAAGGGTTTTTTTTTCTGACATATTGATTCTAATCTAAAAAAGGAAAAGATATTCACTGTCAACAGTAAGCCTGAATTATTATTGGAAAATGGAAATAATCACGAACTTTACATGAATAGCTAGTTATGTCTTTTAAGGTAATAATAATCACCGTCCATTATCAATATAAATCAGAAATTCCAACATTCGTTGATCTATATAAAAAGCTTTGATTCATATAAAAAAGCTTTGATCCATATAAAAATTCCATAAATCTGTGACAGTGGCATTAATTATTAATTAAGTTTTTGTTTTCATAATCATTCCGGGAAACAGGTTATTTTGATATCGATTTTGAATTATCGAAGCTTTGATGATGAATCAATTCGTAAAGATATTTTTTCATTTGGGAAGAACATTTTAGTCTATCAAATTGCGCAATGCGTTAAAGGCAATGTTTTTTATTAAACAAAAAAATCGACATTCTTTTCTGTAATTTTTTCCATTGCTACCTGAGTAGTATAAATGAATTTTTTTTTTTAAAAAAAAAAGTCAAATGTTGTGAAATCTACAAACAAAGTTATAAAAATATTGCATTTATTGAATTTATTGCACAAAAGAATAATTTTGCTTATTTCTGAATTAAGTAACTATTATGTTATGTGTCACCGAAAAAAAAAAATCTACGTGTTTCGATTTAATCTTTACGCAATTTTCTCTCGGTGTGTTTATTTCCTAATTTAACTGAAACTGATAGCATACCAAAAGTGAGAGAAAAATAAAAAAATATATACATATATATTTGACTGTGGCTTGTTGGTATCACATTTGCCGCTTCCCATGATTTCAAATTTTCTAGGTTCTTTTTTATTCTGAATTTTATTTTAAGTTTTGATTTGTTTATAAGCAGAATTTTAACTCACAATTTGCAAATGTCCCCTTGCCTGCATATTGAAATATAAAGTTTTTTTTTTTCAAGATTCATTTCAAACGAATACTTACCACTTAATTATGCTTTTGCTTACAATTTTATAGACTTGCTATCTACAGTCAAACCTTTTTTCCTCTCATTTTTAATCCTAAAAGTTTATGTTAAAAAATAAAACGAATCTCGTAGCACAGTTTGTAATCCTTCAAAATTGTTATTGCACTTTTTAGGCATCCAGTAATAATAAATTGATGAGTGATTTATTATATTAAAACGTGTTTTCATCTCATGATTTGGTGTGCTGCTTGAAGTTTTACAACTATATATCATCATTAATCGTTCGCATGGTCGCTATTTCTTTATAATTTTAGTATATTACTGGCATATATATATATGTGAACAGACAGTAAAATTTTTATAGTTTTTATAGTAAAAATTTTTATAATTTTTTGAAAAAAAAAATTTTTTTATAATTTTTGACAGACAGTAAAATTTTTATAGTAAAATATAGTAAGAATTTTTTCAGATAAATTTAATTGGCAATAATGATAGAGATAGCATGTTGTATTCGAAATAAAGTGGTGGAAGTTGGTAGACAGGTAAAAATAAAACAAGATGTCATTGAGGGTGTACGTAATCGATGATAACTATCAAATTGATGCATTTCTTGGCATACCATTTGCAAAACCACCGGTTGGATCGTTACATTTCAAAGTTAGAAATTATTAAACTTTTTTTCAACTAATTAATGAAGAGAAGTGTCAAAATTTCAGGGAAAGAAAAGTTAAAAAGTTTTGAAAAGTTAAAAAGCCAAGAAACCAGATAATTAGATCATTGATGAAACCGGTTTAACAAAGGTAATTTTTAGCAAACCGGATTGATGAAGAAAAAAAAAAAAAAACGTCTGCTTGAATGCTGGTGCGTATGTGTGTGTATGCATGTATGTATGTGGTATGTATGTGTGGGTGTGTTTGTGTGTGATATTTGCTTGGATGATTTTATCAATTTGCGCTTCCGTTGTGAAATGCGAAAGACGAAAGTTCTATGAGAGGTGCGCTAATTGATGTCATTCAGCACATGGTTAATACTTTACTGAGATGGTATATTGGTATCAAAAGATGTTCTTTACTTAATGTAAGAGTATTATTGCTGAAAATGATTGAAAGTAACACAATCTTGATAATAGTACAAACTGCTTAATTAGTTAATTAACTAATTAGTGTGTGGTATTGATTTGCTTTAAATTAAAGAAATTAAATGAATTTATCGTATTTAATTCTTGCCATTCTTGAATTTATATTAATGAATTAATGAAATTCCATGAAAATATCAACGAGTTTTTGCAAATTGCACCAGCATTCAAGCAGACGTTTTTTTTTTTTTTTTTTTCTTCATCAATCCGGTTTGCTAAAAATTATCTTTGTTAAACTGGTTTCATCAATGATCTAATTATCTGGTTCCCGTATAGATCACTTTTTTTTCCCTAATTTTTTGTTAATCTAATGTCAGATTTATTCGTTTCTCACTGCAGATATTTTTTGGTTGGTAATCCTACCGGTAAAGGAATTGGTGGTCAATCCATTTGGGGTGAGAATTTTGAGGATGAATTTCATCCCAAACTTAGGCACAATAAACCTTACATGGTTTCAATGGCAAAGACAGGTCCGAATACCAGTGATCTCAATTTTTCATTACAGTTATTCCTGCAGATTGGTTAGATGGCAAGAATACCCTCTTCGGACAGGTTTGTGTTTATTATTTGTATTGTTACTTTGATTTTACGCAGGCATAGAAATGAATGAAGTTGATTTTGTTCTGCAGTATTTTTGCCACTTTATTACGAATGATGTCATTTTTATTACAGTTATTATTAATATAAAAGTGTAACTTATGGAAGTAGTGTGCTTTGAAATTGTAACATTAACTTATAAAATTTTTCAGAAAAATTTCTTCAGTATAGCATTTTGCAAGTAACTAAAATCTTTCTCATTTCTTTTAAAAGACATTCGGATTCAAAACTAATTATTGATCTACTTGAAATATTACAATTATTGTTTTTTGTTTTTCAAGTGACGGAAGGTTTTAGTGTAATGCAAAAAATTAATCAGCTATCGACATTTGAGAAAAGTGGCCAGCCAAAACAAGAATTGCAAATAATTTTGTCAAATATAAATTTCGTGTTATATTATTTGTAACACATCATATATGATAAAAATTTCAGTTTTTTCATAGCACTTTGTTTATCGATTCTGACAAAATGTTCATGAAATGCAATTATAAATATTTAACATCTCAGTTTTATGTTTTGCACAAAGATAAAATAAAAGTAATTGTAAATCTTATTACTATTACACCCATGAAAACAAGATTCTTTTCTTTTTTTCTATCACCAAAATTCTTAATGACTAATACTGATCAAATTCTTGTAAACTGTTAAACTTAATACCTATGTTTTAAATAATTCACATATTGGCCGTAAACAAGTTAGAGATTTTTTTCGCATCGGATGTTATTGTTGCATATCCAAAGAACCAGAGACACTTTTCTCGATGGTCTATTCGCTTTAACCAAAGTATTCCCCAATTCTCTATGGCTCTCTTCTGCGCCAGAGTAGATCAGTCTTATATTTTTTGTAATCTATAATCTAAGTTATAAGTAATAGGTTATGTAGTTATGATACTTTTCTTCCCAAAAGAGTTTATGCATATCACTTCTCTTTTGGTATTTCATGATTCATTCTCATTCATCCAATTACTTATATATCATTTTTAAAGGTAAACTTCAAAGTAATAAAATTTAAGGGTAAACTAATAAAACTAATAAATTATTCTACAATTGAATTAAGTCTTCCAAATTCTTGTGTATCCTTAGCCAACGACAACCTTTCATGATAAACATAGTTAATTGCAGATTTTAACTGAATTACTGACTTTAATTGGAAATGGAATGATAAGCATTGAAGTCAATTTCATTCGGAAGTTATTAATTTTGAAATTATACGATATTTTGGAGCAGAAATACGATGTAGTAATAATTCCACGATTTCTAATATAATATTTCTTTCTTTTTTTTTAAAAAAACTAATAAAAGAAGAAATATTAAGTGACAAACTAATAGAAGAAAAAAAAATTCCCTTACTTTTTTTGCTTTTGAATTTTGACTCTTATTTTTAAATTTTCTCAAAATTTTAAAAAATTCTTAATTTCTTATTAAAATATACCAGTTGATTGTCCACGTAATATAGAAAAGTTGCTTTTTTCAAAATTTTCTTTTACATAAAATTCTGTCACAAAAAATGCTCTTTTCTATCTACAACAATTCTTTATTTAAAGTTGAATTTTATTCTTTTAATGTAAATATTATTTCAATTTCAAATACCGTTGTGAAAAAAGATAAGTACCACCTGCTGAATATTGCCTTACTGATAACCTGTATTGCAGAATATAACATCTTAAATTTTTTTAAATAATGAAAAGAAAAATAACAAATCAATTTTTTAAAAATTGTCGCTTCAGTCCACCTTGAATCATATACCTTTGTACTCTGAAGAAAAAGATGAGTAATCTTAGATTAGGTATTTATCATTGAGCTGATCTAGAATATAGCTTTCGAATAATCAGGAATTCATTTAGAATATAACTTTTATTTGTATTTGGCATAAACGATCCGTGATGACTTATTAACCTCACACGTTTACCTATTTCACGATTTTTTATCATTCGTCCATCTTTGATAAGGAAGCACCAGACGAAATAACTGTCCATTGCTTTAAATCCGAAATTTTCTGAAAAAAATTTTTGAAAGATTTAAAAAAATTTTCAAGCTAAAAGAGCAATTGATATTATTATTATGGTATAAAAAAAATTAATCACTTCAGTTTCACTTGGATTATCCACTGCCATTTAATTACTTCTTTTACTGGACTTATTTTCTTGGCTTAGCCAATATTATTAGCCTTTCGAGATCGAATGACTGTGATCGAGCCAATGTACAGCTAAGAATTAGTAGCCTGCTAGCATTATTATTCATTATTTAACTTGACTTTAACGAATCACAACAAAATTATCTTAACGATACTAATGATATGATCGAAAGATTATACCGAAACTTACCTTAACGATGCTACCGAAAAATTACACCGAATTAGCGTTAACGATGCTACCGAAAAGTTACACCGAACGACACTTTCTTAATGTCTAGAAAATTCAAATTAATAAAAAGAGAAGAAATTGTTGTGTCAAATATGTGTGACCATAAAATGAGCAGATCAAATGAATGACGAAAATTCGATCATTTAGAAAAATCGAATGAATTCAATAGGTCAAAATGAATTCGATCTTATTCTTTCTATCTTCTGCCCAATTCTTTAGAGTTTTTCCCTTCTTTGGCAATTTTGTCCTTTGGTTAATAGATTATTATTACTGAGATAATATTCTAGAAAATTTATTGCTGATAATTCTATAAATTAGTACATATTGTTGGGATCAAGAATGAACGAAGTATTAAATGACCATCTATTGCAATTAATCATCGAATAAGAATTGAATAAGATCTTACTAAAAAGTAGTTCAAATGGATCAATCGATCTCTATCAAACAATTTCTCCAGCTTTTGTGAAAACTTATGTTTTTGATGGATTACTTTTTTACCATTTATGGATAGTATTATTTGTAAAATTGGGAAGTAACAGAAAAATTATCCCCCTCAGTAGTTAAAGAAATTTGCCTAGAAATTCCACAAATTAAAAAAAAAAATTCCTTCGTTCATTGATAACTAATCAGTGATAAAAAATTAGTTGAAACGTTCTTTGCTACTGATTGTTTTTGAAGAATATTTTTGGAAGAATCAACGTATAAGTATGATAAGTTACTAAGAATCAAAAAGAAAATATTACGAAACACTTGTTTATTGCTTTACTTTTGTTTGAAAGAAGGAAAATATATTCTAAGCTTAATTACGCTTAACTATTTAACTACGCCTAGCTAGTATTGTACTTAATATTATTTTTTAAAATACGCTTTGTGTTATTAAGAATTTAATACAAACGTTTGTAATTTAAAAAAAGCTAAATTTGTATAAAATATTTTGTTTGTAATTTTTAATTTTATTCCTAAAAACACTTTTGTTGTTTTCGAAGATTAAATTATTATCACTCATTTTACCTTTGAAGCTTAAATTTATGTTTACTTTCTGTTAAGTTTAATTCTTTTCCAGCTCACAAACTTTTACATATTACTTCTTTCATTGCATAACGTAAAATTGCATTACTATTTTTTAGCAATACTTAAGTCAACTGAAAAATTTCTTACTTATTAAACAATTATTCCACTTCTTACTTGTATGCATTACAACTTTTTGTCGTGTGATTGAAACAGTAACAGCTTAATTTCATTTGAAACTTTCTAGCGTTTGTCGCGATATATTGGGACTTTCATGCAATTTAATTTGCTAATATTACATGCTATTTTTTGAAATTTACAAAATGTTGTAAAGTTTATTTACTTATGATTCTAAAAAAAAATTTTTTTTTCTATTAAGATTAGTCGCATTTGCAGCTTTCAGTTACCAAAAATTTATTATTATACAAAATAATCGATGGTAGCAAGATTTGATTCAACCATTGAATTATTTTTTTTATTTCTTATTTTATTTTATTTTTTTTTACAATTTTATAAATTGATTATAAAATACATAACACTAATCATGTGGTATTGATAATAATAATAACAGTGAAACTGTAGAACTTTTTAAGTATATCAGATTACAGTGGAATAATTTTCAAAACTAAGCTGATCATTGCTAAAGATATCTTCTGCATTTTCGAAAGCAATTTCGTTCTCTCTTATTTCTATGTTTTAGCAAAAGATGATAGTGTCATCAACGAAAATAGATAACACGAATAGATAATCAGAATAGTTTCGTACTTAGTGATAACCAAAGAATTTGTTGGCAATTACCACAAATTCGAAATTGCATTCAAAAATATCTAGCAAAAATAAAGAGGTAACATTAATAACACATTAGATCATTTTTGTGCTTTCATCAATTCGAGATCATTCTGCGAATCATTTAGATCAAAAGACACATTCACCATTACTGACAAAACAATCGAAAAAAAATCATTAAAAATGCTGTAAAAAAAGAAATATATGCATTGTTAAGGAATAATATTTGAGCATTAATTAAGCAAGAAAATGTAGAATTTTAATTCGATCTGAATTATGAAAGCTTTTCAGCCAAAATGAAATATGAAGAATTATAAACTGGGTAGTATTTGAAAGTTTCAATCAAGAAGAAAATTATTAGGAAGTAATGCATTTGGTCTTAATATTACTTACTATCTTAAAATTCTAATCTTTTTGTGAAGTACATTGGTTAAACCAAAGTTGGATTGTCTCTTAAAGTTGATGTTTGAGGACAACAATCATGAATATAGTGCATTATGGAGGGAATGAAAGAACATTTATTCATGAGATTCCCGCATATTCTCAATAGGACAATGGTAACTCTTCCGTAGTGGTACCAGAAGGTTCACAAGTTACTCTCTATGTATACTTTGCACTTCTTAACTAGTTTTTACTTCTTCCAATTTAGTTTCTATCTTTTTAACAAATATTTCACTTGCAGAATCTTTTCAGATAATCAGTCAATTACAGGTTGATATACATACATCCAAGTATAGATTGTTTTTAAGATTTCAGGTTTTAGCAGACGACTACGGAAGGGAAACAACAATGGAAGGTTTTGAATATTCTTATTTTGAAGCAGTGGATGATTTGTCACCCGATTTTAGTCTCTTCTTATACATTCGCAGGCTTAACCCTGGTATCTATCGTGTTCGATCAGGAATTGGATGACCGATATACTGCCATTCTTATAACTGAATTCAGTAAAGCTATTATTGGTTATGTTGCTGTTATCAACCGTATATTTCACAGCTTTATTGAATTTGCCTTTCTGATGATAAAAGAATGTGATATGAAAAGCCTTTCACTTTCTTTCCTTTCCGATGATTAAATGAAAGGTTTTTTTTATCGTTTTGATCCATTTCCGTAGCTCAAAATAAAACTTTGTGTAAAGAATTAAAATTGAAATTTTTGCTGGACTATTGTCTGAAAAGTCGAAATTAAAAATAAAAATAGCTTAAGATTAGTGAAAATGAAAAATTATGAGTGATTTATGCATAACTGACCGTTATGCATAAATCATTATTTCATTGCTCTTTCTAAGATTTTTATCTGAAACACGTTAAAATTCTGGTCCGCTTCCAGTACATAAAATTCCACCGCCAATATTCGTAAAGTATTATACTACCGGTAAATATCAAATACTTAACGGAAGGAGAAGATAAGAAGAGGAAATCAATAATATTAGTTATTGAAATCTTGATACTAAATGATGAGGTTGAGAAATATAATTCTTTCATGTATTCATTTCTTTCATCTTTTCTTTTATTTCATGCAAAGTTTTAATTACAATTACTATAAAGAATTACTATAACGAATTACTATAAAGAAATTTCGGCTGGAAAGTAGAATTTTGTAAAATAAAATAAATTTGCATTTGAGCCCATTTAACAACGACTAAATCTTCGACAACACACTTATTGGTTTCAATGATGACCACAGTAACAATAACTCAAGGTGCTTCTCGTAATATACTTTCAAATAATTTGTTCGCAATTTGCTTATGTCTCATTGCATACGTTGAATGAAACAATAACGTGATCATAATAATAACACTGATAGCACATCCGAAGTTATCATTTTATCAGGAGAATGCACACTGTTACTTTCGCTGTTATCAATTTTCAAATATTTTAAAAAATCAATGATTTTTTGAAAGCAATTACATATCTGATGACAAAACTGAGAATACAAAAATAAAATTCCATTTTTCTTCTCTTATTCTAAGCTGAACACATTTTTATTTCATTTAATGAAATAAATTTTGGAGAGATCGTCTCATAACATTTAAAATAATTTAATAGAAAAAAAAGGGTGAAAAAGCGGTGATTTGTTTCATTTTAAATCTCATTTGTTTCATTTTAAATTTGAATTTCTTCGTACAAATTTTTAGTTAACTTAAATTCAATACTTATATATTGTATAAATCAGTCTTTTAAACTCTTTAATTATAAATGAACAATTGCAATTCTTAGACCATTTTACGCAAAGCACTACCAACAACAAAATATTAGTTACAATGAAAAATGACAATAGAAAGATTTATGGCATGGTGCATCAATTAGCCTCTGTGACATAACCGATTTAAAAAAGTGTTGCAATTATTTATTTCAAAAAAAAAATTTTTTTTATGAAATTCGATTAAAACAAAAATTCGTTGCATTGAATGAACTGAATGCAATTTATACTATTAAAGTCAAGATGATAAATCCAAAACGAAATTAATAAATTAATTTTGAATTTTGGTACAAGACATGTTATATATTCATTTTATTTGATAATTTGCAAATGAAATAAATTTCATGTATATAATTGTATTAATTATTGCAAATAATTACTGAAATGTGCTAAATATAAGATATATATAAAACAATTAATTTGATAGCATAATTAGTATAATACATTAAATATTTCCTTCTTTCATTATTATCGTACTCTCCTTTTGGCCGAGTTAAAAAATGAAAATAATTAAAGTACAATTAAATAATTTAAAGAAATTATTCAGCATAAAGTCACATGTCATTTGCATTAATTAATTGTTTGCAACAATTGAGTACATTTTTTCATAATAAACTAATTTTGTTAGAGATGACAAAAAAGAAATAAGCAATTGTTATTCCACGATCATTGGTCAGACAGACCACTAATGATTTATAAAAGAATAAATTTATATTTCAGCATTACAGGTTATCCCTGTATATTTCAGTATTTTAGCATTATCAGCTTTATAAAGGCTGCTGTACATTACTACAGGTTATCACTTCATATTTCAGATTATCAATATTTCAGTGTTACAAATTTTATTAAAACTACTGTATCTTGCAGGTTCATTTTATATTTCAGATTATTTCAGATATCAATATTTCAGCGTTATCAATCATATTAAGCTGATATAACAATATTTTTAATTAGTTGGAATTTCTGAAAATTATTTAAAAAATGAATGGATGGAATAGAAATGCTTTGCAAAAAGGATTGGAAGTTAATTGTTAAAAGTTTTAGAGGAAATATTTGAAGCAGGAAAAGATGGAAAATATCTGAATGGTTGATTCAATTCCCAGAAGTATTACATACAATATTTGAAAAAAACATTTCTTTTTTTTTTGTTTTCCATTTTTAACAAATCGAAAAATGAATGAGAAGAATGAAGCAAGAAGTAACTGTTTTTAAGTTTAAGCATCATTTTCCTTTCTCTCTTATTTGCCCATCTTTTATCTTTACCTATCTCTTAAAATACTTAAATTTGCCTGATAAAATATTATTAGACTATTTTTTTTGCTTACTGCGAATATTTTCAAGAGATTTCAAAAGAGAAAAAAAGCTTAAATTTTAATGACATATTTGCTAGCTTATTTTTTGGGCTCAAAAGAAGCAATTTTGTTCATTGATGACGCAGTATTGATGGTAGCTTTATTAGCTGTCTGATGTTTTTAAGAAATAGAAATGATAGATTTTATGAAAAAAAAGAAACTATGTTACATCACGAAGGAAGAATGTAACTAATGAAATTGCAATTGGGTAATTCCCTTTGAAAACGCCAATTAATTAATAAGCACTGTCTTAGGAGACATCGAGTGTATTTTACACTTTTAATCTCTTATTTTCAAAATCCGCAACAAATAAATAATTCAAATCGTGCATTAAACTTTGATGAGTCAACAGAAAAAGCAAATTGCAATTAAAACAGTTTATGAGATGACAATTTAGCTGAATGAAAAAATCTTGCAAAATAATAATTTGTTGAAAATATGCTGCTAAACTTTTTGGTCGAATTTGCTGTAAAATTATACAACCAATACTATAGTGCGCTTTCTTTCCCGAAAGGGGACGGAACAATCTTCCAAAAAATAGTTAAGAAAATATGTCGCTCTTACAAATCAATTCATAAAAACGACTAACAAAATTGATTAAAAATCTTTCGGAAAATGTAGTATTCACAAATGGACATTGTCCATAATGAGCAGTTTGTTATTGATAATAATGTAAAGTAGGGAATAATTGTAAATACCTTTCAGGTAAATTAATCAGTAAATACAAATTTGTTTGTGCTATTACTTTTTGAATGGTAATGCATCAGATAGTTCTCGAAGTATTAGAGGGTGAGTATTTCATTCCAAAAATGGGTAAGCGAGAAAAATTAGGATGAAGGGAAACAGCAAAGAAAAAACAATCATTTACCTTTTTTCATCTTTTTGACTTTTTTCGGCTTTTTTCTTTTATAAAAAAATTTATAGAATAGAATAATACTTTGGGATTTAATCATTTTAGTACAAATACATTTGTCCTCCTTTTCAAAAATGATAATTTATTAACAAATTAATACAAAAATGACCATTAGTGATATCATGCTTATCAGATTGATTTTTTATCTCAAAAATGATATTTTTTTAACAATTATAAGTGTGTACTGAAATGATATGCAAAAGAGGAAGCGATAAACTGGCAATATTTCGCCATTTTGAGTTAATATCAACTCTAAACAGAATTCTGTATGAGAATGTATTATCCATCATAAAAGATTAAAGTCCATCATAAGCAAAAACTCCAAAAGATTAAAGTCCATTATAAATGACTTTAATCTTTTAACTAGGTTCACTTTGACAAATTAATATTAGATTCCATAAAAAAATGATCTCCAAATGTTAATAAAATTAGAAAATGATGATTCACTGAAGTTATTTTAGCACTTTGAATTAATTTTAACTCCAAAAGTAACCATTGATTAAACGAAATATCCAACCATCCGTGTTGATCTCACATTTAGTAAGCAGCACCATCTCATAATTTAAATTATAAAACACGAATATCAATGTGTTAATAAAGTTGAGAAATAATGATTATTTTATTATTTTGAATTAATTTTTACTGTAGAAATATCACTGACATCTTTTATCATCGACAATTTATCATTTTAACCCAGTATTATGCCAATTAGACATGACCATCACATTATCAAATTGTTATATTTAATAAATCAATAATATATTTAATCAATTTAATCATTAATATTATTTTGTCATTTTTGAAAATTGTACTACCAATATTATAATGCTCAGACAATTTCTTTCCCGAAAGATAAACAAACAATCTTCCAAAAAAAAAAGTTAAGCAGGTAAATCACTGGTATTCGAAAATTAATGTTCATAATATATGATCAGAAATGTTTCTGAGAAATGCAATAGCAACAAATGGGCATTGTCCATAATAAGAAGATTGTTATTCTATAATGATATGAAGGAAGGAATAATTTTCTTATTATTCAAGCAAACTAATCTCAAAGTATTGTTAATAGGTAAGTGTTATACCTGAAAGACAGGTAAATGAAAGAGAAAATTAAAAAAATAAACAAGAACTAGTAAATGAAGATATTTTTTTCTGTTTTCATTTTTTTTTTCCTTTTTTTTTTTGTAGATTCAGAATAATACTTTTGGGAATTAATCTATTACAGCACAAATACATTTGTCCCAAATAAGTGGACAGCTAATTTTCACCTATTTCGATATTGCGCGTGACACCTTTTTTTTCCTTCTCACCTGTTTGTAAGAGTTAAAATGAAGAAATACTTCTTGATTTAAATACTCCATTCTTTTTTTTTTTTTTAATATTTATGTTTATTTTTAAAAATTTTTTTTCATCATTTTTTTCCTTTGTTTTCTTTTAATTTTTAAATTTCTCTCACTTCATTCATATTAATTTAAGCAATCTAATTGCGTCATCAATTTAAGTGTTTGCTTTAATTTGCTTGCTTAAATGATTTTTTTTTTTGTTTAACGGATCATCAACAGAATATTAAGCATATGACAATATGAAAAGAATGTAATGTTTAATGTACAATTTGGGAAATATATATATATATATTTTTTTTTGTAATTAATCAGTTGTAGTGAAAAATTAAATTTAAGATGAAATAATATTGGGAAATTTTTAAATGTAAGTATTATTATGATATTTGTCTAATCAATATTAAAATTTTTGTCACTAATCAATTTATAGAAATATGTTTATTTTTTAAAAAAAAAGATTTCTTTTTTCTTTTTTTAACAAGGTTAAATTCATTTTGATAGAATACACTGATAAAAGATAAGTTAGGTAAGCGATAAAGCATACTGATAAAGTATATTAGTGAAAAATTGTGGCCAGCTTTACATATATATCCCATTTGGCCATTTTATTGATTATTCAATGGCATAAGATGGTGAGAGTTTACTTGGCCATATCGTTGTAAAATCTGTTATAATGCTTTATAGTATTCTCTATTATATCATATTTAAAAAAGAAAAGAAAATGATTAATGATTATAGCTATTGATAATTTTGCTAACAATTGTATTAGTTCAAATAGCTTGACTTAATTGATAGCATTATTAGGCATTTTTCAAATTTTAAGAGAATGTCAGATTTAAAATTGAATTATCGGAACATAAATTATGTTAGTCAATAGAACTGATTAACAAAGGAATTACTCAGATTAATCTGATTTGTATTTATTTATATTTGTAGTTAAGTAAAACTGAAAATTGTTAGTGCATTATGATTAAAGTATATTTTTTTCTTTTAATCGTTCTATTTGCATAGCAATAGGCATTATTTAATGAGAAGTTATTGTATTCATTTATTTTTAAATTGGTACTACTACATTTCATTCACACTTTGTTAATAATTGTTCTCGAAAAAAAGCTAAAATGGACTTTTCTGAAAGTGAATTTTAGGTTGAAAATGACAATAATTTTGTAGGTTTACTGGAAAATATATTTGGAGCTGAATTTTATGGTTAAATTTTTTAATATTGTTAAATTCAGTATGAGATTTTATAATTGTATTCAGAGTTGTGTCATATAACTGTATTTAAAGATAGGATTTTATAATATTACGTAGTTATATTTAAAGTTAGGATTTTATAATTACGTCTTGATTAACAATCTAAATTCATAACTACGAATTTCACAGAAATTACAAATTATATAGCTATATTGAGAGCAAGATTTTATAGTCATATATTTTTCTATATAATTATATTTAGGGTGAAATTTTGTAGTTATATATGTATTTTTGAATGATTATTTAAAAAATATGAAGCGTACGACATGGAAGGTAGAGTTAAAAGTTAAAATTTTTGCTCTTGTTTAGTTTATAGAGAAAGGGAAAATAGAATAGATGAGAAGTGTGAAAGGTATGGAAAATTTTAAGCTCTATGTAAGCCTGAAGCTATCATTCATTTCTTTTATTTCGTCCATTTAGTAAAGGTGTTATACAACTAAGCAGTTGCTAGTCAGTCTATAGACGAAGTTTTATTTCAATTTCAAATTTCAATCAATATTTCAGTATTTTGCAATTGATATTATCGTTGTTATTATTCTTGTCTTTTTATTTAACAAACAAATTTATTCTGAAATTTTTATATTGTTAATATATTTTAATGTTATAAGCGATACTAATTCATTTGTAAATTACAATTAACTCCAATTTCAAACTATAAAAATTTTTAAATGTTTGTTTTTTGCATTTTTTCATAGTAAATTTTTGTTTTCATGTTTATTCAACACAACATTACGTCGTTTCAGTTTCAACTACTTGTTCTGCCAACGGTAGCTATTATAAGCTGTGAAATGTGAAAAGTCAATAATGTCTGGTAGAAGTAATGAAGGTATCATTAATTAATTAATTAATTAATTTGCTCATTAATTATCTGATTCCCTTAAAAAGTATATATCATTGTGCAGCCATTTTGGGCAGAATATTATGGTTGATTTGAACAAGTATTAAACTTTTTTTCCATTTTAAATCGTTTTAAAACTAATTAAATTTAATAGAATGCGAAAAAAGTTTTTGAATTAATTTTTGCTATGTCATTTGAGAAAAAAAAATCTTTTTCTTTTTTTCTGCGAAAAAAAATTGGATAAAACTTGAATTTAAGAATTGGATGATGAGAGAATTTTTATTGTTAATGCTAGGCAATAAACGAGATAATGACTATATAATTTTCAACCAGTGATAAGCCAAAAAGGGGGAAAAATCGCAAACTTACTTGATTAAAGTTTGTTCAATCAAGTAGACTTATAAAATGGCATTTTTGTAATTTTTTAGCGAATAATTTATGTGATAGAACAATGTTAAAAGCAATTTCATTACTTGGAATTGGCTTTATGTCTATTTTTCTCGTCGGTTTCCTTGGCGTTTACCATAATTCACATTCGATAAAAGCAGCCAAATTTAAAATTACTTCAAAAGGTTCATTAAATTTATTTATTTCATTTTTATAAGTATATGAATTTTGTTAAACACCGTTGAGAATGAAATTTGCTTAACAAATTTGCAATTTATTTTTAAAGCGATGTTTTTATATTAGCATAAATTTTATTTATTAAAATCAAAACTAAAACATTCAAAAATGATTATTTAGTTGTTAAATCAATACAGTTAACGCAATTGCAAATTGATTATTATAAATAATGAATGTATAACGATAAATGAATGATAAGATTAATTACTATCAAGGTAACAAAGTGTAATAAAATATCTTTATTTTATAAAATCAATATTTGATAGTGATGAAATATAGTCAAATATGCAATCATATAAATTTATGCAACAAATAAGAATTGCTAAAATTTAATGAAATAATTCAATTAATTTCAGATAATTATCCAAGTATGATTGATGTTTTACTATCAAATATAAATGGTCATGAAATTGCTAAAAATTTGCGATCTTTCACTACTTTACCACATTCAGCTGGAACAAAAGCTAATGCTAAAGTAGCTGAAAAGATATCAAAACTTTGGAAAGATAATGGTTTAGAAGGTAAAGTATTTTTTTCAATTAATTTTAACTGTTCGTTAGGATTTTTAATGATGCAAGAGAATGAAACAAATAAAAATTTTACATTGTATTTCCAAAATTGTGATGAAAAAAAAATTAAAGTAGCATAAAAATTAAAAAAAAAAAAAAAGGTGAAGCAGATTATAATGCTTTTAATAAGCTAATTGAGAAATATTTTAGGCGTTCATTACGTGAAATACGACGTCCTTCTATCCTATCCTGATTATAGCAATCCTAATCATTTGCACATATTAGATGAAAATGAAAAAATTTTATATACAACGAAAGGCATCAGTCCTCCATTGATACCAAAGGAACAAAGTGCTGAAGGTTGTTTAATTTATTCATTTTTAGCAAATTAATTTGCTAAAAATCAATCTTTATGCATAAAAAGCATGGTTTTTTGAGCAAAAATGCTACGTATGTATCATTCATTTCAAAAAAGCAATGACCTTTAACCTCATAAAATTCATGCAGTATAAACAGAACCACTTCTTAAATTAATTGCATTTGAAATTTTTTTTTTTTTTTGTTGAAATTAGAAATTATTGAAATTTAATAAGCACAACTATTTATTCGATTCGAAATTTACTAATCACAATTATTTATTCGAAATAAGAAATAATATTAATATTAAAATAGGAGCTGGAATGCAATGGTTAGCTTATTCAGCAAATGGCACTATTCGTGGACAAATTATTTATTGTCATTTTGGGCGGAAGGAGGATTTTGAACGTTTAAATTATTATGGTATCGATCCTAAGGTTAAAAATGTTTTGCTTATTAGATTTATGATATATCATAAAATTTATACAATATAAATAAATCCATTTCTTTTAAATTAATTCAATTCAAAAATTCAATTCAAAAATGAAGAAAAAAGTACTTTAATTCTTTCATTTTCTTGCAATATAACCTTAAAGAAAAGTGAACTATCATTTATAATTTCTTGATTTGTTGATTTTTTTTCTTCTAAAAATCTTTGTACCGCCGAATGTTTAATGAATATTTAATATTGATTTTATTATATTTGCTAGGGTAAAATAGCAATGATGAGATATGGGAAAATATTTCGAGGTGATAAAATATGGAATGCTGAAATGGCTGGTGCCATTGGTGCTATTTTATTTTCGGATCCTTTCGAGGTAGCACGAGATGGTGTAGAGAAAGGTTTTCGTTTTGTTTTTTGTTTTGTTTTTTGTTTTTTTTTTTCAAAATTTTATTATAATTTCAGTTTTATTATTATTATTAGTAGTAGTAGTGTTATTATCACTTAGCATAATATAGCCATTACATCATTTTATCTGATTATTTTAATTTATCACTTAGCTAGTTATTGTAACTGGAATGAATGAAGGCTTAACTTTTAACAAGCAAACAGTGTGGAAAAGAAAAACTGCATTTATTTAAAAGGTATTTGTAATAAAAATTAATTAGAATGAATTTGAAAAATTTTTAATTCAAAAATGAAGAAAAAAGAAATTTTTGAAATTTATTTCAATTGATTCCTCATCTTATTACAAAGGAATAGCAAAAATTTTTCGTTTTCATATTTCTTCAATAATAGTAGTTAATTTATAGTTACTAGTGCTATTATTAATTATTATAATTTAGCCATTACAAATCTATTTGATCGTTATAATTTGTCGTTCTATTTAATAAATTGTTTTTAAAAATTTCATTTTTTTTTTCTTTTTTTTGTATATTTAATTTTCAGAAAATGTATACCCAAATACTGAATGGTTGCCAAACGTTGGTGTACAACGTGGTAGTATTATGCACGGTAGCGGTGATCCGCTTTCGCCATTATATCCATCAAAAAAGAACTTATATCGCTCAAAAACTATCAAAGAAGTATTTTTAATCAAATTTTAATAAGTGATAAATCAAACAAGCAATATCAAAAAATTTATTACAAATTATTACATTGCTAATGAATATTGCTTTGAACTGAAATCCATAAAGTTTATACTAGAGGGGCTTTTTTTGCTGAACTTGAGTTAGGAGCAAATTTTTATAAAGTCAGATTGAAATAATAAGAAATCTTAACAGTCTTAATACAGTAAAAATTAAATTACCACGCATAATATACAATTTAAACTTTTTTTTTTCTTTTTTTATCTTTTCTAATGCAAAATAATTTTTGAAATTTTGTTAATTAATATATAAAATAATATTATTAATATTTTATAGCATGAAAAAAATATTAGAAGAAAATAAATTATCTAATTTATATATAAAAGAACATAATTCATAATATTCTATTATTGCAAACCTATGGTAAGTTTTTTTTAGATTTTAGCATTAGAAAATTTTTTGATTTTACTATTAAAAGTTTTATATATTTTCCTGAAAATTTTAAACTTTGCTTTTAATTTTTGCATTTTTACTTATAAAAATATGAAATTACTTTACATTTCAGGCTATGACTGATCATGTGCTACCAACAATACCAGTATTACCATTAAGTTATTCGGATGCTTATCAGGTGCTCTCATATATGCGCGGTTTTGTAGCACCATTTGATTGGCAAGGTGGAATTAATACAACATATTATCTTGGACCTGATATGAAGGAAAATAATAAAATTGAAATTACTGTTCACTCGTCATTGGAAATCAGGTATTTTAAGCATCACAGTAAGGAGATTTTTAATTTTAATAATTAATATATGAAAATTTTTGAATTTTGAATTTTTTGAATTTTTATTATTTTTAATAGATATATTTTTTTCTATTTCTTCTTTAATCAATTAATTAATTTCAACATTTTTTTTTTCACACTTATCTGATTAAATTTGTACAAATATATATATATATATATATATGTATGCAAATGTTGCAGAACAATTCGAAATGTAATAGGATATATTCGTGGTGCAACAGATCCTGATAAGTATGTTATCTTAGGTAATCACTATGATGCTTGGATTTATGGTGCATTAGATCCAAATAGCGGTACAGCGATACTAGGTGAAGTTGCAAGAGGTATTGTGCAAATGATGAAAATAACAAATTGGAGGCCAGGTAAATTATCGCTTATCATATTTTTTTTACAGTATTATAAGAAACAAATGGAAGGTAACTTATCACTTACCACATTTTTCTAGCAATATTATTATAGATGAATGGTAGGTAGCTTATCATTTATCATATTTTTCTTGCAATATTATCATAAATGGATGATGGCATTAATTATTACATATTGTTAGAGTAACCATCTAATTAGAATACTACTAATTTAATATATTTAAAAATTTACAATTTATTCTGCTATATTTTAAAGTTTTATTACAGATTATAACAGTTTATTACAGATTTGATATAATTTAAATATATTATATAAATCTCAGGATAAGATTTCCAACGAAAATGATAGTAATTATATTTATAAATGATTGAAATCAAATATATGCAGCAAGGACAATTATATTTTGTAATTGGGATGCTGAAGAATATGGCTTAATTGGTTCAACAGAATTTGTCGAAGAATATGCAAATTTATTGAGTCAACGAACAGTAGCATATTTCAATGTGGACAATATACACTCCAATCATTCTTTGTTCGATTTCTTTTTTGCGATTTATTATAGATTTATTTCATTTCAATTTTTAACTTTTCAGGATCCTTCTTTTTCTCATTAAAAAAAACTTAAAAACATTTGTATCAGAGGATCAATGGAATCTATTGCCATTTTAATTAGCGGAAAACAAATTTAAGTTGTTTTATAGTATATAAATATTAAATCATTTAATCATCTTTTATGGTATTTAAACTATTGGACAAACAAAATAAAAATTTACGGATCATTATGATCAATATTAATGCAGTTATTCATTCATTAACTTCAAAAATTTAACATTAAGTAATGATCATAGCAGTTTAAAAAAGTTAAATTACGATATTTTAAATTTTCAAATGATACTTATAGGCATGTGAATACGGTACCTACGTTATATCAGTTTATGGCAGAAATATCAAAATTAATTCCAAATCCAATGGAATCAGAGAAAAAAAGTGGTCGAAAAACTATTTATGATACCTGGTCGGTGTTTATTTATTTATTTATTTTTAATCATTTTTCTTTTTTTCTTCTTTTTTTAGCTTAAACAAAGAAGAAAAAAATTGAAAATTTTTTTTCACAATTTATTTTTGAATTATTTTAGTTTTAACAAAAAAAAAATTTGAACATTTTTTACATGTTATTTCTTTTTGAATTAAATTTTTAAAGTACAAATAACATTTTAAGATGAAATCTCAATATAATTAGTGAAAAAAAAAAAAAAAAAAAAAAAAAACGAAAAGATAAAACATCTCTTCATGTCATAGTATTGGTCAACTATTCAAATTTGAAAATGAAGAAAAAACAAATTTGATAAATTTCAAAAATGATTCAACTACAGTTGCAGGTTTAAAACTTTTCCAAGTGATATTAGTTTTTTGCCGGATATACCATCAATGCCAATTCCGGGAAGTGAAAGTGATCATGTAGCATTTTTGAATTATCTTGGCATACCTGTTGCTGATATCTCTTACAAGTATGAGCTAAAAATTATTTATTATCTTTTAGTGTAAAGCAATTTAAAGAATTAAATCAAATTAATTTTAATTAAAATTTGTTTAAAAATCCCAATTGGAAAGAATACTTGATGTTGAACATTTTGCTATGTTTTTTCTTTTCTTTTCATCGTTTTATTATTTCCCAATTAAACTTTGTTTTTTTCTGCAATTATTTGAAAATAACACAAATTCAAAAAAATTTTTTTTGAAAGAAATACAAATGAAATTTATTATTACTAATTTTCAAATATTTTATTAATAAAATATTTCAGGAATAAGACATCGCATAGTAATTATCCATTGTACCATTCACTGTACGAGACAGCATTCGCTAATGAGCACATCATTGATACGAATAATTTAGCGGTTAGCAAAAAAAAAAATTTTTTTCAGCAATAAATAATTCAGTTCATATTTTAGTCAAAGTAATAATTTTCAATTTTTACATTTAATCTCAATTGCATTTTTGATAAATTCAGCAACTAATTTGTTTCATTTTAATAACTTATATATTTGATTTTTTTTTCAAATAAAAAGAAAAATATTTAATATTCATTGTATAACTGCTGTTATTAGTGATACTGTTAGAAAATATTCAAATTAAGCAGTTTAAATAATAATTCCTTCTAATGTTATTTTCATTAACCGTTACTAGGTAAACTATTTTTTCAGTAATCAAGCAAACTTACTCATTTTCTTTTTTCTTATCATCAAAAATTAATAACAAGGAGAAAAAAAAAGAAACCATATTGCATAAATGCCGGTTTTAATTTAATTTGCACATTTCTATATTTTTGTCTATGACAATAAACACTTACTTGGTTGAATTTAGGTTCATGAAGCTGTGGGCAAATATTGGGCAGCAATTGCTTGCAAATTTGCTGATTTAAGCATACTTCCAATAAATATCACAAATCTTGCTCTTAGTATTGTTCACATTTACACTCCACCAATTAAGCAATCATTGGATAAATTGAAACATTATGAAGAAATGTTATATGATGCTAAACATCAGTTTAATTACCTACTTAATACTTCAATGGTATATGGTTAAGAAAATTTTAACATTTTATTCCAAATTTAATTTAATAGCAACTTTTTGCCATTATTATATAGATAAAATTGAAATCAAGTAGCTATTGATAATCGATAATTTATAGATTTAAAATTAAAATTAGAATGATTAGCTGAGTAGTATTGATCTGATATGAGTAAACATATAAAAATGTCATATTATCGATTTTTTTTTTTAATGGAACAATTTTAATTTCAAAATTTTCAGGAATTTCTGGAATATGCAAAAAAATTTGATAATATTATTCGACATGCTTTACTCAGCTATATCACTAATTTGTATGATTTGAGAAATTTTTCATGGATAAATGATCGTTTGATGGGAGTTGAACGATGTTTTATCAACCCACGTGGTATACCCAATGAACCATCACAGCGACATTTATTATTTAGCGTCAGCAATAAAAATAAATATCGCTTTATAAGTATTATTCATGATGCGGTATGTTTTGTTTTTATTTTGTTGATGAAAAATTTTTGTTTGTTTGATAGGAATTATTTGATAATGAAATAAGTCAGTGATCATCAGATGATTGTAAGAAAAAAAGAAAAAAGAGAAATTTCGAATTAAAACGAAATCTCTTGATAAATGATAAAATAAAGGAGTAAGATTTTACTTACTTAATATATTGAAAATATATGGATATATGAAAAAGCTTGAAGTAGTTTAATTTATTTAAATTTAATATATTGATTAAGAATAAAATAGCAGTAAAGTTTATACTTTAAACTTTGTGAATTATTAATGATTAAAATTAATAAATGGATAGAATGGAATAGTTTGTCTTTTTTCTTATCTTTTTTTTAGTATAAAATAAAATTGATACATTCAAATATGAAAATATTGCAGATAGATGCATTCAAAGCAGCACGAAATGACGATGAACGCATTCTAAGTGTACGTCAAATTGCATTTCAGATTTCTGTAATTCAAAATTCTATCGAATGTGCAATTAGCATGTTAAAAGATAGAATTTAAATATATTACATGGATTTTGTTTCATCTACATATATGATATGAAAATATATACTGTTACGTATAACATTATTTGATGAATATGTAATCAATTAATAAGTTAATGTATTGAATAGTAGGAATATTTGCGTTAATTTATTTGCAATTAAATATTAAATTTGATAAAATATCATAGGAAATTACTTATTATTCAATTTTTAAATTTTATTATTTATAGCATGATGGTTATTTCCATGTGATTTTACTTGTAAACAAATGTATGTATAACTTCATCACATTACGTGTTCAAATCTCGGAATGATTTCTCAGTCCAAATTTTGTATCAAAAAATCTCCATTTTTTGTTTCAATAATGGTTCAATTAATTCAGTTAATTGTTCATTATGTCATTTTACTCAACAAAAAATAGTTTGGTTAATTCAATTAATTGATAATTACACCAACCACATTTAACAAAAAAAAAATTTTTTTTGGACGAATTTAAATATTTATAAATTTTTGCTTAAAAATAAGAATGTGAATAGATAAAAAAGATTTTCCAATCGAATAAAATACAAGAAAAAGAAAACATAAATACTTTTTCCAATACAATAACTTTAGCAATGAATATTGAAATAAAAAAGGAAATAAATCATTTATACTAGCAAAGTTTTCCCTTTCTTCGTTTTTTTTTTCTTTTTTTTTTTTTTTTTTTTTTTTTTGCAAATAAAATAAGGAATAATAAAAGGAAAAGAGAAAAAGAGAAACAACCACCAAAAGTTATCACACAAACAATATGAATAATCAAAATAATCGAAAAAAAAATCCATTATTTACTATGGGAAATAACGGGAAAGTTGATAACTCGAGGCAGAGAGAGAGAGAAAGAGAAAAAAAAACACGCATAATATGAAGTCTTTGAAGAAAAAACTTTAAAATGTAAGAATAATATTTTCGCTCAAATTAAAGTGTATAAAATGATAAAACTTGCTACAATTGTTACCAATGATTAGATAATTATTATAAGTTATCAATAATTCATACATAAAAATAATAAAATGATATATCAGAAATAGAAGTATTATAAATCACAAAATAATAAAGGCTTTTCAACAGAAGTAATATAGCTAAGAAAAAACTATGTAAAATTTTATAATTTCAATTAATTTATTTAAAAAAAATAAATAAATATAAGAAAGAGAGGAAGGAGGGAATAATAATAATACCACAAAAAAAAGGAGGAAAAATGCACACACACACAGAGGGAGAGAGAGAGGAAGGAAAAAATGAAAAAAGAACATAGAAATATTTATATATTATTTTAATGAAAAAAAAAGAAAAAAAAAAAACAAATAATCCAGCAAATGAACATTCGAAAAATGTCATTTCGGGTTTTCTTCCTATTTTTTCATTCTGTCAACTAAGTAAACATATATACTAAAAGTTTATTTATATTCAAAAGAAAAAAACAAACAAATAAATGACATAAGTTTGGGTTATTGATGTATGTGTTATATCTATTTCACACATAGTTTTGCTGGGACAAAAAAAGGAATAAAAATCTTTACTGATAAGATAAATGATATCTTAGGATAACTGACATCCAATTACTACAATAATACTATAAATTATAAACTTCAAAAAAAAAAAAAAAAGAAAAATTGGTACTAAATAAAATGATTTAATAAAATCTAATAAATAAAGGGAGGGTGGGAGAGGGGAAAACAAAAACCTTAAAGTGAGCATATTTGAGAGTTGACGACATTCAAATACATCACCAAAATAAACAAGAACAATGAATGTTACTGAATGTTTAACCACAAAAAAAAAAACTTCTCTTTGTATACAATTTTTAGAACTACTTGCAGTAAAACGAAAAACTTTAGAAATTTCTTATTAGTTGTATAACAATGTGAAAAGAATTATATCAAAAGAATGTCATTCCAGCTTTAATTCTTTTCAAAGTTTGAACGAGCATTTCGTTTTATTTTTTGCTATCTATTAGATTGATGCTTTGTGCATGAATTATTATCAAATTTACAAATAATTTATGCGAAATTGTGTAAGAAATTGCAAAGCAAAACTTTCAAAAATATGAATAAAAAACGACAATTGACAATTTAATTCAAAACTTTTATTCTTAAAAAAAATTAATTGTTTGTAAGCTGAAATGTAATTGTATTGTGTTTTATTTAATTCAAGTATATATAATTGAACTAATAATTCAAGTGAATTATTCTATTTTCATCCACATACCAAAAAAAAAAGAAAGAAAATGAGATTATTTTTCCTGGAAAAAAAAGAAAAAAAAAAAAAAAAACATTACAAATAATATAACCTGCTAGCTATTTAAAATAAAAAAAAGAAAAAGCAGTTGAAACCCGCTTGGTAAACAATAGATGATTAGCTCATCAAAATTGTTTTCTTCATCAAAAGAACAATACGGCTGATAAGAATAAACTTGTCATGATAATCTTTTCATTGATTTTATGATATAATAAGCATTCAATTTCAATTGATAAAATCAAAAGCTAATGATATACTCATTTAATGCAGTACTTATATACATAATATAATTCAATAATATAGCTCTACAATAATGGCTATATATTCACAATATTTAGACTTAAATGATTCTCAGTATCAACGACAATAACGCAAATACTTAATGCAGAGAGAAATGGGACATTATAATTTTATTATTTTTGAATATTGATCGCTTCTGTGATACACAATAATGAGAAAAATGGAAAGTCATAAATTACTTGCAGTAAAAAGAGACAGGAAAAAAAAAATGTTGAAAAACGTGGCAGTTTTGAAAAATTTTTTTCAAATTCAACTCAAAAAAAAATTTTTTTTTACTTCTAAAATTTTGCCCACTTAAATTCCCCCCACCCCCCCCAAAAAAAAAAAAAAAAAAAAAAAAAAAAATTGGCATTAATGATAAAAAAATAGTCGTAACAGAAATAGGCCATAAGTATGAAATGGGAAAGGATGCATTTAAATAAAATTCAATAATACGATAGCCTATAAAGTATTCAAATTAAAAAAAAAATTTTTTTTTGAAAAAGAAATAACCTAATTTGAGAAGAGAGTATATCCATATAGAAAGAAAGAGAGAGAGAGAGAGAGAGAGAGAGAAGGGAAAGAAGGAAGGGAAGAAGGAATATGAATAATAATATGATGACAAATACACCCAATTCGATCTAATAAAAAAAAAAAAAAAAAAACAAGCAGCCAATCCAGAGAGCGTTATTCTTAAATAGTAATAATAGTAGTAATAATAGTGATAATAATAATAAAAATAACGACATTTTTATCATCGTTACCACTATAGCAATAATAATAATGTTATCAAAAAAAGAGATATTTTTCACTGCTACTTTCAACAGTTTCACTTTGAAGAAGCCTTTTGCTGCCTTTTATCATATTATGCATATTACCGCGATTGTTCTATCGGTTTCTCCGGTTCAACATCCTGCACCATCACTTCAAAATTGACCATTCCCAATTTTGACGTAATATCAATTTCAACATTTTGCGCATAAGCTCGACATTCGATCAAAACAACTTTATTGCGTGGTAGGTTATCAAACTTTATCATTGCCTGAATTCATTGTATTCTATTACATATAAATAATTTTCATAGATTCAGTTTCTTTTTCTTTTCTTTCTTTATTTATCTTATTATTGCATTAATTCTTGCTTGAATTACTGTTATTACAGATATTTTATTTTAATTTCATTGATAATATAAATCAGTGGAATTACAGTGAAATATCAACAATGTTTCAATACAATTAGTTGATTTTTTCTTTATTTTTAATCCAGTACAAAAGAATGTTGGAGAAATGAGAAAAAAAATTTTCCCATAAACCTTTTTCTTTATTTTAGGAACATAGATTACAATGTGTTGTAATATACGAAGAGAATTGAACAAATATTTTTAATTATATCGTTTTTTAAGCAAAATTTCAACATTTGGAAATAATTCTGGTATTGGAAAACAAAATAAGAAATTCATGATGTTCGACTCTCTAATTTCTTATAAAATTCATGCCATTTTTCTAGCAAAATAAAAAAGAAAGAAAAATCAATTCAAATCTGTTGTCAATTTAAACAAGTTAACTCGGAAATTTTATTAAAACACTTTCTTCTTTCTAATTAGTTTTTATCTGATTAAAGGATATACCTGAAATCTTGTACATTTGATAGCATATTATATACTACTGTCAAATTACCTATGTGAATCATTCAAACCCAATAATACGTCTATTTAATCATTCATTGAACCATCAAAAAAAATAAACTTACGAAAGGTTGTTGATAATTAGGCATAACAGCATATGGATAGTATTTACCATCAATACCCGCTTCCGGAATGTATTTCACATTTCCAACATGTTCCTTATCGATGTCACTCTACAAATTAAAATCTTTTTTTGCATTACTGCAATAAATTTTTTAAAAAAAATCAAGCAACTACTAGGTTATACGACGAATTTTTAGGACTATGTTTCTAAAAAAAAAAGTTCATTGAAAAGTCAGTCATTCAACTTGCCTAATTTAAAAGGTATTATAAAATTTAAAAAGAATAAGGAAGAAATTGAAAAAGAACCGTTCCGTCGCATTTCAGTGTTACGAAATTTGGTTTATATCGTTCTTTGATAATTTCAGGCACTGAATCAGGTGCGTAATCGATTGGCATCCAACCAATTAATCGATTCAAAGTTAAAATTACGCATGGTTTCCCTTCTGAGAAGCCATAACTAATATTTTTGCCACAACCAGCTCTACTGAATTTGTCCAATTCAAAACGGCATGACTGAAAGTAATCTAAATCAATTTAAAACTGTATCAAAATTTAATAAAATTACATATATTATGAAAATTTCGAACTACTATCATTTTTTAAAATAAATAAAACTCCAACAAATTACAAAAAGTTTGATATTACAATATGATCGAGAGTTTATAAAGAAACCTTGACAGTGTCATCGCCAGATAAAATTTCAGGTCTAGCAC